GGACAGTGAGAGAGAGAGACAGAGAGAAAGGTCTTCCTTTTGCCGTTGGTTCACCCTCCAATGGCCACCGTGGCCGGCGCGCTGCGGCGGGCACACCGCGCTGATCCGATGGCAGGAGCCAGGAGCCAGGTGCTTCTCCTGGTCTCCCATGGGGTGCAGGGCCCAAGCACCTGGGCCATCCTCCACTGCATTCCCGGGCCACAGCAGAGGGCTGGCCTGGAAGAGGGGCAACCGGGACAGAATCCGGCGCCCCGACCGGGACTAGAACCCGGTGTGCCGGCGCCGCTAGGCGGAGGATTAGCCTAGTGAGCCGCGGCGCCGGCTGTATAGTTCTTTAATATATATTTTACAGAGCGAGAGAATAGCTTAACTGTATATGTTTTTTCCCACACAGAAATTGTCCCAAGGCCACTTACTGATGCGACTGCCCTTCCCGCACTAATTTAACATAGGGGACAGCCTTTTAACAGATTTTGGTACTTGGTGGAAAATTGCTTTCTTGAAAAGGATGAACCGGTTTATACAATCCGAGGTCGGCAGCCTTGCCAGTGCTGGCTGATTTGTCGCCCGTGATTGTAAGCTCGTTTCATCTGCGCGTCTGTCCATGCACCATTGTTTCCATTTCTCCGCAGTACAAACGCTGGCACATGGGGACTGTATTTGAATAGGATTGGCCTGGGCTCGGCAGAGACTCAGTGCGGGACGAAGCTGCTGAGAGGTTTCCAGCGGCCTTGGTGCCTTAGCCTTGCACCATCTGAAAAACTCCACCCCTTCCATGCCAGTTAAGCACACCTGCTTTTCCCATGATGCACTGAAACCTTCTCCACCAGGAAGGCGATGCCATGCTGATCACGTGCAGGCTGAGCTCCATGTGGATTCGCCATGAAACCTTCCCAGAGATCATTGCGCACACTGAACCCTGCCCAACCCCCACTTCGTTTGTATATTCAATTAGGGCACCACCCTCTACCTAATAAAGGGGGCTACCAAACTAGGGTTCATGTGATTCTCCCCATGGGGCTTCCTGCACTCCTGTCCGAGCGTGTCCTACCTCCTTAGTCTGCTTAGACAAGTCCTGCTCTCATGCTTACACTCTCTGTCTCTGCTTTCAATTCCTGTCTCTTAAGCTGAGACGAGAATGTGGACTACAGCTCGGGACCCTCATCCCGACAACATAATCGAAGCCAAACGCCTAGCGGTCCACGGAGCCTCCGCAGCGGCGAAGTCTGAGACGGCCGCTCCACCGCTCATGTTCCCCGTCTCCTCGCCCATGCCTCTCACAGGGTCTTCTGCAGAGGAGCCCATCCTTGTCACAGCCAGGGTGACCCCGGAAAGGACGCCGGGAGCCTGCCTGTATTTTAATGCTGCTCCAGGGATCCTGCCCTCCAGCCAGCCACCCATCTCCTGCCTCGAGGACGGAGCAGGCAATGCCACCCTGAGCCCTAGGATGGGTGAGGAGTGTGTCCGGATCTGGAGCCACGAAGGCCTGGTGCTCACCAAGCTGCTCACCTCGGTAGGAGCTTCAGGACAGTCCTGAGGTTTCACAGAGCCGTGCTGAGCGCCGGGGCTGGCAGGTGCTGGGAGGCAGTTTTACCTAACAGAAGAAGTGTAGTCTTCCTGACCCGTCTTGAAGGCTGTGTGACAGAGCAAGCACAGGGACCTCTCTGTGCCTCGGCTTCCTCATCTGTAATTCAGATACATGGCACCATCTTCTAATTCCAGTTGAATTAGAATCTGGAAAGTGCCCAGGACCATGGCAGGCACACAACAGAGACGTGGTAAATGAGCAATTAGGGTTTACGATTGTCCTGAAATGCAATGGAGCTTTATCTCTACCTCCAAGGATTTCCAGGGTTGTAATAAGAGGCGGAATGGGCTAATTGCTGTCATAGAGATGTGAGCAGAGTGTTAGACAGAGTCGGGCCATTAACCCTCACTTGAACATTTATGGAGGGCACATCACAGAGCAGGAGCATTTGAGAAAGAGAAGGCGGTAGTAGTTTATAATGTACAAAGTGCTTTCAGGTTCATTATCTCGTTTGATCTTAAAATAGCCTTTTGAGGTAGGTACTATTATCCCATTTTCCAGATGAGGAAACAGGCTGAGAGGGAGGGAGTGGATTGCCTCCGGCCACACAGCTGGGGGAAGTGGCTGAGCCAGGGTTGTGACCCAGGCCTTCTGGACTGTCAGGACATCCTGGAAGAATGAGGAAAGCCTGGCGAGGGGGTGCGGTAGGGGAGGTTCAGGAGGGGAGCTGCCTTCCAGCCAAGGGCCAGCGTGAGCACAGGCCTGCAGGCAAGTTCAGCCACTGAGGGGTCAGGGAGAAGGGGCAGGAGAGTGCGGGGGCTGTGAATGCCAGGCCGGGAAGCCGTGACTTGACAATGAACAAGGGCTGTGAGGAGGAGAGAGAAGTGACCCCAGCGTGGGGCGGAGGGAGGAGGTTTGGGAAGCTGCTGCGCCCTGGCCTCACATCTGGAGGATTTGGGAGTTTGGACTCAGGGAAGACCTAGATTCTAGACTTGGCACTTCTTGCACATCTTTAAAATGTGGATGACAGTGAACTTTGCTATCTCATGATGATGGCTGGGCCAGAAAGCAGTTTGTGAACTATCCCGACAAACAGCCGATGATACAGAAATAACCTTTTCCCTTGTACTCTGTCCTTGATGGTGGGGGGAGGGGAGTATGCTCTCCCAGGTTGGGGCTTCTCGCTGTAGCCCTGGGCTGGGGTCGGATGTCTCCTCAAGGGAAGGTGCCCCTCTTTTCCCTCCCTCCATCATTCTTCTTTCCCTCCCCATGGCCATCCCTAGGAGGAGCTGGCTCTGTGTGGCTCCAGGCTGCTGATCTTGGGCTCCTTCCTGCTTCTCTTCTGTGGCCTTCTCTGCTGTGTCACTGCTGTGTGCTTCCACCCACGCCGGGAGTCGCACTGGTCCAGAACCCGGCTGTGAGGGCGCTGGCCTACTTCCTGCCTTGTTCTCAGGTGAGCGTTTCTGCCTCTCCCGTGGGAGCAGGGAATGGGATGGGATGGTGTGGGAGTAGCAATTGTACCTGGGGATCCAGCCTCAAGTGTGGCTGCTTCTGGGTCCCTGAAAACCCCATTCAATGACTGCTTTCCCTGGAGATTCAACATTTTTCTTATTATTTTTATTATGTAATATTTAACACTTGGAAAATATAAAGGTTTTATTTATTATTTCACTTGTAGATCCCACTCAGGGCACACGTAGAATATTTCTAGCAACCCAGAAGTCTCCTCTGAGCTCTACCTGATAATACCTTCCCTTCCCCTGTAACTAACTGTCCTGCTCTCCAGTGCATCACCAAGTGTGCACTCCTGAGCAGTCTGGTTTGGTTTTACTTACTTTAGAACTTCATAGAGATGAAACATTCTCTTGGGACAGACTTCTTTCAAGTGAACAGTCTGAGTATGACCCTTTGCTGTGTCGTTCCCACGCACGCATTTTGGCAACAGTGGGCAGCTGTGAAGGTTCAGGTTTGCTGCTTCATCCCAAATATGAATCAGATTCACCTTGCTTTCGTCCTGAGAGTCTGAGCCTAGTTTTATGGCTCATATTTTATGAAATCAGCGTGCCATTTTACATGTAGAATCATTGTGTTTCAGGAAGGTGGATTCTGCTCACAGGGTCTTGGGAGGAATCAGTATCACAAAGGTAGCCGTTGGCTCAGGACATACCGGCTAACCCTTTAACATGTTAGCTCCTTAAGGGGAAAATATTTACGCAAAAGGACTTCACCCTGTCAGGCAGATCTCATATAATTTGGGGGCCGTTTGTTCTGCATCCAGCCCTGAAACTCTCAGCTTCCACTGGCTGCTGTGCCCTAGGAAGTTACTGTGGGAGAAGTGGAAACAGCTGAGGCCCAGGGAACCGCTCGGGCCAGAGGAACTGGAAGGTCAAGATCAACTTTGCTTATTTTGCTTGGGGGTAGGCTTGGCTGCCTCAGCTATCCTTGGCACAGGAAATGATGGAGCCCTCAGCCGTGGACTGCGGCCGGAAGTTTGCCTGGCCCCTGGCAGATCGAAGGGTCCTAATGCCACTTGATTGGTTGACAGCTGTCTATAGTTGCCACTCCCTCTGCCCCTTCAGTTTCTGCCCCCACCCCAGAGCTTCCTCCGCGGGCCCTCTGACCTATCATGTTTGTTTATTTTTTTCTCTCTAGGTGTAAATCAACTTCTTGGGTCTTGTTTCTGAGTTGGAAGATGTCACAGAAAGTGAGGAGCTGGAGTGTGTGGGGGGGTAAATAAAAGGTCTTTTTGCCTACTGTTGCCTAAGGTGTTTGTGGGGATTGGGCTGACATGGCAATTATACGGTAGGCAGGATTGGCAGACTTTTCCTTGTTGACGCTAATTTGTGATACAGATTAGATTAGATCATAGTCTATTTAGCTCTCCACAAGGCTGTGATTTGGCTTTGGAAAACCGAGAACAGGTTTTGATCCTAACCCTGCCACTTTATGTCTTGTTTTTTTTCTTTTTTTTTTTTTTATCGATTTTTTTTTGAAAGGTGGAGTGACAGAGGTGACAGAGAGGGAGAGACACAGAGACATAAAGATCTTCCATCTGCTGGTTCACTCTCCAAATGGCCGCCAAGGCCAGGCCTGGGCCAGATTGAAGCAGGAGCCAGGAGCCTTCCGGGTCTCCCACGTGGATGGCTGGGGCCCAAGCACTTGGGCCATCGTCCACTGCCTTCCCTGGCACTAGCAGGGAGCTGGATGTGAAGTAGAGCAGCCAGGCCTTGAACTGGCGCTCTAATATAGGATGTCGGTGTTGATTAGTTCTTCCCGATACGAAACTGGTAATGCCCACTAGCTGGTGGAGTGAGGTCACGGAGATGCTTTGATATAAACGCACTGTGACCTTGGCCAAGTTAGGCAACTATGCGGAACCTGCGCTCCCTGTGACTGAGTTTTCCCCACAGCGACTGGCAAAGATTCCTCGCACTTGGGGTCCACATCCAGGCTAGGTGTTTCCTGACCTCCCGCCATCCATTTTCCCGCCTTTTCCGCACCCAGCAGTGGCCATCCCTTACCCCTCCCAACCGCTACCGTGCACGCAGGCGCAGATCACGCAGCTCGCGGCTGCCTGCCTTCCCCACCCGCGCCCCCTCTAAGCTTCCCTTAGCAACAAGCTCTGGCTCGGCCCAAAGGCGGGGTCGGCGCATGCGCTGCAGCTCTCTCCGCTGCCAGTCGTCGGAGAGCGCGCTGGGCTCCTCCCTGCCGCAAGCCTAGCCCTTGTCCCCGCCTCCTCCCACCCAGGGTCCGCGTGGCGGGGCGCGCGCGCACTCGGGCTCGGTGGCTGCCTGTCTCCCGGGCCGCGGCAGTGAGGAGAGAGGGGCGGGGCTGTTTCTCTGGGGGCCCCGCCCCCTTTGGCCCGGCGTCGCTACCGCGCCTGCGCGCTCCCGCCCGGTCTCCATCTTGGAATTGGGAGGAAGAGGGAGAGGGAGACCGGGACGAGATCTGGGCTGTGGTGCGGAGAGAGGCTGAGACCGAGAAGAGGCGAGGGAGAGAGGGTGCGGGACCGTCAGCAGCGCCTTAGCTACAGTCTTCCAGCTATTCTCGGGAGAGAGAAGGGGCAGGAGAGGAGGCTGGGGCGGGAACGAGGGCTGTCACCCTCGGACCCCGGCGTGAGAGGGGCCGTGCGGCCGGACGTCCTCGGGGTGGGCCCCCCTCTCGGTGGCCGAAGACCTGGGGCCGAGGCCCCTGGGTTCCAGATTTCCGGGCTTAGCCCCTCGCTTCTCAGATACCCAGGTATCAGCCCTCATAGTCCAGGTATCTGGGACTCCGGTCCCAGCCTCTCTAAACCTGGGTCTGTGTTTGATAGAATTTCAAGTATCTGGGATTCAGGCCCCTGCGTGCATCACTGTCCGGGGTTCACTCCCCAGGCGTTCAGATACCGGATTCAGTTTGCCCCTGTTCAGATATACGGGGCTCAGACCCCACCATCGGAAATCCGGGATTCAGCAACTGTCGCCCTCGCGGAGGGGGAGGACTGGACCGCGAGGTCAGATCGGGTTGTCACCCCCTCCCCTCCAGGGGAGGCTTCCCGGGCCCGCCCCTCAGGAAGGGCGACCGCCGAGGCAGAGGTGGCAAGGGGAAAGGCCTCCTTGCCCCTCACCCTGCTTGGCAGTGCCGCTGGAGGAGCCCGGGCGGAAGCGGAGGCGCTGGGGCACCACAGTGACCCCTACCAGGTGAGACGCTTGGGGGCAGGGGCGCGGGGCCCTGCCGAGACGTTGGACCTGGGAGGAGGAAGCCCATCTGGGCCAGTCTGCAGCCTCTGGCCAGCTTCGCCTCGCCTTGCCACGCTCTTCCCCTTCCTCTTCCCTTCATTGTGTCTGGCTGGTGGGGGACCTCAGGTGACAGGGGGCTCCTGATGTCGCCGGAGGGGGGGTGTCACGCCCTAGGGTGTCTCTGCTCCTCGCAGCCACCACCTCGCCTCCTCTCTGATGAGACCCCTTTTTCCTGACTGCTTTTGGGGGTTGAATCCCATGATGGGTCGAATTGTTTTTCAGGCTTGGTCTGGTTAGGTTTCTTGTCCTTGCAAGTAAGAGAGTGTGTGTGTGTGTGTGTGTGTGTGAGAGAGAGAGTATGTATGTGCTTGGGGGGTGAGGGTTGCCTGGCAATATTTCCCTCCTGACCTCTTGCTGTGATGGTATAATGTCATGCATGTGTCAAGCAGTCTGTTACAAAGCGCTTTTTGATCCATTCTCTCACAAGATATACGCCCCCTTTACCCTGTGGGAACTCTTTGACTGCCATCTTCCCATTTTACAGTCGAGAACGTTGAGGCTCAGAGAGGTTGCCCAAGGTCATGCAGTGGCAGAATCAGGATTTGAACCCAAGTCCTCAGTCAGGTCTTGTCCCTGGTTGATGCTCGTTCTTGGCATCTTCTGTGCCTGGGCTTGGCCAGGGGTCCTTCGGAGAGCAAGTTAGGGTGAGGGTCAAAGATGGGAGTGAGATGAACTTGCTTTCCAGGAGGGAGGGCTGCCCTCAGGAGCTTCTGTCCCTGCCTCATACATTGTTCTGTTCTGTCGCCGGCCGTGACCTTCATTGTTACCCCTGCTCCCAGACCTTGGCCTGGGTCTGACAGGGCTGTGTCTTCTAACAGATGATAAGCGTCCTGGCTGCCCCTAACAGTTGAAAGCCAAGCTGTTGGGGTTGGATGATGCCCCGAAGGATGGAAGCCTTGTGGTTACCCTGGAGGCAGAGAGGGCAAACCCCACACAGAGGGGGTCTGCAGAGCATGGGCTCTCATTAAACTCTCTCAGCGGCCCGTGCCGTAGTCCCTGTCCCCAAAGCCAGAGCGAGAAGTCTGAGGAACTTCAAAGCCCTGGTGCTGCACCTCCCCGATGGGGTGGACGGGCTTCGAGGCTTAGATATGAATGGATTTGGATTTGCTCACCTGCAGGGCAGAGATGACATTGTCCGTCTTAGAAGGTGGGTGCAGACTGTGGAATGGCTCAAATGGTTGTAGGTGTCACGAGGAGGTTTTGCCAGTGGCTGGCCCTCCTGGCCTGCAGCCTGGGTCCTAGGTTGGCATTCCTGGGTCTTGTGCTGGTAAGGAGGTGGGGAGGATTCCTGTGGCAAGTTGTGGGCACCTGCCTCCGTGTGTGGGTGTGCTGAGGGGTGCTTGGCCCTGTGGCTGGCAGAAGCCGGGAGAAAGGGGCCTGCCTTGCAGCCTGCTGAGGGCTGGGCCCAGGGCAGTCAATCAATCTCGCAGGCTATTCTGAGTCCTCTGCACCCTGGGGGCCCCCTCCTTGCCCTCCATCTTCCAGTCGGGCTGAGGAGACAGAATTAACAACACAACAGGAAACAATGCATGGGTGGAATATAATTGCATGCTCAAAATTGTTAGGTGCTTTTAAGTAGCTAGAACTCTGCCTTGGGAGTCCAGCTCTGCTGCCGAGGGCTCAGGCTCGGGTGTGTGCTGGATCCCAACAAGTGCTTAGCCACGAGCCTGTCAGAGTCCCCTGGAGGATCCCAATTCTGATCCCCCGCAGGAACTTTCTCTAGGTGTTTGGCTGGGTGTTCTCCGTAGGAGTTCTCTCCGAGGGCTGGAGTGGTCAGGGCGGGCTTCCTGTACGAGGGTGCTAAGCTCAGGGTGATGCACCGAGTGCACAAACCATGCAGGGCTGACTGAGGAGAGGGTGCTGGTGTCTGACCTTGGAGAAGTCCTTTTCCCCTCGGGTGCCGCTCTGACCTCACATGGGAAAGGGTGATCCTGACCCTGGGCTACTCCGAAAGCGCCGCGGTGGGGGATTGGCTTTGAGCAAGTCGCGTAACCCTGAGAGCTGCTTTCTTTGTAAAGATCCGGGTGCTGCTAACTTAGTTCATGCGGTCGTGCTGAGGGTCGAGTGAGGCGCTTACTATACCTGCTCAAAAACACCACTCACGCACGGCCACCGTCCCGGAGGCACGGACAGCCCAGGGCACTTGAATGGGACCAGAGTACAGAGGCCGGCACAGCCAGCCGCCGGCCTTCCCATTCTAGATCTCCCTGCCACAGTGCCCCTGCCCTTTTGGAGAGTCTCCTGGCCCCACTGGGCCAGTACCCACTTGGAACAATGGCCGGATTTCCACCGCCTCCGGCCTAGCCATTTCCTGTTCTCTTCCAGGGTGTGTGAGGTTGAGGGAGGAGGGGGCCTCGGCGCCAAGGGGAATGGGAAGATGCCTGGAGACAGCCGAGGGGGTGGGACTTGTGGGACAGGCCACGTGGGGCCGTGGAGCACGGGCTGGGAAGTAGCATCTTTTCCCCCCTCGAGGGGCCAAGTCGGGGTTCTGGCGAAAGGGGAACTTGTGGGCCGAGGGGGATGGTGGGGATGCTTAGCTTCCCAGAGTCTTCCTAGCAGTTTTAGGGACTCCAGGGACCTGGCCCCCGTGATCCGGTTGCCAGGGCAACTTGGTTTTTGTGGAGCTTTGGTATTGTTCCTGGTCTCCCCCTGCCCTTCCTCAGCGGTGCCTCCCCCTCATGTGGGAACGCGGGGAGGAGACGGCAGAAGCTGGGGGGCCTCTGCCTTCTTCTAAGCATCCCGTCTTCCTTCTCCAGGCCAGGCCCTACTCTCAGGGCCCCCAGGGGCCACCATGCCAGCTGGGGGCCGGGCCGGGAGCCTGAAGGACCCCGATGTGGCCGAACTGTTCTTCAAGGATGACCCCGAAAAGCTCTTTTCCGACCTCCGGGAAATTGGCCACGGCAGCTTTGGAGCTGTGTACTTCGTGAGTCGGGTCTTGGGCTGGTAAAGTAGGGGTGGGGACGCCATCCTTAACCCCTGTGGACCTCCGGACGGGCCCGCTCCACCAGCGGCAACCCTTCCCGCCCTTTCTGCTGGGCCCCGCCCTCTTCTCCCAGGAGCCTTCACCACCTCTGGTCTCACCCGCAGGCCCGGGATGTCCGGAACAGCGAGGTGGTGGCCATCAAGAAGATGTCGTACAGCGGGAAGCAATCGAATGAGGTGGGGCGGGCTGCATGTGACCAGGGCGGGGAGCAGGGTCCCCCCACCCCGCGCGTGAGGCGCAGACTCTGTAGCCCCCTCCCATCCTGACTTCCTTCCTCCTAGAAATGGCAGGACATCATCAAGGAGGTGCGCTTCTTACAGAAGCTCCGGCATCCCAATACCATTCAGTACCGGGGCTGTTACCTGAGGGAGCACACGGCATGGGTGAGCTGGGCTCCGCACTCTGCCTCCTCTCCTCCCCCAGCCCCCCGGCTCAGGAGCATCCTTGGCCTGGCCCAGTCTCAGGCTGCCGTTGTGGGATCGTGCGGCGGGGGGGGCGGGGGGGGGAGGTGTGTCTAGACCACTTTGGTTCTCAGACAAACCCACGAGCAGCAGTGTCGGTCCAGAGGGAGCAGCCGGCTCCCAGAGGGACAAGGACTGTGAGCCCATGGTAGAGGGCCTTCGGGCTGGTGGGGCTGGGGGCCCTGGGGCCTTCAAGGGATTCCGTGGGAGTGGAGGTTTGTGTCCTGGGCTCTTTTTCAGGGAGGTCCTGACTTCGGGGATTGTCCCGTCACCCCCTCTCTTCCTCCACTTGCCCTTCCTGCCTCTCATTCTTCCGGGGCATTGCCCAGGAGGAGGATGGGCTAGGAGGCTCTGTTTTTACGTCTGCCCAGGGAGCAGGGCCAGGGTAGCCGGGAACTGCTGACCTCTGACCTTTGACTCTTTCTTAGCTGGTGATGGAGTATTGCCTGGGTTCAGCTTCTGACCTTCTAGAAGGTAAGTGACTTGCTGGCTCTGGGGGGGAGAAGGGGAGAGAGGAGAGAAGCCCGTGCTGCCGGCCCGCCACAGGGCTCCCTGAGTCTGCTGTGTCCCCCTCGCTCCCCAGTGCATAAGAAGCCCCTTCAGGAGGTGGAGATCGCAGCGGTGACCCACGGGGCGCTGCAGGGCCTGGCGTATCTGCACTCCCACAACATGATCCATAGGTACGGGCAGCCCGGCGGGGCGGGGTGGGGGCACTCTGCTTCCCCTCAGCTCCCTGGGCCGCAGCCCCTGCCCAGCCCTCCACACTGTCACCTCCATGCCTGGTCTATGCTTCTGGCAGGGATGTGAAGGCTGGGAACATCCTGTTGTCGGAGCCAGGCCTGGTGAAGCTGGGGGACTTCGGCTCCGCGTCCATCATGGCACCTGCCAACTCCTTCGTGGGCACCCCATACTGGTGAGCGGGAGCGGTGGCGACTGGCAGTGCTCCCAGCTGGTGGGGTCTGGACGGAGGCTGAGCCTCTTTGTCCTTGCCATTCTCCAGGATGGCTCCAGAGGTGATCTTGGCCATGGATGAGGGGCAGTATGACGGCAAAGTGGACGTCTGGTCCCTGGGGATAACCTGCATCGAACTGGGTAAGGACGGCCTCCCCACTGCCCCTCCTCCGCCCTCTTCTCCACTCCTTTCTGTTCCGTCCCCTGTCCCATCCTTCTCAGATGGGCGCCCAGGCCTGCATGTGCGTGTCTTAACTTGACCTTAGAGCTGCCCGCTACAGGCAACTGTCAGAGCCTGCCAGCTCTCAGGCCTAAAGGGTTTGCGGCATTCCTGTCTTCCTGTCCAGCCCCCTGGTTCTCGACCTGTTTTGTGTGTTCGCTGTGTGCCATGCACAGTGCTAGGTTCTGAGGCCACAGCAGAGAGATTCCGGCCCTCATGAGACTTGCATTGGACTTGGGGAAGCAAGGCATGTTTTCTCTCAGTGGGACGAAAGCCAAGCGGGGAACTTCTGGGGGGCACAAATGTAAGACAGAGGACTTGATTTAGTCCCTTGGCTGAGGAAGTCCTCTGTGTAGCAGGGGTGTTTGAACAGACCTACTGGACAAATAAAACCTCTTTGAAAGATGTGGGGAAGAGCATTCCAGACAGAGAGAGTGGCCTGTGTGGGAGCCTGCGGGGAGAGCAGGCGTGGGGAGCTGAGACGAGCTGCCCTCGCCAGGAACGTGACTTGGGACGCGGAGAGGCGTGAGAAGGGCCGCGAGTCAGGCCCCCGGGAGCTCACGCGGTTGCCGCCGTTGGCAGGGTCCTCGTCTCTGCCAGCCTGCCCTGTTGAAGCAGCCATTTAATGAGATAGTGCTTTTAGGGCCAAGACAGGCGCCGTTAGCAGCAGAGGTGGTTCTGCTGCCACCGTCTCCTTCCTTCCAGTCTCTTCAGTTCTCAGGCCTTCAAGATCTGCCAAAGCTCAGTGCCGTCATCATAGCCCTTGCTCGGGCCAGCAGTGGCTCCCCACCGCCTGCAAGACTGAGCCATCCCCATCCTTCCTTGGCTGCCCCTCCACCCCCCGTCATGGCCACCACCCTAGCGTGTATCATGGCCTTTCCTACTCTCCCACCTCAGTTTGTATCATCCTCTGTCCTCGAGCGGAGTTTAGGACATGCCCTTTTGCCCATCTCCACAGTTCGTATTGACCATTCAAGGCTGGGGCCAGACGGGTGACAGAAGTGCATGGAGCAGGTCACGTGTAAGAGAAAGCTAGGCCAGTGCGTCGTGGATAGGGACGGGGCATGGAGTACTTGTGTGCTGATGGAGGCACCCAGCCAGCCTGATGCCCAAGGGTAGCTGGTGTTCCGAGTCCCTGTTAGGGAAGCCGTGGCAAACCGTGCTCTGCTCCTGAAGAGAGGGCAGTGGCCATTTCCCTGCAGCCACGCTGCGGCAGTACTGTCAGCTCCATTTCACCACACCTCATTTTTTTAAGAGAAAAGGAAATCAAGATCACTAGCACTTCGTTATTGTTGATATTTAATTGTAAGAAGTCAGGGGCTGGCGCTGCGGCTCAGTAGATTAAAGCTGCACCCTGCAGGGCCGGCATCCCATATGGGCACTGTTTCGAGTCCCAGCTGCTCCACTTCTGAACCAGCTCCCTGCTAATGGGCTTGGGAAAGTAGCAGAGGATGGCCCAAGTGTTTGAGCCCCTGCGCCCACATGGGAGACCTGGAAGAAGCTCCTGGCTTTAGCCTGGCCCAGCCCTGGCCATTGCAGTCCTTTGGAGAATGAACCAGTGGATGAAAATTCTCTCTGTCCTTCTCTTTCTATGTAACTCTGGTTTTCAAATAAATAATTAAATCTTAAAAAAAAAAAAAAAAAGTCACTGTGTAGGCCAGAAACAAACAAGGAAATGTTGTCTGGCCCACAGGGGGCTCCTGGTGTGCAACTTCCAATCCAGAGTCCGGTTACACTGCCCCTTATTCTGAAGGGTGTCCCCCTGCAAGCGTCCCGGCCTGAGGGCCTCCTGCCATTCCCCCGTCTCCCTCTGCCGCCGCTCGGCACTCGGAACCTGTTCCATCTTCTCTTTCACACCCGAAGTCCCTGGAGGACAGGGCCGGATCCTTGTTTTGCTTTATCTTCCCCATAGCACTTCGCAAGCCGTTTGCTCTCGTCTGCTACCCAGCACCTGTTAGTTGGGCTAATAACTGGGTGGGCTTCCTTCTGTCTTTCTCTCGAAAGCTCTTGGCCGTGCTGCTTTCTTTGGAGCCTGTGCCACCCACATGTAGCTGAGACGATGGGGTGTGCCCCGGACAGGATGACGGGAATCGCTCGAGGTCATGTGACAAGGAAGTCGGGGAGCAGGGATTTGAGCCCAAGGCAGCGGAGTTCCACTTCAGTTTCCCTTCTCACCTTCTCCCACTTTGTCCGTAGCGGAACGAAAACCACCGCTGTTCAACATGAATGCGATGAGTGCCTTATACCACATTGCACAGAACGAGTCCCCCGTGCTCCAGTCAGGACACTGGTGAGCACTGGGATTCCCGAAATCAGGGTTAGGCCAGGGGTAGGCGCCTGGCTCATGCCCTGCCCACCCTTCTCCCCTCCTCTGACTTCCAGGTCTGAGTACTTCCGGAATTTTGTCGACTCCTGTCTTCAGAAAATCCCTCAAGACAGACCAACCTCAGAGGTGCTTCTGAAGGTGAGCGCTTCCTCACCTCGCGTTCTAGAATGTTCTGGAAACTCGTCAGTGAAAGTAGATGCAGCCTCCATCCAGAGCTTCATGTCTGACTCCCCACCCCCGTCCCAGTGCCAGCAGGCTCCACGGTGTACAAGATTTTGTCTACCTGACCGCATGAATTTATTAAGTTACCATTTGTTTTTCCATCTTTTGTTAAGTAAAGATGTGTATAATTGCCAACAGCTTCTGGTCAGCATGCAGTAACCAGGGCCGCCACACTGACCTATGTAACTCAAGCCCAAAGCTTGAGTGTGGTTTCCTGGTGGTGTTTCTGAGTCCAGGCTCACAGATCCCTGGGGACCTAAAGAGCCCAGTTGGGAACTGGCTTAGATTGCCTCGTCTCGTCTGACCTGTTGGCTTTTTTATTTTTAAAGATTTATTTATTTATTTGAAAGTCAGAGTTACACAGAGAGAGGAGAGGCAGAGAGAGAGAGAGAGAGAGAGGTCTTCCATCATGTGGTTCACTCCCCAAATGTCTGCAATGGCCGGAGCTGTGCCAATCCGAACCTAGGAGCCTCCTCCAGGTCTCCCACATGGGTGCGGGGACCCAAAGGCTTGGACCATCTTCTGCTGCTTTCCCAGGCCACAGCAGAGAGCTGGATCGGAAGTGGAGCAGCCAGTTCTCGAACTGGCGCCCGTATGGGATGCCAGCGCTTCAGTCCAGGGTGTTAACCTGCTGCGCCACAGTGCTGGCCCCAACTGTTGGCTTTATAATTGGGGAGATCCCTTCCATGGTCCAAAGAGGTCTTGTGACATGTCCAAGGTCATGAGGCACCTCGGTAGAGGAGCTGGACCGGAAGCCACATCTCTGACTGTTCCTGCCTGCCAGCCATGCCTGGCAGGACAAGAGACTGACTGAGGAGGAGGGACGGAGTGGTGAGGAGGGACTGGGACAAGGCCAGTGTTGATGAACCCATGGTGGGCATGGCTCCAGGGGAGCGCCTCGGGTCAGAGGGGCTGCTGAGAGCCGTGGTTGTAGGGGTCGGGGGTGTTGGCCACAGGCCTCAGCGTTCTCTTCCCCCAGCACCGCTTCGTGCTCCGGGAGCGGCCACCCACAGTCATCATGGACCTGATCCAGAGAACCAAGGATGCCGTGCGGGAGCTGGACAACCTGCAGTACCGCAAGATGAAGAAGATCCTCTTCCAGGAGGCCCCGAACGGCCCTGGCGCCGAGGCCCCCGAGGAGGAGGAGGTGACCCAGCTCGCCCTGTGCCCTGCCACCTTTGATTCCGCCCGCCCAGTGCTGCGCTTGTATTACCCTAGCGGCTTCTCGGGCCCCTCCCTCCTGGTCTCCATGCACACTCCCCTGTCCTTCTTCCCTGCCCAACAGCCCACGCCCTGTTCGCAGGAGACGGAGCCCTACATGCACCGGGCTGGGACGCTGACCAGTCTGGAGAGTAGCCACTCGGTGCCCAGCATGTCCATCAGCGCCTCCAGCCAGAGCAGCTCGGTCAACAGCCTGGCAGACGCCTCGGACAATGAGGAGGAGGAGGAAGAGGAGGAGGAGGAAGAGGAGGAAGAGGAAGGCCCTGAAGCCCGAGAGATGGCCATGATGCAGGAGGGGGAGCATACAGTCACCTCACACAGCTCCATCATCCACCGGCTGCCGGTACGCAGCGCCCCGAGCGGCCTGGAGACGGGAGGCCGAGCCTGAGCTGTGTGCTCAGGAGCTGCCTGGGTCCCTCCTCCCAGTCTCATGGGGTCTCCTTGGGTAATGCCCGCTGGGCCCAGTGGCCTCTGAGCCTTGGGCATCCCTTCCGCTTTCCCTTCCGCCAGGGCTCTGACAACCTGTATGATGATCCCTACCAGCCAGAGATGACTCCAAGCCCTCTCCAGCCACCTGCAGCCCCAGCTCCCGCCTCCACCACCTCTTCCGCCCGCCGCCGGGCCTACTGCCGCAACCGGGACCACTTTGCCACCATCCGCACTGCCTCCCTGGTGAGTAAGGCCATCCTCGCCGCATCCAGGAGGGCCCAGCCATCCTTCTGAGTCCAGAAACAGTTCTTCCTCCTCCGCGCCCCGTCACGTGATCTGGTCCAGTGTCTCCCTCACTCTGGTGCCGTCTCTCTCACCTGATCCTCCCAGCAGACAGTGCTGGTCCCTCTGCACAGTCTGCTGTTCCTGGCTTAAATGCCCACCCTGGGGTGTTGCCAGTCGGGCGCTGCGCGGCCCTGGGCTGTGGGGTCCCCAAGGGGCCCCGCGCAGGCCTGTGGGGTTCCATGCCCCAGAGGCAGGGGCAGCGGTCAGTCCACTGGCTCACACATGCCCGAGTAGGCCTTCTGGAGGAAGAGGTGGGAGAGGACAGGGTTCCAGTTGAGACTAAAGGGCTGGGGTTCGGTGGGCTGCTTGCCCCAGGCACGTGCCCAAGCACATTCATTGGCTCTTAAGTTCTGTTACAATCAAGTCGTGTCGGTCATTTTCCTCGGGTCGCAGGAGGAACAAGCCGGCTCGATGCTGCATTCAAACAGCTTTGCCTCCGTGCTTTTCATACACCTCTAGACCATATCCCTGTGTAGCTGAATTCGCCCGGCAGCTACCTCCTCAGAGCTCTAGCCTGTGCTTGTGGCCTGTCCTTGTGGCTGCTGGGTTTGCTGGAACAGCTCTTGAGCGCCTGTGGGGCTTGGCAGACAGCTCTGTGACTTCCGGGCTCTGGGCCCTTTGGCTAGTGTGAGGAGAGCGGGGCCTGAGACCCGACCGAGATGGGACATCTCAGCCCAGGGTCGGTGTCAATCCAGGATCCTGTGTTTGGAGCCTGGGGTACCGTGGGCCCTCTGTGTTTGCTGAAAGGAAGGGAACCAATGTTCTGGAGACTACTATGTGTATACCAAGCTGAACCTACCTACCTCCACCCCCAGGAGGAGGTGTTATTGCCCCTTTTGTCTGGTGAGAAAACTGACACTTTGGAGAAGTTAGCTTTCTTGAGATCACACGGGTAGTAACAGGCAGAGCTGGGAGTTGAGCCCGCGTCGGTCTGAGTCACTTCTGAACTAATCCGAGTTGTTCCTACTTTCTGCCAGCCCGGTGCTTGCCTCATTTTATCACCTGGTTCAGTCACGGGCCTTGGAGTGGGTTAGTACCTCCGCTCTCCAGTTGGGGACCCAGGCTCAGGTTCGCGTCAGTGTGCGGCAGGTGCCAGCTGAGCCTGAATCAGTGCCTCGGAAGCCTGCGTTCTCCCCAGTGGAGCAGGAGGGCTGTGCGTGAACGAAGCAGGGGCCAGCGCTGAGCCGCGGCTCTCCCTGGCTCCCGCCGCAGGTCAGTCGGCAGATCCAGGAGCACGAGCAGGACTCCGCCCTGCGGGAGCAGCTGAGCGGCTACAAGCGGATGCGGCGACAGCACCAGAAGCAGCTGCTGGCCCTGGAGTCGCGGCTGAGGGGCGAACGCGAGGAGCACAGCGCACGCCTGCAGCGGGAGCTTGAGGCCCAGCGGGCCGGCTTTGGGGCCGAGGCGGAGAAGCTGGCGCGGCGGCACCAGGCCATCGGGGAGAAGGAGGCGCGAGCCGCGCAGGCCGAGGAGCGCAAGTTCCAGCAGCACATCCTGGGGCAGCAGAAGAAGGAGCTGGCCGCGCTGCTGGAGGCACAGAAGCGCACCTACAAGCTTCGCAAGGAGCAGCTGAAGGAGGTGGCTGGGGGCCGCGCGGGCGGGGGGCACGGCAGGCGGGTGGGCCCTGACCCTTCTCCCCCCGCCGCCCACCCTTGCCCAGGAGCTCCAGGAGAACCCCAGCACCCCGAAGCGGGAGAAGGCCGAGTGGCTGCTGCGGCAGAAGGAGCAGCTCCAGCAGTGCCAGGCGGAGGAGGAGGCGGGCCTGCTGCGGCGGCAGCGCCAGTACTTTGAGCTGCAGTGCCGGCAGTACAAGCGCAAGATGCTGCTGGCTCGGCACAGCCTGGACCAGGACCTGCTGCGCGAGGTGGGCTCCCCCAGCGCCCAGCCTCTGCTGCCTGCTCGCGGCTCCCGGCTGCCTGCCCGTTGCCGTCTGCCGCCCTCTGTCTTACTTTGGCCTCTCTGTGCAGTGTTAGGGCTCGGCGGGGCTTCAGCACCCCTCTTTCTTCCCGTCCCCATCAGGCCCAGCTCAGAGGTCAGCCAAGAGCTAGGTTCCTTCAGGCCCCGCTGCTCCCAGCCCCCTCCGCCGAGGCACCCCGGGTGCTTGCTGACCAGGCCCTGTTTTCCTTCTGCCTCAGGACTTGAACAAGAAGCAGACACAGAAGGACTTGGAGTGTGCGTTGCTGCTGCGGCAGCATGAGGCCACGCGGGAGCTGGAGCTCCGGCAGCTGCAGGCCGTGCAGCGCACACGGGCCGAGCTCACCCGCCTGCAGCACCAGACAGAGCTAGGCAACCAGCTGGAGTACAACAAGCGGCGTGAGCAAGAGTTGCGGCAGAAGCACGCGGCCCAGGTTCGCCAGCAGCCCAAGAGCCTCAAAGTACGTGCAGGCCAGCGCCCCCCGGGCCTCCCGCTCCCCACTCCTGGGGCTCTGGGACCACCCAGCACAGGCACCCCTAGCGAAGAGCAGCCCTGCTCAGCTGGCCAGGAGGCAGTCCTGGACCAAAGGATGCTGGGAGAGGAGGAGGAAGCAGTTCCAGAGAGAAGGATTCTGGGAAAGGAAGGGAGCACCTTGGAGCCAGAGGAGCAGAGGATTTTGGGAGAGGAATCAGGAACCCCTAGTCCCAGTCCGCAAAACCATGGGGGTCCTGTTGATGAGGAAGTTTGGGATCCGCCTGAGGAGGAGCTGAAGGGGCTTAGAGTCCCATCCTTGTCACCCCAGGAGAGGAGCATTGTTGGCCAGGAGGAAGCTGGGGCGTGGAGGGTGTGGGAGAAGGAGGACGGGGCTCTTCTCGATGAGCAGTTTGAGCTTGGCTGGGTCCAGGGCCCAGCACTGACTCCCGTCCCTGAGGAGGAGGAGGAGGAGGATGACGACGGGGCGCCGATAGGTACCCCTAGGGACCCTGGAGATGGCTGTCCCTCCCCAGACATCCCCCCTGAGCCCCCTCCGCTACACCTGAGGCCCGGCCCTGCCAGCCAGCTCCCTGGACTCCTGTCCCACGGCCTCCTGGCCGGCCTCTCCTTTGCAGTGGGGTCATCCTCTGGCCTCCTGCCCCTACTACTATTGCTGCTGCTCCCATTGCTGGCGGCCCAGGGTGGGGGTGGCCTGCAGGCAGCACTGCTGGCCCTGGAGGTAGGGCTGGTGGGCCTGGGGGCCTCTTACCTGCTCCTTTGTACAGCTCTGCACCTGCCCCCCAGTTTGTTCCTGCTCCTGGCCCAGGGCACTGCCCTGGGGGTCGTCCTGGGCCTGAGCTGGCGCCGAGGCCTTATGGGTGTCCCTCTGGGCCTGGGGGCTGCCTGGCTGCTAGCTTGGCCAGGCCTGGCTCTACCTCTGGTGGCCGTGGCAGCTGGGGGCAAATGGGTGCGGCAGCAGGGCCCCCGGGTGCGCCGGGGCATCTCTCGACTGTGGTTGAGGGTTCTGCTGCGCCTGTCACCCGTGGTCTTCCGGGCCCTGCAGGGCTGTGGGGCCGTGGGGGACCGGGGCCTGTTTACACTCTACCCCAAGACCAACAAGGACGGCTTCCGCAGCCGCCTGCCTGTCCCTGGGCCCCGGCGAGCTCATCCCCGCTCTGCCCAGCACCCACTAGCCCTGCTGGCAAGGGTTTGGGCCCTGTGCAAGGGCTGGAACTGGCGCCTGGCACGGGCCAGCCAGGGTTTAGCCTCTCACCTGCCCCCCTGGGCTATCCACACACTGGCCAGCTGGGGCCTGCTGCGGAGCGAACGGCCCAGCCGGATTCCCCGGCTGCTACCACGCAGCCAGCGACGACTGGGGCCCCTTACCTCCCGCCAGCCACCGCCAGGGAGTCTAACTGGGCGGAGACCCAGAGCCCGCCAGTCGCGGGCCCTGCCTCCTTGGAGGTAACCAGCTCCAGGCCAAATCTAGAGCGACGAGCACTTTATCTGCCAGGACTCAGTGAGGCTGTGCAGCCCCCAGTCCCCTCCCCACTGCAGCCCCCTCCTCAGTGTGCTTCCCGCCACAGGCCCAGCCTCCCCGGGGAGCCCAGAGGTTCCACTCTGTGTTCTGACGCCCTCCCCTAAGTTATTGCTGTCCTCCCGCTGTGTGTGTGCTCATCCTCACCCTCATCGACTTGGACCTGGGGCCAGGGGGTGCTGGGGGAGGGGGGAAGAGTCATGGTTTTTTTTTTTTCTCCTCTTTGATTTTGTTTTTCTGTCTCCCTTCCAACCTGTCCCCTCCCCCCCACCAAAAAAAAAAAAAAAAAAGACAAACACAAATAAAATATCTGAGCGGAACTGTACCTTTGGCCCAGGCTGCCTCTGTCTGCTTTGTCCTGCCGCCTAGCCTCCCCGGTATGCCCCCAGTCTGGACCCTCGGCCCCAGCTCCATGGCCTCTTCACCCCATCTCCGTTATCTCAGCCCCTTTCACTCCTCAGCCTCATCCTCTGCCTTCATAGCTTCATCACCACCGTGACCGCCACCAGTCCCGGGGGCTGGGCCCCGGTGAGCTTCCACAGAGCTTCTTGGTCCCACAGTTGCCCTGTTGGTGGCTTCCTGCCAGACAGCCCCTAGGTTCCAGGTCCTTCGACCTCCTTACCCACTCCCTGCCTTCTCTCCTGACCCACTCGCTACACGGTTCCCTTGTTGGGGAGCGGAGTTTGTCTCTTGCACCAGGCATTATCCTAGAGGCTTGGGGGATGGGACTGCAAGCCGTCCACAGCAGGGATGGCGAGCTCGGGGGCCAGGCAGAGAGTGTGGGCCTGCTAACGGGGTTGGTGTGGGCTTGGAGCGGGAGCCAACAGCGGAGGGGCCGCACTGGGATGTGGATCTGGTCAGGGTGGCCGCTGCGGGCCTGTCGAACTTGTCAGGCCCTCTCTGGCCGCCTCCCTTGCCCTGTTCCCTCTGTGGCCTGAAACAGGGCAGCCCCTTCTTATCCACCTCTCAGCTCGGTGCTTCTCCCTCCCTGCCTTCCTCCCTGGGTGCTGCACCTGGGACTTCCTCTGTCTCTCTCCAGTTGTGTCGCTTTCTGCCCTGGGTGTGTGTGCGTGTGACTCCGTCCCGTGCACCTCCTTGTGTTTGCTCACATGCTTCTGTCTCGAGGTGGCGTTCTCCCTCTTTGCATGGTGCACGCTGCTTCTGTGCACTTGGTGCCCTCCAGAGCCTCAGTTTCCCGTCCGTGAACTCTGACCTTCCTGCTCGTGGCATTCCACCCGACTCCAGACGCGCTCTCGGGACCTGTCTTGTTTTCTCTGCATCTCTTGCCCATCGAGACCCTGCTGATCCTCTCAACACAGTCCCATCTCGTGTCTGTCTGTATACAGCTCCCCCCGCCCCCTCTGTCTAACATGTTTTCTGTTTCTCTCCCTCTCCCTGTCTCTGCTTCTGTCTCCTCTCCTCCTCTCTCTCTTCTCCCCTCTTCCCCCGGTTGTTCCTCCTCCTCCTCTCCCCTGCCCCGTCTCCCTTTGATCCATTCCACTGCGTAGTCTAAGGAGCTGCAGATCAAGAAGCAGTTCCAGGAGACATGCAAGATCCAGACCCGGCAGTACAAGGCCCTGCGGGCGCACCTGCTGGAGACCACGCCCAAAGCCCAGCACAAGAGCCTCCTTAAGCGGCTCAAAGAAGAGCAGACCCGCAAGCTGGCGATCCTGGCCGAGCAGTACGACCAGTCCATCTCCGAGATGCTCAGCTCGCAGGCGGTGAGGCCTGGGGTCCTGGGAGGGAGCGTCTGTTTCGGGCTTAGCGGTGGGGTGTGGGCGGAGCTGGAGCTCAGGTGGTCTCTCGCTGTTGGTGGTCTTGGCGATGGTTCTGTGGTTTTGTATCCACCTCAGCGGTTTTATTTTCCCTCTTAGTATTCTCTTAAGGTCTTACCAAGCCAGCCTGCCTACTCTGCCGAGAGCCACCAAGGAAAAGAGTGGCGCTAGTCTTTCCCTGGGCCCGAGTGAGTTCTCTGTGTGAGCAGGGAGCAGGTTCAAATGGGTGCGGCCCTCAGGCCTGTCTACCCACGCTTCTGAGGATTTCAGAGACTGCTGTGGTAAAGTCGCCACGCAGCAGCCCAGGAGTGGGCCGCGTAAAACGTCCCTGGAGCGCAGAGCCCCTGCTCCGCCCAGGTCCCCCCTCTCAGAGGTAACGCGCTCAGAGTTAACGGAGGGTTTTTCCAAAGCCTATTTTGGAAAACTCTGAGAACTTTAAGCACAAAGGGACTCACACCTTATGCGCTGGTCTCTAACTTCCTTTTCCTACGGAGTATTTCTAAACATCTTTCCCCGTCAGTACACAGATTTTTTTTTACAGCATAAAATTTCCCGTGGGTTGGCTGTACCATCATTTACTTCACCCATCCCTTATTGGTGGACATTTAGGTTGATTCCAGTATGTTGCTCTCGCCCCGCCTCCGAGAACAGCTGGAGCACATGTGCAAGTATACCCGGGGCATAGATTCCTGCGAGTGTAATTGCTGTGCCGCAGGGTACGACCCTCTTCCGTTCGGATAGAGCCCGACACCGCCGCTTCTCGAAACCTTAGGGCCCAGGCCTACCTGGGGCAGGGGAGGATTGTGGGGGCAGCGGCGGAGGCCCCTGACACCGGTGCCTCTGTCCTCCAGCTGCGACTCGACGAGACCCAGGAGGCGGAGTTCCAGGCCCTCCGGCAGCAGCTGCAGCAGGAGCTGGAGCTGCTCAACGCTTACCAGAGCAAGATCAAGATCCGCACGGAGAGCCAGCACGAGAGGGAGCTGCGGGAGCTGGAGCAGAGGGTGGCTCTGAGGCGCGCGCTGCTGGAGCAGCGGGTGAGCGGCTGGGCCTCCCGGGAGGGGCGGGCCGGCCGCCTGCCGCCTGCCGCCCTGGGCTCTCTGACCTCCCTTCTGGGTACCCAGGTGGAAGAGGAGCTGCTGGCCCTGCAGACCGGGCGCTCCGAGCGGATCCGGAGTTTGCTCGAGCGCCAGGCCCGGGAGATCGAGGCCTTCGACGCCGAGAGTATGAGGCTGGGTTTCTCCAGTATGGCTCTAGGGGGCATCCCAGCCGAGGCTGCTGCCCAGGGCTACCCCGCCCCGCCCCCTGCCCCTGCCTGGCCCTCCCGCCCTGTCCCCCGCTCCGGGGCGCACTGGAGCCACGGCCCTCCCCCGCCAGGCATGCCCCCTCCTGCCTGGCGGCAGCCGTCTCTACTAGCTCCCCCAGGTCCCCCAAACTGGCTGGGGCCCCCAACGCAGAGTGGAACGCCGCGGGGTGGGGCCCTGCTGCTGCTCCGGAACAGCCCGCAGCCCCTGCGGCGGGCGGCCTCCGGGGGCAGTGGCAGTGAGAGCGTGGGCCCACCCGCTGCCGCCGTCCCCGGGCCTCTGAGTCGCAGCACCAGTGTTGCTTCCCACATTCTCAACGGTTCTTCCCACTTCTATTCCTGAAGTTGGGCGGGTGAGCCACGTGGGGCAGGGACAGGGGTGGGAGGAGCCCGATCCGAGCAGGCAGTGAGCTTGAGGCCTACTCAAGGGTGGGGGACAGGATGTTGGCTCCAGCTCCCCTCCAACCGCCTCATCTCATGAGCTTCTTGGGGCTGGCCAGTGGCCCTGGGCCAGCTGGGGCATCGGATGCCACAAGGCTGCCCGGGAGCCCTGCCTCCCCACCATGGTGCCAGGGTCTCCCTCCATCACCGCCTGGGACAGGAGGGAGCTGTGCGTGTCAAATATTCACTAGTCCCCTGGGGGCGGGGAAGGGTGGGTCTAGATTATTATATCCAGAGAACTATACTACCCTCACAGGGGGGCATGGACTCGGGACGGCAGGGCCCCCAGACCTGGGACGTGGCAGAGCAGGTCTGGGCCCGAGGCGGGGAGAATGGGAGGCCTTCCTCGGCAAGAAGGATCCGGATGGGGTCTTGGGGTCAGGATGCCTGGGTGTCTCCATTCCCTGTGCTGTCTGACGTCCTGTGCTGTCTTGTCCTTTACCTTTTTTTTTTTAATGCGGTTCGGGCTGGGGCGGGGGAACAAGGGAAGGACCTTGGAAAGGGCCATCGGGGGAGCCCCTGTCAGCTGGGGCAGGCACAGAGCCCCAGGCAAGCTTTTAATAAACTGTTGGTTATTCTAACAGGTCCCAAGCCTCACCCTTTCTGTCTAAGGAGCGTGTGGGAACGAGTGATAGCTACTGTTTGCATTTAAAAAGAGAATTTATTTGGCGGAGTAGCTAGGACTTTGATTGATTTTAAGAGTTACAGAGAGTATTCCATCTGCTGGTTCGTTCCCCAGTTGGCCACGACGGCTGGAGCTGTGCCAATCCAGAGCCAGGAACTTCTTCCGGGTCTCCCACTTCGGTGCAGGGGCCCAAGCGCCGGCCCCCTTTGAGTGATTTAATGACTTCACGGGTACAGGGCCTCGAGGGAGCTCATCAACCTCTGCTTTCACTTCAGATTCTCCAGAGGGTCACTTCCTCTACAGACCCTGGCGGCTCCCAGCTTAGGTCTCAGAGCACCCGCAGAAGCAAGGCAGCGGAGTGCTGCATCTGTAGCCAGAGGTCCAGAGCACTCTGATTGGTCAGTCAGGCACCAGGGGGCTGTTTGAACAGGAAGGGGTGTGAGCCATAAACATCAGCTATTCCCAGATCATTGTATGTTTCACTTTTTTTTTTTTAAAGGCAGAGTTAACACAGAGATCTTCCACTTGCTAGTTCATTCCCCAAATGGCCACAATGTCCAGGGCTGGGCCAAGCTAAAGCCAGGAGCTTGATCCAGGTCTCCCACGTGGGTGCAGGGGCCCAAGCACTTGGGCCATCCGCTGCTTTCTCAGACACATAAGCAGGAAGCTGGATCAGAAGTGGAGCAGCCGGGACTCAAACCTGTTACTGTATGGGATGCTATCATTGCAGTTGGAGGTTTAACCGATTCTAGCGCAACATCGGCCCCTTGTGCACCATTCTTCATGCCAGTGACTTGGAGCCTCCTGCCAACCGAGCGTTGGGTTAGCGGAGCCCACTAAAAGCAGGGTGACCAGTCAGGCCCCCTGGCCAGGCTCGAGGAAGCAGCCTGGTGGTAACTTCCGAGGGCGGGGGCAGGGCAGGTGGTGCCTGAAGTTCAGAGCCAAGAGTGGGGAACCAGTTTTGATGAGGTCATTACAAACATTCCTTTATTAAGACCTAAAAAATAAACCCTTTGAACACTTGAGAGAGGATGTGAAGCCAGGAAGTTTTGTCCTGACAGCCGTGTCCCTGGGGCTGCAGCACTGTCCAGAGAAAGCTGCCTCGGCTCGTGCGGGCACAGAGCTCGCCGGGCTGTGAGGACTTCTATACAGACAGGTGGGAAGGGGCCTCGGGGGGTGAGGCGCTCAGGTACTGTCGCCGTCACTGCTGATGATGCCGCGCATGTGGGACCAGTCTGTGGGTGCCAGGCGGGGCCCTTCCTCCTCCGAGTCCAGGGTCCGGCGGTACAGCTCCCCGGGGGCAGCTGCTGTGGGGTTCCAAGCTGTGCGTCTGCGTGGCCGGCCTGGGGGAGAAGCGGAAATGAGCCGGCTGGGACAGTGCGATGCCATCGGCTCTCGGGGGCTGTGAGGAGGAACCAGGTACCTGAACCACTGATGATGTTGGCAACGTCCAGGGAGGCCACCTCGGCCGCCGCCTCCCGCTGCTCCTTCAGGGCCCGGCACTTCTCTAGGGAAGGGTTACCTGGGGCGGGAGGGAGCAGCCCATGAGCCGCTCGCTCCCCTGCAGCAGCCAGGCCCCTTCCTGCAGCCCCCGGCAGCCACAGCCTCACCCTTCATGCCCAGGGCTTCCAGCTCCGCCCGGAGGACGCTCAGGCGCTCCTTGTGGGAGCGACAGGAGCCCAGCAGCTTCTTGTAGTTGCGATGGGCACCGCAGGCCCGGATGTAGCGCTTCAGCCTCGTCACGGCCGGGTGGTCCTCACCACGACGGGCCGCGCCGGCCTGGCAGGGAGAGAGCAGCTGAGGACCCAGGCCGCCGGGCGGGGGCGGGGCTCGCTCCCCCTCGCAGCGGCCGGGCGCCCTCACCTTCCCGCCTTTGGGCTCCGGACTTCCGTCCGAGGAGGAAGACGAGCTCCGTGGCCTGCCTCTCTTGGAGCTCTTCTTGGAAGAGCGGTTCTTCCTCTCCTTGAGGCTGCCCCCTGCCTCGCTGTCGCTCCCCTCCCTCTCCAGGTCGCTGTCCTCCCCGCCGGCGGCGCCTGCAGCCGGGGACTCCGCCGTGCGGGCCTCGTCCCCATCCTGGCCCTGAGCCCCGGCCTTGCTTCTGCGCGCCAGCGGCTCATCGTCACTCCCATCACTGCCACTGCCGCCCCCGCGGCCGGCTGACCCGTGGATCTGCCCTTCCCCGCTGTCCCCCGAGTCCCCCGTTAGCCTCCTCTCCTCCGGGGCTGGCCTTTTCCCTCTGCTGCTCCTGGAGTGCTGCTTCCAATCCTCCCCCTCCCCCTCCCCGCTCTCCCTGCCACTGTCCTGGGGGCTCTGTGCTCCCTTCTTCGCCGCCCGGGGAGCAAGTTCGTCCTCACTTTCTTCCCTGGCCTGCTTCCTCCTCGCTGAGGCCTTGCCCGCTGCCTGCTTGCTTTTGGCCACAGCTTTCTTCCTAGTCCTGCCTTTGGGTTCCTCCTCTTCCTCCTCCTCACAGGCCTCGCGGGTCCCGACGCGGCCCTCCTCCTCCTCCTCCTCACTGCTGGCCTCCACGACGGCCTCTGCGCCCGGGTCTTCCTGCTGCTCTTGGTCATCACTGCTCTCTGCTGCTTTGGAGGTCGGCCCTGGGCTCTCCGCCTCCTCCTTGCCTGGGCCACCTTCCGCTCCCGACATGCCGTTCTCTGCTGGCCGGCCAAAGCAGTCTGGGCTGGAGGCTGCAGAACTGGGCTCTGGAGGAGAGAAGAGAGGGCTGCAGCAGGCGTCTCCTGCCCCTTCTCCCTCTGCTCGGGCTAGGCTGCCGCTCCACCTGCCCTGGCACAGGGAAAGGCGTCGGGAAACACGGCTGTGGTCCAGGCCCACGCTGGCTTTCTGCCCCGAAGTACTTTCTGGATGCATTAAGGATGCGCAGCGGGGAGCCACCGACCTGACCCTGAGTTGAAGCGGGGCCGTTTTCTCTCTGAGTCGCTGCAGGGGGTGGGAGACCTCTTCGCCTTCCCGGTAAGGTCGAGCTTGTCTTCCCTGGTACCGCCTTCGTCCACCTGGTGTGTGCACCGAGAGAGGGCAAAACGCGTCCCAAGGCTGGGTTCTGCCCCGCCCCCTCCGCCCCCAGCCTCGCCTCCCGGGGCCCAGCCTCGCGCCCACACCTGCATCTTCACAAGCTCCTCCTCCACCAACCGCTTCAGCGCCTGCTTCTCCTCGGGTTCCAGGTGGTCCCGACCCGCGTAAGCCAAGAACCTCCGCCGCACGATGGAGTGCGTGAGCGTGCTATGGGGACAGAGTGTCAAGACGGGGTCCGCGTCCCACCCCTGCCTTTCCAACCCCTGCCCCCCAGCTCCAACCTCCTCTGCACCTCAGGTCCGGGCGGCTTCGGAAGAAGCTGCGGGTGAACTCCTGCATCTCCTTCTCCCGCGCCATTTTGCCCCACCCGGGATTGGCGGCTCCCGCCTTTTTCCCCTCTCGGCCTCCGTCCGCGCGTTTGACAGCCGCTCGCGCACGCGCAGCACTGTGGCGCCGGGGGCAGAGGGGCCGTTGTTTCGCGGAGCGCTCGGGCCGAGGACTTTGCCAATCAAAACTTGCTTTCCCAGGGCAGCTGCAAGAGTCTCGTGGCTCCTACGCTTTCTTAGAACGAATCGCTTGTACAGTTCTCGTTTGAAATCGATTCGGCGCCGGCAACCTTTCGGCGGACCGTAAACAGCCCGCGACGCTGCCTTCCTCCGTGGCGACGGGCACCAGCTAGGCCGCTGTTATTTCGGAAGGCAGAAGGAAAAGGGCCTCTCGCCAGATCAGGAGTCTGTAGGGTAAATCTTGCGGCTTCAGGTCTCCCGGGCATATTTAGAATCAGTAACGGAGCCCTCCGGCGCCCGCCATCTTTGTGACGTCATCGCGCCGCCGCCACGCCGTCATCGACGTAACCACTCGAAGGCGTATCCCGATATTCCCCTGGAGGGCGGTCCGTTTGCGGAGCCCTCCTGGGCGCGGGGCACACCGGGAGTTGTAGTCCTAGCCGAGTGCCCGGAAGTGGAGGCGTGAGAGGCCAGGCTGAGCCGGCTGCGGGTAGCGGGACTCCAGGCGCTGGGGCGCCGCTCGCGAGTGGGTCATGAACGGGCCGGCGGATGGCGAAGTGGACTACAAAAAGAAATACCGGAATCTGAAGCGGAAGCTCAAGTTCCTCATCTACGTGAGTGCCGGCAGGGGGAGGGTGTGAGGGCTGAGGCCTGGGGCGCTGAGCGGACCCCCAGTCCATTGCGTGTGTGTGGGTGTGTGTGGGTGTGTGAAAGGCGTGGGGCCCGTGTCCAGGAGGGCCGTTGGCTCAGCGCCCACCTTGCCCACGATCCAGGAACACGAGTGCTTCCAGGAGGAGCTGAGAAAGGCACAGAGGAAATTGCTCAAGGTGTCCCGGGACAAGAGGTGAGGGGCGTCCCCGGGGAGGAGCGGGGAGGGGGCCCCTGCTGGAACAGGGCCCGGGATCCACAGCCGGGGTTGCCCTCTGCTGCCTTTCAGCTTCCTGCTCGATCGACTGCTGCAGTACGAGAACGTGGACGAGGACTCTTCTGGTGAGCTGGGTCGCGGCGTTGCCGCGGGCTCTCCGGGCCCCCCGCCTCTGGCCGTGCCTTTATTCAAGCCTTCCTCGGGCGTCCGCCTGTGTTTCAGGCAGCGTCCTTGGCACAGGGGCTAGAGCTTACAGAGACGGGCAACGCGTGAGCTCTCTTAACTTAGATTTTTATTGGGATGAGAAAAAACGAAGAAGTCAGCTAGAATGTTCCACGGCCCTGAGAGGGCGGCCGGGGAATAAAAACCGCTGTGCAGTGGTGATCGGAGGAGCAGATATTGTGTTTGAGGCTCTGCGATGCTGGGGTCTGAAGCAGCCCCTTAGCGCTGCTGTTGGAATGGGGAAGCAGCTGTAGCTGTAAGTGAATGAGTGTGGCTGGGTTTCTGTGAAGTTCTATGATTTTCCTTTGTGAGTGTTTTCTCTACCCCTTAAAAATGTGTACAAGCCACCCTTAGCTTGCAGACCACACAACAGCTGGCAGCAGCCAACCTTTCGCTAGAGAGCTCAGCTAGGGGCCGCCACTGGGGCCCAGTGGGTAACGCCGCCGTCTGTGGCGCCGGTTTGTATCCTGGCTGCTCCACTTCCGATCCAGCTCTCTGCTATGGCCTGGGAAAGCAGCAGAAGATGGCCCAAGTCCTTGGGCCCCTGCACCTGCGTGGGAAACCCGGAAGGAACTCCTGGCTCCTGGCTTCAGCCTGGCCCAGCTGTAGCCATGGTGGCCATTTGGGGAGTGAACCAGCAGATGGAAGATTCTCTCTCTCTCTCTGATTCTCCCTCTCTCTCTGTAATTCTGACTTTCAAATAAGTGGAATAAATCTTTCAAAAAGAAAGACCTGTTAAGAAAGTCGCATCTGAGATGAGACCTGGATAAGAGGAAGGAGCCGATCTCGGAAAGATGGGACTCAGAGCTGTCCAGGCGGAATAGCAAACGCAGGCACGCGCGCTCGGAACCAGCAGGCTTCCTTGAAGAGCAGATTTCCAGCGCTGCCGTGTGCATTGTTTGCAGTTAGCTGTGTATTTTACGCCGTGGCCAAGTGCACTCTTACATGCTTAACAAAGAAAAAAAACTGAACGAAACAGATGTAAGAGCCTGGTTGTGATTCGCCCTGATGTTTTCTACACTGCTTTTTTCTTTCCCCTCTTCACACTGATTGCAGAGAAATTGACTTCATGCCCTACTAATGGGTGAGCCCCACGGTTTGGAAGAGCCCTGAGGGGGGCATTGGTGGGCCCGTTGCGGGGTGGGGCTCCTGAGCCAGTCACATGTGGTCGACAGCTCCACAGAGCCTGTAAACATTGGTCCAGGGCTCAGCACACGGCAGGCAGTCCTGCTACTGTGTGTAAATAATATTTTGGGCCAGGAGAGATCCATTCGTTTACTCCTATGGGAAGATTGTAGACTAGGGGGGTGGGGGCCAACTCACATAGGCCACGGCAGAAAACATGGCCGCTCTCCTAGCCCCACGTTCCCTGCCTCCCCCTTCCCCTAGGTCAGCTTCCTGTTTGAGAGGAACTTCAGGGCAGGAGGCTTGGGAGAATCCAGCAAGTTGACGGTCAGAGTGTTAGAGCCGGCGAGAAGCAGCCCCCGGTCAGCCAGGGGGACACGCACATGTGATGCTTCTCGGCACAGCGTGACGAGCGAGAGCGGAGGGTTCTGGGAGAGTCCGCGACAAACTGGGACTGAGGGGTTCGGGAAGACCTCTCAGAGGAAGTGGCCTTTGATCTGCTCCTTAAAGGATCTGAACGGACGGATTGGGAAGCGACTTGCATCACATGTACTGGTTATTTTTGTTTTGTTTGTTAAGAGATCGATCGATTGATTTGAAAGGCAGAGCAACAGAGAGGGAGAGGCACAGAAAGAGAGAGAGATCTTCCATCTGCTGGTTCACTCCCCAAATGGCCACAACGACTGGGCTGGGCCAGGCTGGAGCCAGGAGCTTCTTCAGGGTCTCTAACGTGTGTACAAGAGCCGTCTTCCACTGCTTTCCTAGGCGCGTTAGCAGGAAGCTGGATGGGAAGTGGAGCAGCCGGGACACAAATAGACACCCATACGGGATGCTGGCACTGCAGGCTGTGACTTAACATGATGCACACCACAACACCGGCCCCTCAGTGGTTGGTTGTGAGATGAACAGGGGGCTTTCTAGGCAGAGGCACTGGCCTAGGCGATAAGTTCCCTCTTTGCAGAAATAGGCTGGCGTGATGCAGAGGGGACGGTTTGGTAGGGAGACCAGACAGGTAGGTTGAGGCCGGATTAAGAAGCACTGGGAATTCGTGCAGGCCGTGGGGACGCTGTCGGGAAGGATGCGATCAGATGGAAGTTCTAGGTCATTCTGGAGTTGAGGTGCATGGCGGGCGGTGTGGGGGAAGAGGGTACCAATGATGGCGCAAGTGCTTTTGATGCAGTGGTGGCCTAAGCTTGTGGCAGGCAAAATGGGGAGAAGTTGGAGAGGTAGATACACAGGGCCTGGATTTGGGGAGCATAGCAGAGGCAGGCGCTGAAGGCAGTTTTGAGGCAAGATGAGGAAAGACTGGCATAAAACAATCAAGGAGTCACAGCTCCAAATTCAAGTGCCAGCCCCTTGCTGTATTTTCCGAGCCTCGATGACCTTGTCTGGAGGCGATGGCCTTCGCTTCCTCCCAGACAGGTGATGAGGACAAGGAGGAGGGGTGAGCAAAAGGAGCCTGGCACAGCCGGTGCTTGGCAAAGGGGGCGGAGGAGCCGTGGGCCTCCCTGGAATCGCACGGGTGCGCCGGCTGGGTGCCCCTCGGCAGTGCTGAGGTCCCAGGGTCTCCCCAGCCACACTGACCTGCTGTCCCCTCACAGACTCGGATGCCACGGCTTCTTCCGATAACAGCGAGACAGAGGGGACGCCCAAGCTGTCAGACACACCAGCCCCCAAGAGGTGAGAAGCAACCAGCGTTCCTCTCTCTCTGGGGGGCAGGGGCACCGGGTCTCCCAGCTGCCTCTGACCCCTGCCCTGTGCTTTCTGCAGGAAGAGAAGCCCTCCGCTGGGCGGGGCCCCCTCCCCTTCCAGCCTCTCCCTGCCTCCTGCAACAGGGTTTCCCCTTCAGGCCTCCGGGGCCCCCTCCCCCTACCTGAGCACGGTGAGTCGGGTCAGGGGTGGGAGGTGTGACCTAAGGTGCCCGGGAATACCGCAGGCATTGTTTTGGGCAGAGGGGCTGGACCTCAGGGTGAGCCCGGCCCAACTCTGGAGACTTGTGTCTGGGTCCCTTGGAGGGGGTGTGAATCGGGCCCGCGTGTCTGTGCTGTAGGCGTGCGGGCCAGGACGGGGTCCCGCCGCTGCGCCCTCCCCTTCTGTTCTCGGGGCCCTGGGAGCCACACTCATCACCATCTCTTTTGTTTTTCCATCCTTCCTCCTGTTTGCGTTTCCTCCTCCTGTCACCCTCGCCCTGACCCACTCCACGCCCCCATCTCCATCTCCCCGTTCCGCCAGCAGCTGGCTTCCCCGCCCTACCCCCCACTCCCTTCTGACTACCTGGCCCTGCAGCTGCCTGAGCCCAGCCCCCTGAGGCCCAAGCGGGAGAAACGGCCCCGCCTGCCCCGGAAACTCAAGGTACCCTGATCTGGGGACGTTTAGGAGGGGCCAGAATGGCAGGTGGTCCGCTTCCGAGGGAGGCTCGGACGGACGGGCTGGGGCCTGTCCAAGATGTGGAAGGCTGGATCGGGGACTGCCGGGACCCCAGGCTGGGCCAGGACAGCGAGGGGTGGATCGGAGAAGCGCTGCTCCCCAAGCTTGTAGGCAAATCTGGGGCAGCACCACCCCTGGGGGTCCCACCCTGCCACCACTGCCATGTGGCCAGAGGCAACAGGCCCCTAGCGGCAGCCCCAGAGGAGGGACACCATGTGGGCAGGCATCTGGGACCCTCTGGGTCTCCCGGATCCCGTCCTGGTAGAGAGGGTGGTCACACTAGGTGTCGTCAGCAGGTGCGTCTCTGGGCCCTGCTGCAGCCCAGGCACTGTCACCGGTCCCGGTGCCGTGGGGATGCCTGCGAACCAAGCAGGACCGAAGCTCCCGAGGGAGCTCGTGCGGTAGGCAGAAACTAAAGGGGGAAGCAGGTGCCAGCAGCGGAAAGCGGAGTGGAGGGAAGGGCGTGAGGCGCGCCAGGCCGGATGGGGGCTGATACTTCAGGCGAGGTCGTCTGGGGTGCCGCTGGCTCAGAGGCGTCAAGGAAACGAGAGCGAGCCGCGGGGCTCTCTGGGAGAGTCTTCCGGTCGTGGAGAGGCAGCAGGGCAGGGGCGCCGAGCAGGTGCGTGCTTGGCTTGTTCAGGGACCTGGCCCAGGTGGGAGGGAGGAGAGCAGAGGGAGTGGCCGGAGCAGGACAGAGGCCCGAGTGACCGGCTTGTACCACGCGTGCAGTGGGAGCTGCTGGAGTAGGTTTACCTTTTGCACAGACTACTGGCCCAGCCGTGAGGACAACGGACAGGGTGCAGGGGGTGAGACAGAAGGAGGCGACTGCAGGAACCCGAGAGAGGTCACCGTGGGAGGCGGTGCAGAGCGCACAGGGGATCCGTGTCGTGGAAGGAGCCGCAGGGTTTCCTGGAAAACCGAGTGTGGCTGCCAGAAAGAGGAGCCAAGGGGGACTCTGGGATGTCAGCTGCAGCCACTGGAGAAGTGGGGTGGCCTGTTCGGAGGCAGGCAGGGCTGTGGCAGGCGAGGAATGTGGCCTTGGACAGGCTCAGCTGCCATCCGGAAAGGCCACGCAGACAGCTCGGGCCCTATGGCGATGCAGACCTGGACGTCTCCGCGGTAGGAGGGGATGGAGCATGAGCCACAGGAGGGATGAGCGAGAGCCAGCCGAGGACCCATCCGGCTCAGAGCCCAGCTTGAGCAGGGGCCAGGCCGGGCAGCTGTCAGGGCTCTGGAGCCAGAACGGAACGGGCGACGCCTTGGTGATGACTGGGGTGCGGGTTCCGGAGTCGTCCCAGCTCCACCGTTGAGTGCCTGTGTGCTCTTGGCGTTGTATGACGTCGCTGCCTGAGCCCTGCAGGGCATTCACGTCTGGTCTGTCAGAGACGGTGGTGGAGAGGGCAGGGTCGGTGGCGCTGGGAGCAGGTGCGTGGAGAGGCAGTGGTGTGGCCGGGGCACAGCAGGTGGTGCAGAGGGGGTAATGGGGGAGGCACCAGAAGAGGTTGTTCTTGAGCCGACTAATGAGGTTGGGGCAGTGCGTGAGAAGGGAGCAGGGCACGGTGGGCGCAGGCGTGATGGGGAAAGGGAAGTGGGCATGTACCATGGGAGGCCTGGATGCCAGGAACCGGGCTGGCCCATTACTGTGGAGGGCCTGCGAGTCCCTGAGGCCTCGGCGGGGTCGGGGGTCACTTGTGAAGGCTGAGAGCGTGGGCCTTGGTCACACTTTGGCTGCGTCACTGAGCTCCGTGGGCCTCGACCCCCTTGCCTGTTCGCTGGGCTCATGGGGAGGATAAAGTACATTCAGGGATGGCCGCTGCCTGGCCCCTGGTAGCCCCTTGTCAGCACTAGCTGCTGTTGGCCTGCTGAGCACAGCGTGAGGGGGACACAGGCCTGGGTGGCGATGGGGGCAGGGCAGAGGCAGGGACAGTCCTCGGGCAGCTGGCCCTTGCAGGCGTGCACGTGTGGGTGCTGGGAGCTGGGCCCCCGTCTGCCCTGAGTCCTGCCAGGCTCCTGCACCCAAGGCCTGACCCGCTCTGACCCTTGTGCTGCCCAGGAACAGAGGTTGAGCTGTGGCCCCTTGAGAAGCTGAGAGCAGGCCCAGGGCTGCAGGGCAGCCCCTGCGTGTTTGCCACTCCCCCCAGGGCTGGGTCCGATTCCGCCTGCTGGGCACCGGGCAGGCCTGTTCCTTGAACTCCGCCTTTCCCTGGCTCTTGACCCCTCCCGCCTCCCAGGCCATCCGGCTGCTGGGGGTCACTAGCGACCTCTCCCTGCACGGATCCCTGCACGGACCGTGCTCAGTCTGCCCCGCGGGATGCCTGGTGGGGAGCGCACTTGAAGACCCGGCAGGGGCAGGCAGGACAGAACAAGACTTTGGCAAGCAGCGAAGGGCACTCCAGGCGGAGGGGCCGGCCTGCGGTGAGGCCGAGCGGAGCTGTGACGTGCTGAGGTCTGTTCTAGAGAGATCCCTCTGGCTGCAGTGTGGAGGAGCTGGGCGAGGCTGCAGGCAGGGAGTCCAGGTAGAGGCCGGTGCCATAGCACAGGTGAGCTGAGGAGGGCCTGGCCAGGCCCCTGGCTGCGGGGGGCCCGTCCGAGATGTCAGAGGAGCTGCTGGGGGGGTGACACCTTCCACCGGTCCAGTAAGTCCCGAAGTCAGAGGAGGGAGAGGAAGGCAGAGGTGGCAGGGTGTGGCCGAGGCGCCCGGAGGCGGGAGGTGGCCCGGGCTCGCTCTGAGCTGCTGTTGCCTGCAGGGGGCACGGCAGCCTTTCCTTCCCTCTCTCCTCTCAGACCCCCCACCCCCACCCCACTCCACCCCCGCCCCTGCCCCCACCCCCAGGCATTCTGTAGGGGCTGAGGGGGCCCAGCTGTGTCCTGTCCCTGGAATGAGCCTGTGCCCGACCCACCCCCGGTCGGCCTCCCGGAGTGCCCCCCTGACGAGCCCTCCCTGTGTTTCTTCCTTCTGCAGATGGCGGTGGGCCCCCCAGACTGCTCCGTGGGCGGGCCGCTGGCCTTCCCTGGTCGGGGGGCCGGGGCCGGGGTCGGCGCAGCGCTGACCCCTCTGCCTCCCCCCAAGCTGCCCCCCCACACGATCCTGAGCACCGTCCCCCGGCAGATGTTCAGCGACGCGGGCAGCGGGGACGACGCCCTGGACGGGGACGACGACCTGGTGATCGACATCCCGGAGTGAGGCGCCCGCCCCCGCGCCAGCACGCGAGCCCCGCTTCCTCAGAGACGTTTATTGCCGCCCAGTTGCCATGCGTTGGCCACCACACAACCAGAAGAGGCGTAAACATGCACGCACGCCCCCGCCCCCGGAAGGCGGCAGGGCCCCGCCCTCACACCCAGCCCCTCGGGGACAGCGAGCGAGCGAGCGGGTGGGGGCCACCCCTTCACGAGGGCAGCTGTCCAGGGCTACGGGTGTGCTCTGGTTTTGTTTTTTAAAGGAAGGTTCTGTATAAAGGAGTAGCTCTTTTGTTGTCCTTTGCTGCTTGGGAAACGGTCTCCTCCTCCGAGCCTCCCCTAATCCGACCTCCTCCCCGTGACAGGAGGGGCGGGCAGCCTGGAGAGGCAGGAGGAGGGGCGCACCTACCTGGGGCGGGGCTGGCACGGCTCTCCCGCGGGTGTGCGGAGGCAGGGTGCTTTGCATATTGCAGGCGCTAGGGAGTCAGGCAGGAGGAAGTTTGCATATGTGAATGTGTTCTCCACAGTCTCTCACGAGCAGATAGACCCAAGTCACGGAGACTCTCACGAGAATAAGACAGGTAGTGCGGGGCAGGGGGACGTCCCACCCCGTGTAAACGTGCAACACACTCGTGCGAAGGTTGGGTGCTGGCCCCAGGCCCCCGGGTGGCTGGGGGAGTTGGGGGGCCCGTGCTGGGCCGGGCCGGGGGCTCAGGCTGAGGGGAGGGCCCCGGCTGCGGGCGGCAGCTCGCTGGTCAGGGTGTGCCAGCGCTCCAGGGCTGTGTCCGGCTGCTGCAGGCAGTCACGCCAGTGCTTCCGGGCCTCTCCACGGGCACCCGGGCCCAGGGACACGCCACCTGGAAGCAGGCGGCAGCGGGCGAGATGAGCGCCCGTCTCCCTCCCGGCGCCCGCCCGCCCGCGGCAGCCCCAGCTCAGCTCCTGCCTCACCGATGAAGTCGTTGGATTTGCCGATGTCGTAGTCCCACACCGTGACCTCCAGAGTCTTGGTGGCCAGAGTGGAGAGCTCCATCTCATAGAAAAACTCCTGGGGACGAGGCCAGCCGCGCCGTGCGCTGAGACCCTCCCCAAGCCCCAACCCTGCCCCTGCCCACCTGCACTTCCGGCCCCGCCCCGTTCACCTGGTTAAATTCTGGGTTCAGCGTCTTCTTCTTCACGCAGGTTTTGTGCTTGGATTTCTTATCCACATCCGGTCTCAGGTACCTTAGGGGTGGGATGGGGGGCACGGGGGAGAGCCACGTGGTTAGGGCCAAGCCCCGCCCTTCAGGACCCTGGGGCAGGGGGCAGGCTCCCTGGGGGAGGGGCTCACGTCTTGACGTAGGGGTCCGAGTAGCCATTGACGTCCATGGCGGCCAGGTGGGCGCAGCGAATGATGCCCACCAGCAGCCCCCGGCGCCGGGAGCTGTAGCTGAGGCTCAGCAGGATGCGGCCGCGCTCTTCCAGCAGCCCCGGGCCCTGCTCGGCCTGCTCCAGCTGCGGGAGCAGACGCGGGCTCAGCCCAGGCCCTGCGCCACCCCCACCCCCACCCCGACACACACGGGGCCCCCGGAGAGGGGCCTCACCTCCTTCAGGTAACAGGAGATGCCCCTCAGCGCTGCCGACATGGAAGACGGTGAAGCCAGCTGAGGGGGGCAGAGAGAAGGTGCTAGAAACGGCCTCCCCGGGGCCCCTCCCCCCCCAGCCCCTGCACGGACCGGGACCTGGCGCTCCAAGCAGATGTTGAAGTGCTTCTTCTGGGAAGGCTTGAGGCGGCGAAGGGGCACTCGGATCTCCCCGATGAACTCGTTGTGGCTCAGCTTGTCCTCGTCGCAGACAGAGATCCTGCAGGCGGGACCTGCGGCGTCAGGCCCCCTCCCGCGCACGGTCCTCAGGCCACGCCCAACTTCCCTGTCTTCTCTGAGGGGCCGTGGCCCGAGCGGGATGACCGCACTTGCCCTGTTGTCTCCTCCTCCTCCGCTGCCCACACTGCCTGCAGAAGCCCTCGCACACCCTGGGGACCACTGCCCCTCGCTGCCTCCAGCTGCAGGGCCTGGAGACCAGATGTGACCCCCACCTCAGGCCTGCGCTGCTGGGTGTGGCCACAGGGAGGCTGAGAGAGCTAGAAGGGCCTTGAGGGGTCTTGGGTGCCACGCAGAGACCCCCCCCACACACACACACACTCCTCCCTGGCCCTCCTGCCCCTTTCTGCATGGAACAGGGACCCAGACTGGCAGAGCCCCAGGAGCCCAGCAGCGAAGAAGAGCCTGGCTTCGCTTGTCTGGCCCTCTGCAGGCCCTGAGCTGCTGCTGCCGTCAGCAGCTACTGGGTTGAGCCCCTGTGGCGTGTGGGCATGTTCCAGCCCCAGCCCCGGCACTGCGCTGCTACCTGTAGGACCCTGGGGAAGTCACTTCGCCTCCCCAAGCCTCAGTTCCCATCTGGACAGTGGGGATAATGAGCTCCCGCCTCCTAATGCTATTGTGAGCTCAAGTGAAATAAAGAGATGCAAAACTGCGTGGCCCGGGGCTGGGCACCAGTGAGCATGCGTTATTTTTAGGCCTCACTCTCACATGTGAAATCCCAGACCAGCCTTTCTGGCTCTTCGTCCTCCCCTCCCGTCCACCCCCGCGCCCAACACCAACGTGATCTCTCGCAAGCAGCCCTAACCATGCCCCTTCCCTGATGCAAAGCCGCCCATGGCTCCCTACTGCCCGAGGCCCAAGAAGCCCGAGGGGGGCGTCTCTGCCAGCCTGGGGTTTGCGGCTGCCCTCCATGCCCATCTCCTGGGGTCACAGAGCAAGTCCCCTGTCCCGGAAGGCTTCACCGCTTGCTTAGGGAGGTAGAGGGGACGGCGGGGACCAGAATGGACCGACCCATGCTGCAGAGGCCTGACTTCAGGCTGGGGCTCTGAGAAGGGGTCTCGACGGATAGCAAGAGCTTCCAGGAGGAGGCAGAGCTTGGCTGAGCCTCAGATGGGTGGGACTGAGGCTGGCAGAGGGGAAGCTGAGAGTTCTTCCCAGGTAGAAGAAACCCAACAGGCAAAGCAGGCAGGAGCAGCGGGAGGTCCTGGAGCAGAGGGGCTAGGGAGACCTGTGGCTTGCTGCTGGGGAGGCTGGGGAGCCATGGATTGTTCCTGAACACCAGAGAGACCAGGGCTTCATAGGACGGACACACCAACCAACAAAAGAGACGCGACAGCTGTCCCAGGAGGAGGGAGGGTGCCGGCTGGGGAGAGGCGCCCTCACCTGAGCACCTTGTGCGTGATGTCCTCGTCCGTGATCCCGCTGTACGTCAGGTCCTCGTTCCACACGGGGTTCAGCGTGTTCCTCTGAGTCTTTGTTTTTAGCTTATTGGCCTGGGGGTGGGGTGGGGGGGCAGGGACAGAGTTCTCAATACATGTCCCCCTGACCCACCTGGGGGACGAACCCAGTGGCTGGGGTAGGGGAGGAGAGGAGGGGGCCCAGGTGGGGGCGGGAAGGAGGCTTTTTACTTTGCAGGCTCCAGGGAGCAGGTGCAGCTTGACGTAGGGGTCGGCCAGGCCGTTGAAGTCCATGGGCTTGAGGCCCTGCAAGGAAGCAGTGTGGGGATGAGGGCTGTGCCTGCCTGCCTGCCCTCTGCAGAAGTGGGGGGAGGGAGTGGGAGGAGCCAGTGAGGGGTGGGAGGGGGGAGGAGCAGTGTCCTTCCTGCCCCTCCCAGGGCAGAGGGCAGAGCAGGCGAGGAGGGCCTGAGAGGCAGGAAGTACCCACCTTGGCCCTGAGGATGCTACAGTGCAGAGCGCAGGAAGCCTGGTCATACAGAAGATCAAACTCCAGGGTGCCCAGGGCGGCTGGAAAGAGGGCGTGAGTCAGTGTCCCAGGCCAGGGGTGTGCAAAACGGGCTGGGCAGGCACGGGACGGGTGTGTGCCCTGGGGCAGCGTGTGTGCGTGTGTGCATGTGTGCGTGCGTCTGGGTCCCCGGCTCGGCTGCCACCGGGGCTGTGTGTGGGCTGGCGGAGCGTCTCCGCAGAAATATTGAAGCTGCAATCGCCTCACCACGCCGGCTGCAGCTGCGGCAGCGAAGGGGCCCCCCCCCCCCCGCTGCCCGGCAACCCCCAGACTCACTGGCGTCGTCCGAGTCGTAGCTGTCCACCTCGGCTCCATCCTCAGGCGTGGTGGCCCCGAGGAGGGCAGCAGGGGGGGCCAGGGCCAGGGGGGCCAGGTGAGCAGGGGCCTCCCCGCAGCTCCCGCCCCCTGCTTCAGGTCCCGGGCCCAGGCGGGGGAAGTAGTCGGAGATCTGGCGGATGGGCCGGATGGGCCCGGGGCACACGTTGATGGCCATGTGCTCCTGGATGTTGATGGTCATGCGGTCGCCCCTGCGGCCCCTCATGCAGCACCCCTGGCTGGCGAGGGGGTGACAGCGTGAGCCCAGCCACCTGCCGCCTCTACTTGCCAAGGCAGCCTGCCCGGCCAGTGGCCCTCGCTGACCTGCCTTCCCAAGTGACAAGCGGACAGCAACCTGTGCCAGTCAGCCGGCATCACAGGGGCCGCTCCCCCACAGACGGGTCGTGGGTCCCCCTCCACCTCGTGGGTCTACCTGGAGGTTGTCCCTTTGTCACCTTCCCACCTCCCCCCTCTCCTCCTGGGCTCTGGTCTGCCCCGAGCCCAGCCTCCCCCAGAGCCTCTTCATTAGGTCCCCGCCTCTGTCCCTCAGAGGCTCTGCCCACCCTCTGCAGCAGGCGCTGGTCCGGTCAGGGTGTCACCCGGCCCTCAAGGCTGTCCCTTCATTCAACCCCAGGATTCTTCTGCCTGCCTGCTCCTCCCCCACCCCGCGCCGCGCAAGGTGGGAACCCCAGCCTGCGATGCCTCCTCTTGAAATTGCAGCCGCAGAAGCGCTGAACACCCCCGTAGCACCCACCGAAAACGCGCTGGCCCTCACCCTCACACCCGCGGCCGGCCCAGCCCCCTGCACCTGCCTCTATGCCTCCAACAGGTGCCCGGGCACTGCGCTGCCGGCGGGTGCGGGCTGGGCGGCGGCGGGCGGCGGTCCCCGGCGCGGCTAGCGAGGAGAGCGCAGAGTCCGGCTGTGCGCGCCGCTTGGGAGCCAGAGCCGAGAAAGTGCGGGGAGGAGGGGGTGAGCGCGGCGAGGCGAGGAGGCCGCCGGCGCCGGCAGCGGCGGGGAGGGGGGGCGGGGAGGGACGGCCGGGCTGGGGAGGGGGCGGGACTCCGGCTCACACCCGCCGGGGCACGCTCCGGAGCGCCCGCCAGTGCGCACCCACCAGCGCGCACACGCACGGGCACGCGGGCTGCCACCCGCTCGTGTGCACACGGGCGGGCACCCACGGCGGGCCGGGCGCTCCCGCGCACACACGCCTGGGCCCACGTGTGCGAGCTCACACGCATGCACACGCGCTGCACACTCGCAGGAGAACTTCGCAGACGCACACCCGCAAAAACGCGAGCTTCCAGCGCCACCACGAAGCTGCGGCGAGAACGCCCGGGGCTTTCCCAACTCCTCCCGGGAGACCCAGGCCGCCGCCCGCGCGTTAGGCCCGCAGCGCCGCCCTCCGCTCCCGGGTCTCCGGACCACCGGCCTCGTTGCCATGACAACGCTGGCTCATTCTCCCCACCCCTCCCCCGCAGAGAAGCTTGGAGGAGGGAGGAAGACGCCGGTCCTCCCCAGCCTTGGGTCCGTAGGGGCGGGGCTTAGTGATCCGCAGTGACTTGGGACCGGGAGGGTAAGGGGATCCAATCCACCTGCCGCCGCTGGCCTGGGATCTGGGGGTCCCCAGCACCTCCTCCCTTTGGCTGTCCTTGTGACCCCACTCAGCCCCCAGGGCCTAGGGGCCCCTTCCCAGGGGTGATATCTCCCTTGGGGATCCTCCCTCCCACAGTGCATGCCCTGCCCACCCGTGGGCTTCCCCAATCAGGTGTCTCCCAAAGCCCTCCTCCTCATTCGTCTTTCCTGGCTTGAGCCCTGCCCCAGGCCAGCTGCCGGCCACCACTGGCTGTGACTAAACCTAGCCTGGGATCTTGGCTCTACTTTGTCCTGGCGAGGCCTTCAAGGCTCTACAGACCTGGACCACATCCGCCCCCTGCCCACAAATACCTGAAGTCCCCGGAGCAACCTTGACCTTCAGGTCTCTGGAGCTTGGCTCAGGAAGGCTCCTCCACCTAAGAAACCTGCCTCTCCTCCAGGAGTCATCTCAGGCCACCTCCTCCTAGAAGCCTTCAGCGAGCATCCGGCACAACCCCCCAGCCGGTCCCGCTGCCCCCCCTCAGCGTCCAGAGCTGGGCTGTGGCTGTTTGCTGTCTGCTTGTTTACGTGTCCGACTCCCCCACTAGCCAGAAGCTGATTCATCTGAGTCCCTAGTGCCCCAGACAGGGCCCAGCGCTAGGCCGGCACCACTGAATGATGGGATTGAAGACAACCATGTGTTTGCACAACACACTGAATATACTTAGGCCACCCAGCCCAGCACTGAGGACTGGTGAGATGGGGGGGGGGGGGGGGGCTCTGGGACAGCAGTTAAGACACAGCCTGATGCCGGCGCCGCGGCTCACTAGGCTAATCCTCCGCCTAGCGGCGCCGGCACACCGGGTTCTAGTCCCGGTCGGGGCGCCGGATTCTGTCCCGGTTGCCCCTCTTCCAGGCCAGCCCTCTGCTGTGGCTAGGGAGTGCAGTGGAGGATGGCCCAGGTGCTTGGGCCCTGCACCCCATGGGAGACCAGGAAAAGCACCTGGCTCCTGGCTCCTGCCATCGGATCAGCGCGGTGCGCTGGCCGCAGCACGCCGGCCGCGGCGGCCATTGGAGGGTGAACCAACGGCAAAGGAAGACCTTTCTCTCTGTCTCTCTCTCTCACTGTCCACTCTGCCTGTCAAAAAAAAAAAAAAAAAAAAAGACACAGCCTGAGCTCCTGCACCCGCCCGTGTTGGAGTGCCTGCACTTCAAGTCCAGCTTCCTGGGGATGTGCACCCTGGAGGGCTAAGGGGATGCTCAAGTGATTGGGTCCCTGGGAGACCAGGTGGAGGTGCTGGCTCCTAACCTCGGCCTGGCGCAGCCCCAGCTGTGTGGGCATTTGGGGAGTGAACCAGCAGATGGAAGCTCTCTGTCTGTCTGCCTTTCAAATATATAAGTAAAGGTTGAGAGGGTGTATGTTTTGCCAGTTTTTAAAAAAGTAAGAGGGGCCGGCACGCTGTGGCGCAGTGGGTTAACGCCCTGGCCTGAAGCGCTGGCATCCCCTATGGGCGCCGGTTCTAGTCCCAGCTGCTCCACTTCCGATCCAGCTCTCTATTGTGGCCTGGGAAAGCAGTAGAAGATGGCCCAAGTCCTTGAGTCCCTGCACCCACGTGGGAGACCTGGAAGAAGCTCCTCGCTCCTGGCTTCAGATTGGCGCAGCTCTGGCTGTTGCAGCCATCTGGGGAGTGAACCAGCAGATGGAGGACCTCTCTCTCTGTCTCTACCTCTCTCTGTAACTCTGTCTTGCAAATAAATAAAAATAAATCTTTAAAAAAATTTTTTTGACAGGCAGAGTGGACAGTGAGAGAGAGAGACAGAGAGAAAGGTCTTCCTTTGCCGTTGGTTTACCCTCCAATGGCCGCCACGGCTGGCGCACCGCGCTGATCCAATGGCAGGAGCCAGGTGCTTCTCCTGGTCTCCATGGGGTGCAGGGCCCAAGCACTTGGGCCATCCTCCACTGCACTCCCGGGCCACAGCAGAGAGCTGGCCTGGGAGAGGGGCAACCGGGACAGAATCCGGCGCCCTGACCGGGACTAGAACCCGGTGTGCCCGAGCTGCAGGTGGAGGATTAGCCTACTGAGCCGCGGCGCTGGCCTTTTAAAAAAATTTTTTTAAAAGTAAGGGAAATGTCCCCTCAGACTCCCTTGCTACCCACCCACTGGGAAGAATTCCAAATGTCTGGTAGCACACAGTGTGCTGAGGCTGTATGTGCACGGACACCGACTCCGCAGAGGCCGGCAGATACCAACGCGACCAACACACACATCTTTTTGAAAGATGTACTGATTATTGGAAAAGCAGAGTAGAGAGAGAGAAATATTGCTGTCAACTGGTTCATTCCCCCAAATGGCCACGACCACCAGGTCTGGCCCAGGCCAAGGCCAGAAGCCAGGAACTCCATCCTGGTCTCCCACATGCACGGGCAGGGACCCAGATACTTGGACTGCTGTCCACTGCCTTCCCCGGGCACGTTAGCAGGGAGCTGGATTGGAACAGAGCAACCGCCAGGGACTTGAACTGGAACTATGATATGGGATGTCCCGAGCAGTGACTGTGCCAAATGCCCACCGCCACCGGAGGGTTCTAAGCGATGGATGCATGCATTTTGGTTTGTGCTGGCTGGCGGTTGGGGAATGGATCGCAGGGAGTAAGAGTGGACATGGATGAGGAGAGGGAGGTCGATGGGTTTGAGATTTCTGTTGGAACTGGAGCCAGCAGGTTTGTTGTTGTTGTTGTTGTTGTTGTTGTTGTTGTTTTACAGATTTAGACAGTGAGAGAGAAACAGAGAGAAAGGTCTTCCTTCTGTTGGTTCACTCCCCAAATGGCTGCTACAGCCGGCGCTGCACTGATCTGAAGCCAGGAGCCAGGTGCTTCCTCCTGGTCTCCCACGCGGGTGCAGGGCCCAAGCACTTGGGTCATCCTCCACTGCCTTCTTGGGCCACAGCAGAGAGCTGGACTGGAAGAGGAGCAACTGGGACTCGAACCCGGTGCCAGCGGGTCTTATTTGGGGTAGGTCAAGGAGACAGGGAAGGATCCAGGTGTCTGTGTTGAGCAGAACCTCTGGAGCAACAGCAGGGCCACTTTGCTGAGAGGAAAAGATGCGAGACGCCGTCGGTCTGGGCTGGGCAAACCAAGAATTCCATCTGGGAGCGCTTCTGTCTGGGATGTTCTTGGACTTAACACACAGAGACGTGAAGCAGGAAGTGGGCTCCTGGAGTCTGGAACTCGGAGGAGAGGTCTGGGCTGGAAATATACATTTGTGAGTCACCAGCCTATAGATGGTATTTAAAGCCAGGAGGCTGGATGAGATCACCTTGGGAGAGAGAATATAGATACAGAAGAGAGGGCCCAAGGCTGAGCTGGCGGGGGAGGAGGAGGAGGAGGAGGGGGAGGAGCCTTGGAGATGGGAGAGTGTGGCGCCCCCGTGAGGAGTGAGGGCCAGGTGCACCCAGTGCCCGGCGAGGGCCAGAATGAAAAGGTCATTGGTGGAGCCGAGCAGAGTGGCTTCTGTGGAGTCCTGGGGACAGGCAGAGCAGGAGGCTGCCCAGCGCGTGGCAGGGGAGGAGTGGAAGTGGCCAGTGGAGTGATGCACCCTCACGAGTTCTCACCCCTGTGAGCTGGTGACTTTTTATTTGAAAGGCAAAGCATCAGAGAGAGGCAGAGAGAGAGAGAGAGAGAGAGAGAGGAGAGAATCTTCCATCCATTGGTTTCCTCCCCTAAAGGATTGCATCCATCAGAGCTGGGCTGAAGCCAGGAGCCAGGTGCTCCATCCGGGTCTCCCATGTAGGTGGCAGGGGCCCGAGCACTTGGGCCCTCTCCTGCTGACTTCCCAGGCGCGTTAGCAAGGAGCTGGATTGCAAGTGGAGCAGCTGGAATTTGATGCCTGATAAGGGCTGCCGGCATCGCAAGCAGCAGCTTGCTCTAGGACGCCACGATGCCAGCCCCCGCCCCTCTGCCACTCTGGTGATTTCCAAGCTGTAAACGGGAGTCCCGCTCAGCGCGCAGCAGGAGCTCAGGGTGTCTGTCTAAGGGTTGGATGACTGGATAATCCACTGCGTGGGTCGAAAAGGGGCCTTTTCCAGGACAGCGCGGCTGTACCTAGCCTGTGCGGCAACTGAGAAAGCTACAAAGCCAACCCAACCCCTTCTTCCAGCTAACCCTGAGCAGTAGCTGCTGGCGGGCCTGCGGTCGGGCCAGGAGCCAGGGACCCGGCTGTTTGAGTCCCTGGTCCCTGAGCCCCACCTGTGACCTGCAGCTTGGATTATTGATTGATTGATTGATTTGAAAGGCAGTGAGAGGTGCCTGTGTGGGAGCGTAGTGGCTGGAGACGCCGCGTATGATGTTCCTTTCCCAGCTGCTCCACTTCTGCGCCGGCTCCCTGCTAATGCCCTGGGGAAAGCAGCAGAGGATGGCCCACGTGCTTGGGCCCCTGAACCCACATGGGAGACCTGGCCCAGGGCTGGTCGTCGTGGCCATTTGTGGAAGATCCCTTTCTCTCTCTAACTCCGACTTTCAAAATAAATCAATAAGTCTTTAAAGAAAGAGAGAGGGGTCTTCCATCCACTGGTTCACTCTCCAGCTGGCCCCAACAACCAGGGCTGGGTGAGACTGAAGCCAGGAACTCCATCCGGGTCTCCCACGTGAGTGCCAGGGGACCTGGGCCACCCTCCACTGCTCTCCCAGGCGCTTAGCAGGGAGATGGATGGGGAAAGGGGCAGCTGGGACTCGAATATGGGACGCTTGTGTCCCAAGTGGCAGCTTTACTGCCGCGCCACCACGCTGGCCCCTGCACTGCGACTTTGGCTGAGTGGTTTCTTCTTTTCCGGGGAGATAGCGCGAGGAAAACAGCCCACACAAGCCCCAGGAGGCCCCATGGGGTCGATTTCCCTCCTCTTTGCCCACTTTCCCCTCTTGTTCAGGCGGTAGAAGGAGATCGTGGCCAGTGCTGGCAAATCGCTGGGAACAGATTTGGTAGTCCGGGGCGGGGGGTCCCTAATGGAGCCCCCGGCTGCGGACAGAGGCCCTCACACACGCCACAAACTCCCGCCTGCCTTGGGGGAAGTCACTGATCTGCCCCAGGCTCCTGAACAGGTTCACAAGCAAGATCAAGGAGAACCTGAAGTATCCTTGGGCCGGCTGGAGTGGGCTGGAACACGTCTGTGACAGACAGCCCTCCCTGCCAATCAGAGGGCAGCGATCCCTTAACCGGGGCAGTGGGGCCTCGGGAGTGAACAAGGCCTTGGGGAAGTGACCGAGGGAGGGAAGAGCTGGGATGGCGGGGGGGGGGGGGGGGGGCCCTAAGGACCATCCAAGGGGAAACTGAGAAACACAGTGAGCAGGCTCTGGGAAGGCCAGGTGACCTGCCTGGGACGACGCTCCGGCGGCCAAGCCCCGGCCAGCGCTGGCCCGCCGCAACCTGTGGCCAGAGGCGGGAGCCCTGCCCGGGGCTGAGCGGCGCGGGCGCTGCTGCCACCCAGCGGACAAAGCCCGGTGTTGCTCTTGGTACCTAACCCGGGTCGACTCCAGAGCGTTTGGGAATGAAAGGGGGAGGCCCTTGTGCCCCTGAATTCGGGGGCGCAACATGAGGGGGAGCCCCAGGGAGCAGTACCGGCCCCCTGGGCACGTGTCCTTGGTTCCATTCTGTGTCTCGCTTCTGCAGAGTGGGGACAAAACGGCCACCTCCCCTGAGTCTGCGCAAGGCCCATAGTAGGTGCTCAGTGCACGCTCCCTGGTGGTGGTGGGGGAATCCGCAGGCTCTCTGACCCCCCCCCCACCACACCCTGACCCGTGTCCCGCGCACAACTGCAGCTGGGGCTGCCTCTGTCGTCGCGGCGTCACCAGCGTCATCTGAGAGGACGAAGTCTCTGAGGGCCCCGGCCTCTTCACTCTGACCTGGGGGCTTCAGCGAGGGATGGCGGAGGGAAGGGTCCAGTGCCCCCAGCATGTGCCCTCACCCTTCACCTCAGAGACCCCCATCAGAATGGCTCCGGGCTGTGACATCATAGAGCCCTGCCCCTCTAGCAGGAGCGGTGGGGTCATGAGGCTGTGGCAGTGGGTGCTGGTGTGGGTGTGGCTGGCAAGGCCAGGGCCCAAAGAAGCAGGTGGGGGACAGGAGGCTGGGGGGACAAGGGCTCGTGCCTCCCCCCCCCCCCCGGGGACAGGGAGGGCAGCCGGGCACTCCTCTCCCTTCCACCTCTCCTTCTTGCCCTCCCCATCCCAGCCTGGGTCTGCTGGGAACGAACTAATACCCCCTCCCGCAGTGAGCCCCGCCTCTTGGGGTGAGGGCAGGGGTCCCTTGGCTGCTGTCACAGCTTTGTTCTGGGTGCCAGTGCCCCGCCCAGAGCGTGCCAAGGCCTCGGCCCCGCGAGCAGCAGGCCCGCTCTTCGTAGACCGGCCTGACTTCTTCGACTACCCGGACTCAGACAGAGACAGCCTTCTGGCCGTGGCCCAGCTGATCGGAGAGAGACCTGTGGTATTTGTCCACTCAGGTAGGAGCCAGCTTGAGGGCAGCCTCCCTCCTCGCCAGGGCCTGGAGGGGCTGCCCTTGGCGTTCAGGCTGAGAAGGCTCAGGGGTCCCCTCTCCCGCCCCCTCGTCCGGCAGATTCCGACTCCAGGCTCTTCCACCACATTCTGGTGGGCGCCCTGGTGGTGGCCTTCTTCTTCCTCCTCTTCCAGTTCTGCACCCACATGTAAGGCCCGCCCTCCCATGCCCCCCCCCTTTCCTGGGACCACAAGTAAAGCCCGCCCCCCACGCTCCCGCCCCGCCCACCTGCCTAGGACCACAAGTAAGGCCCGCCCCCCACACCTGCCTAGAACCACAAGACCCGCCCCCCACGCTCCCGCCCCGCCCCCTTCCTGGGAGGGGCGGAAGGACCCCAAACCGCCCCCTCTGCTCTCCACACCCTATAGGAGCTGCCAGAAAGGGGCCTGAGGAGCCGGCCCGGGCTCGGGACGCAGCCTGAGCGCCCAGGTCCGCCCTCCCCTCCGCTGACGAATAAAGGTTCTGGCCGCCTTCCTGCCTGCGGGCTCTGTGGCCAGCAGAGGGGGCCTGCCCTCCCTCGTGGGCATCCCGCTGTCCGGTCCCCAAGGTCACCCCACCCCACTCCCCTCCTGGCCCCAAAGAACTGGGCCGAAACAGGGCAGCGCCTTGGCGGCTGTTCTCGGAGATCTTTATTAGCGGTCTGGAAAGCACCTCCCAGGGTCCCCCGACCCCAGACTGGGGGAGCGCCTGGAGAGGTCTGTAGCACCAGGGACGTGCCGGGGCCCGAGAGCAAAGATGCGCGGCCGAGCGGCGGGGCCGGGCGCCCCTCGCCTGCCCCGGGGCTGCTCAGCACTGGGAAGGGCGGGTAGCAGCCTCCACTCCCCCCACCCAACAAACTAGCTTGAATTCGGGCGAATAAATAAAATAAATACGCTTCCTCAAGCTGGTCTCCCCCAAGTCCGGGAGAGGTGCCATGCGGGGCAACCCGCCCCGCCCCCCCGAGGCCCACGGGTGGGTGCGGGAGTCCTCTTCCCCATTCCGGGGTGGGGCGGCCCAGCGGGTTGCAGCTGGGGGGCTGGGGTGTGCTGGGGGGCGGGGCCTCCCTCAGGGTCCCCTTGCGTCCTTGCTATCTCCCTGCGAGTCCTCCAGCCCGAGCAGGGGGAAGACTGTCCCCTCCTCTGTCCCGCACAAGGGGTGCCCGCACTGTGGGAAAGAGGTCCCCTCAGCCTCTGCCTTCTGGTCACCTGGTCCCTGCCTTTAGCGACCCTGAGGGAAGAAGGCCCCTCCCCATATCGAGTCCATCTGTCCGTCCCGGCCCCTCCCCCACCCCACCCGTCGGCCCCAGAGCTCTGTCCCCACGGGGGCGGGGCGGGGAGGGTCCCTGGGCCCCCCACCCCCGCTCTCAGTCCTGGGTCTGACAAGGAGAGGGTGGCGGACAGCCTCGGGGCCGGAAGAGGCGGCAGGCCCCGCGGCAGATGAGGAAGAACCAGTACAGCTGGGGGGCCAGCAGCAGCGCGGCGCCCAGGTTCACGTGCGCGGGGATGGCCAGCGGCACGGCGAGCAGCGGCAGCCCGGCGTGGCGCCCGTAGGCCCAGTACAGGTAGGGGAACAGCAGCACCCGGCAGCACAGGAAGCTGAGCAGCATCAGGGCTCCGTTAACCTTGTGTAGCAGCGTGTGCTGCCGCTTGTACTGCGGGCACAGAGAGGGGCTGCCACGGGGGGCGGAGCCAGCGCCCGGCCTGCCTCCCCACCGGTGAGGACGCCCCGGACCGCCGCAGGCCTCCCGCCCCTCCGGCCCGCCCGGACCTTTCACCTGTATTCTAGAAGCCCTGAAGGTCCCCGGAAGCGCCCACCCTTGCTGTGCCCTCCAGCCCCAGGGGCTCTCTCACCTGGATGAGGATCTTGCCAAGGCAGACGAAGGGGGTGCTCACCTCCGCCATCAACATGCAGCCCAGAAAGAAGTCCCCCTTGCCCTGTCGCCACACCTGGGGGGGGGGGCAACAAGGTGAGAGGCGGCCCCTGCCCCCTCCCCTCCCCTCCCTGTCAGAGGCGCTCCCTCTAGCAGGTGCAGTACAGGGCACGTGACCCTTCCAGCTCCCTCCTATCATCCCCCGCAGGTAAAACTGCACACCTGCTAGCCGGAGCAGGAGAGTGAGGCTCAGAGACCGGGCCACAGCAGCTCCAAAGCGCCACAGCTGGGCAGCCGCAGACCCTAACCCCACTGCCGTCCTGAGCTTGCCGGGGAGTTCCCCGTCTCTGCCAGCCCGGGTCCCCGAGGACTCACCACTGACAGCGGGAAGCACACAAGCACCATGACAGCGTGGTGGAGCACCATGAGGAACTCCTTGTGCAGGTAGCCGCGCACCACGGCCCAGGTGCTCCCGGGGGCTCGGGCGTCCCCGTCATCCCTCCCGTGCCCTTTGACTTGGTACTTGTGCCAGTGACAGAGGAACATGGCGTAGATATCGTAGATGAAGTAGGGGACTGCAAACTGCGTGTAGGCAGAGGACAGCCAATGCCTGTTGGGCAGACAGAGACAGAGAGACATGGTTCAAGGAGGGAAGGGACTGAGCCGCCCCCGGGTGGCTGGTCAGAGCTGGGTGCTCTCTCGTGGTCTTCCCGTAAACCCTGAGAGGGAAGTGGAGTCTCAGGTTACAGATGATGGAAGCCAGGGTAGGGGGTGAGAAATTTGTCTGAGGTCACAGTCATGCAGCTAGGTAGAGGGGAATGTTGGTGTTCCAACCAAACTTCAGAATCCACTCGGGTCTCCTCGCCTCCCCTCCCCGAAGTATGGCGAGAGAAAGGGAAAAGAAATCGGAAGACACCCACAGACGACAGGACAGAGATAAGGGGTGAGACACAGCGGTGCAGGCAAGACCTTGGAGGATGGGGCGGTCAGGACGGGCGCGACACGGGCGCAGAGGGGATGAGCCTGGGGTAGCCCAGATGGGCGGCAACACTTGCCTGCTTCCTATGCACAAGACCGCGTGCTAAGAGTCTACAGTTCTGGCATGCACAAGCCTGCTGACTCCTCACAAGGCCCTAGAAAATGTTATCATCTCCACTGAACAGACAAGGAAACTGAGTCACAGGGAGACTAGGTAAGCTGGCCAAAGGCAATGGGAAGTCTGGCCACGCAGCCCTCACTCTCTCCACCTTGCTGTCCCTGGAAGATTCGAGAGGCGTCAGAGACTGGCCCTGTTCTTGGCGCAGGAGAGGCACCGTCTGTGCCGCTCTTTCTGCCCACAGGAGACCCTGATCTCTTGCTTTTTCAGGTACAGCCAAGTATTAAGGAGAAAATGCTGAGCCAAAGGTGCCGAGAACGGAGAAAGTTCTCCGGGCTTGGAGCGAAAACAAAAAAACGAGAAGTGCATGAATAGGCAGCATTGCCTTTTCCTCCTTGAGTCAGCACAAAGTCTCTCTCTCTCTCTCTCTCTCTCTCTCTCTCTCTCTCTCTCTCTCTCTCTCACCCTGGGAGTCCTGAGGCCAGCCCATGGGGAGCTCGCCCACCTCGGCTGAGGGGGGAGAAGCAGAGTCAGCCAGGACTGTCACAGAATAGGACCAAGTGCAAGACATTGCTGAGGGGGGCAGAGTAGAGGACTGGGTTAGGGGCCAGCTGGGGGGAGGGGCGGGGGCAGCTGGAAGGGGTGAGGTCATTTTGGGAAAAGAGAAGACCCTGAGACCCAGTGGTGCTAGAGTGGGGGACCGGGAGACAATGGGGAGGCAGCAGGTTAGAAAGAGGAATTCAGGAGAAGAGTGGGGAAGACCCAGCTGGCCATGAGAAGTTCCAGGGACTGGCCGCCCTGGGCTGCCCTCTATGAAGTGTGCTAAAACTGCGGCCCACCCTCTCAGCAGTCAGGTGCTCAGAGCAGGAGCAGCTGCTGCCCTGGATTAACCCGGATCCTGCCCTACCTGAGGATTAAAGGGGAGAAGGGAGACAAGAACAGATCTAGGGGGAGAAGGGGGGGCAGGAGGCAGAAGGTGACCTCTGCGACCGTGTGGGGAGGACACGCTTGGGCGCCTGGGCTCCTCTTGGGCCGGGCAGCAGGAAGGGAGGGGGGACAAGGTGAGAGGAAGCCAAGTGACCAGGCAGGGTCTGAAAAAGAGAGTTAAGTGTCTGCTATGTTTTTGCCAAGAACTGTTCTAGGCACTTGCCAGGCATCAACTTGGTGCCTTATGGAGGCAGCCCTTCCGGGCAGGGATGCAACCTCACTCTAGAGATGAGGGGAAGTATCCCATCTATGGAAAAAGAGGAGGCAAACTGAGAATGGGGGAAACTTCTAGAGCAGGGTCACCCGCATGATGTCCCCTGGGACTCAGGAGCCACCAGAGAAGGGACGGCAGAGCCATAAAGGCTGACATCAGGGGAGGTGGCACCTGCACCCTCACAGGCACTCGCCACTGTGGGTCCCGTCAGCACCACGGACAGAGCCCGCTGCTCCCGCCCCACCTCGCGGCCCTGGGGCCTCTTTGGCAGGCAGCGGGCACTGCAGCAGCTGTCAGTGCCAAATTGTGGCCTCTTCACCCTCCCTCCCCGCCCCCACCGTGTGACCGTTAGTGGCCTTGTTTGTGTCATCTCCCTCGTGCTCGGAGCTGGGGCTGGACGCCTGGATGGTGGGAGGAGGTGACGGGTGAGCTACGCAGCAGGAGGAGCACCCCAGTTGGGTGCAGGTAGGAAGTGGGGGGGGCGAGGGAGGCAGGGGGAGGAAATGTCATCTGGACCCCACTGTGACCCAAGAGGCCAGGAAGCCAGCTAGGAGCCGCCCCGAGGATTCTCTCTGATCCCCACTCTTTCTCCCCCTGACTCTGACCTTTAAGGACAGACGGGATAAATTTATCTCTGGGTGTTGAGTTGCAGCTACCGCAGTTAACTTGCTCAGGCCCAAGTTCAGCGCTTAGGGACCATGGACAGAGTTCCCTAGAAGGCTGGGTATTCCGGGGGTCCCCCCCAGCACGCAGCCCGTGGGCACCTGGGCCCCGGTGGCCGCAGGGCACTTACTGGTCATCAATGATGTGCTTGCAGGAGGTGGAGACAATGTAGCCAGCGGTGGAGGCCATGATGGCCTGGACAGAGGACACCAGCCTGGGGAGAGAGAGAGGGAGGCAGTAGGAAGCAAGAGGCCCATGCCTTAATTTCTCCTGTCTGCTGGGGAAGGGCTGTGCTCTGGACTTGGCCATTCTTCGCCCGCCTTCTTCCCAGGATGGGCTCGCCTGGGCTTTCTCCCCGGGGTCCCGTCCCAGCCATGGTCATTAGCTCATTCACCCCACTTCCCGCTGCCCTTTGCTGTGCCTCGGTTGTGGTGTGTTCCTCAGAAGGGACACACCAGGGAGGTCACGCTGAGGTGAGACAGCGCTGAGAGTGGGCTTTTGCCCTGGGGAAGGGGAGGGCAGCCCAGAGGCCAAGGGGACAGACCTGTGCCTGTCCCTACTCAGCGGTCATCGTGCCGCTCACCATGCCAGCCCTGCCGTGACCCTGGTCCCCCCGGCCACCCGCCCTCACTCCGGCCTCCCTCCCAGGGCTGTGCGGAGTCCTCCCTTCACTCCTCTGCCCCTCGGCCCCCAACACGCACCCCTCATCTGGTTCCCTACCATCTTATAGGGGTGTTTCAATCACAGGCTGGCCCGGTTTGGGAGGGTGGGAGGAGAGCAGGGAGAGGAAAGAAACCCAGTGTGAACACTAGTAGACCAGATGGCTGGGTTAGGAGGCTGTCTCCTGGGACAGCAAGTAAGGTCCTGGGGACAGAGGGAGAACCCATGTCCACTGCAGCAGTTCCCAAACCCAGGAATGCGGCCTGGGTCTCTTCCATCCTGGCAAAGCTTGGGCAGGCAGCGGGCCGAGGGGAAGGGAAGCCGATTACCTGGCTGAGACAATGACCGCGTCGGCCTCCTCCCAGCGCAGCTGGGGCAGCCGCTGGAGCGTGTTCTTGGAGAGGAGGAAGAGTCCGGGGAACACCACCCCCCCGGCCACCATGGGGGTCAGCATGGTGGCTCTAGACTCTGCCGAGGAGGGCCGGACAGGCCCAGTTGAAGGGAGTTCGGGGTGGGGAAGGGCCGGCACAGCCCAGGGAGGAGAGGGAGAAGCGAGGGCCAGGGGCACAAAGGGGCTAGGGCGGGGATGATGGGGCAGCGAGCTGGACCAGAGGAGGGAGGCAAGGGAGTTGGACAAGACTGGGGCAGCCGAGGAGAGGGCCGCGGGGCAGGGCAGGGCCGGGCCGGGAGGATGAGGATGGGAGCGAGGGCGCCGGAGAAGGCCGGTGTGAGGGGAGGGCTGGGTGAGAGGACCGGCCGGGAGGGAGAGGGGGCGGAGGAGGGCGCAGCTGGGGGAGGGGAGGGAGGCCGCGGCAGGTGGGGAGGGGGGGCTTACGTGGAGCAGCTGGGAGGGCCCGAGAAGGCGGGCTGGGGGATGGGGGTGGGACCGTGGTGCCAGCCCTGGGCGGGGGAGGGAGACAGCGAGGGAGGGAGCCCGGGGAGCGGCCGGCCCAGCGGTCAGCGGTCAGCCCCGCTCTCCCGCCGCCGCCGCCGCCGCCGCCGCCTCTCGCGGCCGCCACGGCCCCCGCCGCCCGGCGCGGACACCGCACATGGTGCTATAGGGGATTGGTGCCCAGCCCCCTGCCCCGCCTGGGGGGAGGGGGAGGGGAAGCCGCCAGCTTGGGGAGGGCGGGAGAGGGGGAGGGGAACGCTGGCACCGACCAGACCCCAAGAAACCGGACCTGCAGCGGCGTCGCCCCATGCAGCTCTGAGCCACAGCAGCGGCTGCGACAGAGATGGGGGGAGCCGGGGAAGAGGGAGGGGGAGGCCCTTAAAGAGACCGCAGCTGCGGCACAGGGGCTGCGGGGGACAAGGGCTGGGGAAAGCGGCTGCTTTCTGAGGGAAGCAGGTGGCCGGGGGCCCCAGATGGGCCAAGCACTTGGCGAACACCTGGCATGTCCTCCTCTGCCACCGTGTCCCTTTAGTGGCCTGCGTGGGGTCTCCGCTTGGGGACACCCAGTCCAGCCAAGCAGAGGATTCCCTGGCAATCTTTCTCTTGCTAAGGAATGCCGGGGGATGAAACACCCTGGCTCAGCCTCCTGAGGATCCCAAGACCCACCCCCACCCCCACGGGAGGGAGGGAAATTAACAGCCAGGAGCACCTGTGTGCCCCGACTTGCCTGTCCCCTGTTCCCATGTGATGACTGACAGCACGGGGCGGCTGCGCAGGAAATGTCCCAGTGAGGGACAGTCCCCAGAGTCACACAGGGACGGGTGGCAGGGACTCCCTTGTTCTAGGAGTCACAGTGTGGAGGCGCTGTCTGACCTCTCCTGGCCTCCACCATGCACCTGCCCAGCCCCCTGCCACGCTCCGTGCTCTCTTCCCTCTGCGACTTCCACAGCATAGTTGAGATTTGGAATGGGAAGGGACCCCAGGGATTGGCGGACTCAAGCCCCTCATGCAACCACCAGAAAAGGGAGGTCCAAGCAACCCAGCCAGGGCCATGTGGTGGCCCAGGCCAGCTATCTGCAGCTTTTGCGTGATGTGGGGGCCTTCTACCTGAATAGCACGGTGGTTTCCAGATTTTCCCTGACACAGACCCCAACAATCAACTCCACCAGGGGCTTCTCCCTGCCCCACGTCTCCCCCCCACCCCACCCAGGCCAGGGACGGAGATTTGCAACTTTGTGCTGCCCTCTAGTGGCACATCAGGGGAAGGCCCTTGAGAAGTCGTCTGAGGCAGGAGACCTTTTTGGAGCCGATTGGGCCTTGCATTGCCTAAGGGGAAAAAGTTCCAACTTCCTAAGTCATGCCTGGGTGCTGAGCACAGTGTAAGCTGAGTTACGCTAATTCATATTTCATGTTCACAGGCGCTATCTGATTCACAGAAGAGGAAGCAGCTGTGGCAGTTTAATACAGCAACAACAACACTTGCCAAGATGATGCAGCTAGGAAAACTGGCAAAGCTGGCATTGAAACCCGCGAAGATGTGCAAAACCACAAAAAGGTACTGGGGGGGAGGGGCTGGTGGGCCACGGAAACCACCTGATGGGAGACACAGCAGCCCTGCCCAGTGTGGTCTATCTTTGCATGGTGCAGGTTCCAGGGCGGCAGAGACGGGTTTGCTTCCTGACTGCACGGGATTCTCCCCAGCGCCCTAGGAAGCCCTGTCTTCTCCCAGCGTCTCTTCTCCTCTGCTTCTCCCAGCTGCAGTTTGCTGTTAGCTCCCACTTCTGTTAGCTTTGTCAGAGGCCACTTCAAAAAGGCCGTGGATGGGGCTGGCTGTGGTGCAGCGGGTGAACCCCTGGCCTGCAGTGCCGGCATCGCATATGGGTGCTGGTTCAAGACCTGGCTGCTCCACTTCCGATCCAGCTCTCTGCTGTGGCCTGGGAAAGCAGTAGAAGATGGCCCAAGTCCTTGGGCCCCTGCACCCATCTGGGAGACCCGGAAGAAGCTCCTGGCTCCTGACTTTGGATTGGGCTCAAACCTGTGTCCATATAGGATGCTAGCACTGCAGGTGGTGGCTTTACCAGCGAGGCCACAGCACCGGCTCCAAGAGCATATATTTTTAAGATTTGTTTTGCTTATTTAAAAGCAAATTTACAGAGAAAGAGAGAGAGGAGAGAAAGAGATCTTCCATCTCCTGGTTTGCTTCTCAAACAGCCAGGGCTGGGCCAGGCCGAAGCCATGAACCTAGAACTCGTTCTAGATCTCTCGGGCGAGTGGCAGGGACCCGTGCACTTGGGCCGTCTTCCACTGCTTTCCCGGGGGCATTAAGCAGAGAGCTGGATGGAAGCGGAGCAGCCACGACTCACACCGGCGCCCAGATGGGATGCCTGCATCTCAGGCTGTGGTGCCGGCTCCTAAATTTTTTTTTAACTCTCTTTTCCAGGAAGTTTTTGAAGTGCCCTCACAGGTCACAAATTTGCATCCTAAGGACCCAAGCCAGCCCGCCAGTGTATTTGGTTTTTCCAGTATGGTGTTGCCAGTACTGTATTTCCTTGAATTCTAAATTATAGGTTAGTGATGCAAAACTGGGAGCTCCATGTAAAAGCCCAGCTTCTTTTAAGACAGAGTCAGAGGGATTAAATGATGAAAAGATCCCACTGCTTGCCTCTGGCCTCCTGTGCCCACCCTCAACTTCCACCGCCACCACTAACTCTTCTGGAAGGTAGGGCACCAGCTCCAGCGGTCCTGCCTCCCCCCTCCCCACCCCGGGGCAGGACATCTTGCCCCCTCCTCGTCTTACTTGGATGCCACCAGCACAGCCTCTTGTCTCTCCATCTGCAGGCTGGTGAGGTTCTGCAGGCCCCAGCGCAGGACCGCAAAGCACAAGGGGAAGAAGGCACAGCCGGTCACGAAGAGCAAGGTCATGCCTCTGCAGTGGAGAAGGTAGAGGGCAGCCATGGAAATGGGCAGCGCAGCCCCTGCCAGACCCCCCCCCCCAGCCCAGCCCAGCCCCCTTCCTGCCCAGCTCCACCCACCACCACTTCTCAAACCCCTTGTGGCCCTCCTTCTAGGACTAGCCCTCCTCAAGGGCGACTGGACTTTTCTTTCAAAGCCGATCTGATCATTTCGTTCGGTTTTCCTTAACTCTGCCTGCCCCACCCGTCTCCCCCCTCCTCCCCGGGGGGCCTCACCTCTGGGGGCCCAGGTGGGAGGGTGGAGAGGGAGAGGGCGGTACTGCGGCTCCTCAGGCAGGGACGAGCTGTTCACATGGCCAAGACGCTTGGAAACTTAAAACAACATTTCTTTAAAAAAAAAAAAGAAAGAAAAGATAGAAAAAGGGATGCCCAAAGCAAGGCGTCTCCCATCAAAGAGGGAATTTTTATGAAAACACGTGGATTCATATCAATATGGTTTTTGTCTTGCGAAGCCTCCCCTCCCGCCCACTCCAGGGAGGAGAGGAGCAGGCCCTGTGCGGGAGGCAGGTGAGCAGCCGCGCCCCGCCATCCTGCATTCCTGAAGCGGCTCCCAAGGGACCTGCTGGGACCCAGGCAGGTGTCAAACTGCAAGAGCACGCGGCCGCGGCGGGGCAGAGGCAGTTGGAGGCGGCAGGCACTCCCATTGGTGGGCTGACGGGAATATGCCCTCCTCCCATTGGCCAACCTCTTGACACAGGCGCCCTATCGTTGGCTTCCCGCTGGAGGGGGTGGGTGGAGGGCGGGTTTTAGCGCCTTGCTGTAGAATTGGCCAATTAGAATTGGCCGTTGCCCTGATGGACAAGCTCCGTTTCAGGGGCGGAGCTGGAAGAAGAGGGAAAGGTTCCGGGGTGTCGGGGCTTCAGATTCCTCAGGCAATCAAAGGAACGCACCGTGTGGCTGCGTTTACTTGAAACTCAAGGGTAAAAAAACCAATCAGAACGGCATTTAACAGTCGGGGGAGGGGCCCCCGTGTGCGTTGCACTGATCTCCGCTGTGTAGGGACCTGGCTGTGTGTGCCTGTGAACTTAATCTTTGTGGCTTGTGTGGTGTTTTTGTTTTTTATTGTCTTTCTGGTGCCCCGGAAGCTGCAGCATGAATGTTCCGCAGCAAAGCTGTTCCATTCTGGCTGATGGTGGGGGAGGCCCGTGGGAATCTCAGTTTCTTGCCTTGAGGGTGGCAGTGACACTGATGCCGGCTCGTCGCATGGCGCGCGTGTAGCAAGGCCAGCCCCCGACCTCAGTGCTTAAAAACACTTCCTCAGAGCTGCCTCGTGGTTAGCGGCTGCAATTGTGCCTTCTTTACGGGGTGGGGGGGGGGGGCGAACAGAGGCGGGGGCGGTTGGGGGCCTTGTCCAAGACGCGAACAAGGGGTAGGACTTTTCAAAATTACTTTTTCGTGTTTCACTGGATCTCTGTGATGTTAGGCAAATGTATCAAGTGTATAGGCTTATTCTCCTAAAGGAATTGAAAGGTTTTTCTAAAAGATGGGGTTATTTGAAAGGCAGAGTGACAGAGGGAGACTCACACCGAGAGGGAGAGAGAGAGAGAGGGAGAGAGAGAGAGACATACTCCCATCTGCTGGTTCCCTCCCTAACTGCCTACAATGGCTGAGACTGGGTCAGGCCAAAACCAGGGCCCGGAATGGGTGACAGAGACCCAAGTACTTGAGCCATCGCTGCTGCCTCCCAGGGAGCCCGTTAGCAGGCAGCCGGCGTCGGGATCCCAGCTGGGACTCGAGCCCAGGCTCGCTGATAATGGGATCCGGGCGTCTTACGCAGCGTCTCACCCACCAGGCCAGGTGCTGCCCTGGAAAGACACGTGGACGGGCTGTAGAGACAGCCCAGCTCCGGGCTGGGCTGGAAGCCAGGCAGCCTGTCCCCCTCTCTGTCCCGGGAAGGCACCGGAAAGGTGGGGGCCAGCACCCGCTGGCCCTGAGGGGTGGCTCTGTGCTTACCCTGGATGTAGAGTGAGGAAGGGCAGAAAGCTCCGGGGCCGTGAGCTGGTAGCGGTCAAGTCCAAGTTGCATTGGAATCGGCACCCTCTCCTACATTTTGCTCTCATCATCGGTTTCTTCTTGTTTCAAGCAAGACAGTCCGAGGCTGCCCAGGCTCGCCTGAGAGATACAAGGGCGACAGCAGAAAGCATTGGCTTTCGGCTCCCTCCCCCCACCCAGGGACCCACAAGAGAAACCTTTCAAGTCCTGACTCAGTCCCCGCACACACGCAAACGTTCCCGCAATCCTGAGTGTGCCACATTTCCCAGATTCTTCTCCCCCAAACGCTGGCCACAACCCACGACGTCAATTTTGTAACGACCCAACGGAGAAAAACTTGGGCTTTGAATAATGCTTCTCAACCTTTTAAAAAAGTGCTGTTCCCCGCAAGAGCCCTTTTTAGACTCCTTTTCCCCCTAATTGCTACCCAGCATAAAATTTTAATAACACAGATTTGCTGGGTGTCTATTTATGTCTCTCTGTGCTTTTATATATTGAAGAGTAACTTGGATTTTGGGTTCCCAAGAAGCCAGTTTTGTCCTCTTGGGGGCGATATTACCCCAGCTGAGAATACATGAGCGCTGTCTCACCCACTCTCCCAGTCACCCTGGGACAGTACAGCAAGCCGGCATCCAAACCGGTGGTATCAGTCCCATTTTGTAGAAGGACAGAGAGGTGACATGAGGGTGCTTCACAAAATTGCATGGTAAAGTGGAATTGAAAGATAAGGTTTCTTTTGTTAAAGTAGGATTTTTAAAACATGTTTGTTTATTTTATTTGAAAGGCAGAGTTACAGAGAGAGAGGGCGAGACAGAGAGAGACCTCTTCCATCGGTTGGTTCACTCCCCAAATGGCTGCATTGGTCAAAGCTGGGCCAGTCCGAAGCCAGGAGCCAGGAGCTTCTTCTGGGTCTCCCATGTGGGTGCGGGGGCCCAAGCCATCTTCCTCTGCTTTCCCAGGCGCATCAGCAGGGAGCTGGATCAGAAGTGGAGCAGCCAGGACACAAAGAACCAGCGCTTTGTTACCCAAAATACTGAAATCCATGCGCTGTTATTTTTTCCATAATATTCACTTCCATCACCTGTTTGAAGTGCCCGTGTGTTAGTGATCAAATTGCCATGGCTGGTAGTCAGAGGAAGAATCCAGGAACTCCCCCCGGATCCTGGCGCAGCTGCTTCTCTCTCCTCCATATGGAAAAGGGTGGAACTACTCCAAAGGAAACTGCCCGTGTGGGTTCTGGGTTTGCTGCTTGCTTGCCTGTTTTTCCCCCTATGTGACTTGCTATCAGCAGTTTCACATCATTACTAGATGCCGGGCGCCAGTCGGAGCCCTGTACACACAGGAGCCCACGTCAGCCTCACAGGAACCTAAGGAGTGGTATGGTTGCGGCATCTCCCAGACACTGGAAGGAGTCGGGGTACAGAGACACTGAGTGACTTGTGTAGCGACACACAGGGGGAGGAGGCCCGGCTGGGATTTGCAAACCTGATAGACGGATTTCCAGAGCAGGAGCTTTGAACCGTGCACTGTAAAAGGAAACTTAAAAAAAAAAATTACTACTGAAAATAGAAAACCGGTATCACGTGTTGTAAATAGAAGATAGCAAATTACATATAAAATAAGAAACTAGGTTTTCACATTGTAGCTAGTTGCTAAGCGCTGCTGCCTGGTCTGAGCTGCAGGCTCACTCACTAGCTCTCCTGTGCTTGCTCTCTCTCTCGCTCGCTCGCTCTCTCTCTGATAAAGAAAGAAGGGCAGAACAGATAAGCACAGATAGAAAGGTGTTAAAGGACTTTTGGCAGCAAAATGAGACTTTGTCCTGAAGTAATCCGAAGTGTTGTAAGGGAGCTGGAAGGAGAATAGATTTCAGCGTGTGTGTGTGTGTGTGTGTGTGTGTGTGTGTTTTCTGTTGCTGAACCCTACATCATCTAAAATAGACTCAAGAAGCACTCCACACACCCTCGACTGACCCCTTGCCTGGGCATTCTAGGAGTGTCTGGATGCCCCAGAGGAGGAAAGACACACCACCAACCAGTGCTGGCCGGCGGCAGGTGCACTGGTACAGGGCCAGTGTGGGGCTCCCAGCTCGACTTCGCCACCTGCCTCTGGCTTTCCCTCCCACAGCCCCGCTCCGCAGGTGAGTGTCTCCGTCCCGCCAGCCTCACAACCCTGCCACCCACTTTTCCCCACCTAGACTTTACCATCTCTTGTCCCTTTGGGCTCCCGCGTCCTGACGCTGTCGGGCGCATCGTCTCCCCCTGGGCACCGGCGTGCAGGGCTGATCGCCTCGAAGCCTGTGAATAAGTAAACAATGAGCACCCAGCAGCAAGCGTGTGTCCCACATGATACCCCAGGAGGGGTCCGATTCCCCCACACCCTGCTAGGGGAGCGTCCCGGCCCGGGTGCTAGGGCATTTATTATTTAGTGCTTTTATTTGTACTGTCCCAGGTTAGGTACTGTTGCAAGCAATTCCTGTCCAGCCCTTTGTACCCCAGATCAAGCCCAGAGGCACAACAGATGTAGTGGAGTCAGTTAAGGGGGCCAAGGCCTTTCGTCTCTCACAGAGTGGTTGTGTGAGTTTGGCCAGGTTTCAGAACCGCTCTGTGCCTCTGTTGTATATGTTAGAAGGTCCCATTCATTGCCTGAGCCTAAATCCTAGTTCTGCTCCTCACTAGCTAGGAGGCCTTGTGCAAGTTACTCAATTCCTCTGAGCCTCAGGCTTCTATCTGTAAAATGGGAACAATGGCAGTCCCCGTTCCTAGGGGTGCTGGCATGATTAAAGGAGATAGGTGTACTGCAGAGTTCCTGTGTACACACTCAGTAGTAGCTGTTCTTTGTACACCATCAAAAATATTTATTTATTTATTTATTTGAAAAGCAGAGTTACAGAGAAGCAGAGGGAGAGACAGAGAGGTCTTCCATCCACTATTTCACTCCCCAAACGGCTGCAATAGCCAGAGCTAGGGTAGGCAGAAGCCAGGAGCGAGGAGTTTCTTCCAGGTCTCCTGCATGGGTGCAGGGGCCCAAGGACTTGGGCCATCTTCCACTGCTTTCCCAGGCCACAGCAGAGAGCTGGATCAGAGGTGGGGTAGCCGGGACTTGAACGGGCGCCGTTATGGGATGCCAGTATCTCAGCGGCTTTACTTGCTGCGCCACAGTGCCGGCCTCTGGACCCCATTTCTTAATGAGCCCCTGTTCTGTGCCAGGTACTGCGCATACATTTTATGTGATCACCACCACATGCCCTGTCAGTCTCGTGTACTAATCCCCATTTCCCAGATGAGGAAGACTGAGGCCTCGTGCGGGCAACTGATTCCTCTCCACCCACCTCCCCCCGACAAAGGTCACACAGTGGGAGGACTGGAATTCCAACAACCAGGCCTCACCTGGTTCTAACGCTGATTGGTTTTTATTTATTTATTTTTTTAAGTAACTGGGCCACAATTCCTTCCCATCTATAAAATGGCAGTAATGGTTCCTGCCACTCCGGCTAGCGGTGAGGATTAAATAAGGATCCTGAAGAGGCCTCTGTTGATGCGAGCTCCGGTTCAGCTCTGCTTCTGCATTCCCCGGGGTGATTACCTAAGCGCAGGCCTTTCATTTTCATAATTAGGAGCCTGGCTGGACCTCTTGGTAGTGGCTGGAAGAGGAGGTTTTCTGATGGCCAGCGGAGGGGCTGAAAGAGCCAGATCAGACTCAGAGCTGTCAGTGCCCGAGCCTGCCGGGCGTCTTCCGTGGCTGGGCCGCCTCTGTGTCCCCCCTCTCTCACCGCCCCGGGGGAATCTGATCGCGAGTCTATGTTCCGTTCCTCCCTTCTCCTCAGGGTCCCACCTGAGCTTGCCGGTGAACCTGAGGGCGAGAGAGACCCCACGGAGCGCCGGCTGTGGGCCCTGCTGCCTGCCTGCCGCAGACGCACCATGTGAGTTCAGGGGGGCAGCCGGCAGAGGGGGCGCCCCCGATTCACCCCTCCCTCCCGGGACTTTGCCTGGCTGGCAGCGAGCAGGCCGGGTGCACTGTGCACCCCTGCATAATGTATGAGCCCATGGCAGGAACAGAACGGCGTGGGGGCAGCAGGTCTGACCACTGCAGACCGCGGACGTGGCCGGAGGCCTCTCCAAGCCTGACGTCGCTCTGTTGGCAGAAGACAGGGAGGGGGTGTGTGTGTCACTTGAGGCCTTCCTGGGGCTCAGGTGGGACCTGGCCTGCTCTTGGTTGGCCCTTGGAATCCTGACACGAAGACAGCCCCGAGAGGCCATCTCACCGTACCGTAGAATCAGCAATGGTGACACTGGGGACAGCTAGACTCCAGTTTCCTGGGCTCGAAGCCCCCTCTGAGAGGGCCAGGGGTGGTAGAGGAGGGTGCCGCGACACTCTCTGTGTGTGATTGAAGTGGGGAGAGTTGGGACCTGGAAATTTCTGTGGCTGCCTCCACGGGTAGGAGACCCCCTGGACGGTGGCAGCCATGCTGAGATACGAGGAGGGGTGGGGAGCAAAAGAAGGTCTTGGGGGGCCGTGCTCCAGGGAGCAAACACTGGGAGGCCGTGCTTGTGGAAGAAGCCCCGTGGGGGCCGGCGCCGCGGCTCACTAGGCTAATCCTCCGCCTTGCGGCGCCGGCACACCGGGTTCTAGTCCCGGTCGGGGCGCCGGATTCTGTCCCGGTTGCCCCTCTTCCAGGCCAGCTCTCTGCTGTGGCCCAGGAAGGCAGTGGAGGATGGCCCAAGTGCTTGGGCCCTGCACCCCATGGGAGACCAGGAGGAAGCACCTGGCTCCTGCCTTCGGATCAGTGCGGTGCACCGGCCGCGGCGGCCATTGGAGGGTGAACCAACGGCAAAGGAAGACCTTTCTCTCTGTCTCTCTCTCTCACTGTCCACTCTGCCTGTCAAAAAAAAAAAAAAGAAGCCCCGTGGGGAGGTGTGCCTGCGTGAGTGTGCACATGCGCATTTTTGAGCCAAAAGATAAGGAATGAATGATAGTGGTTCGAGTGCCTGGACCGCCAAAGGCCTGGCCTCGTGGGTAAGAACAGGGACAAGGCTTCATTCATGGCTAGGGGTGGACTGGACTCATTCACGGAATCAGTGGGTGTTGGGTAGCGGCTCCAAGGCTGGTCCGAGTGCTAGAGCTTGGGACTAACCCAGGGCGGGTGAAGCAAGCCAGGCTGCAGGCGCTCCAGACACACAAGCGGAGAATGGACTGCAGGTTCCTGGCTGTGAAGGCCGCAACAGCCACAGGGTGCCCTGTGCACCACAGTGGGCAGGAGGGCCTCGCCCAGGGGTGCAGGAGGTGGAGGAGGGGGTGGGGACGCTGGAAGGGTGTCCTGGGCACCGGGAACAGCATGTGCAAGGCTGTGGAGCTGAGTCCTTGTCCCTGTGCACCGGCCTGGGGAAGTTTCAACAGATCCCACGCGGAGCCTTGGACGCATGGGGCACTCGCCTGCCTGTATTTATAGATTTATTATCTGATTCCTCTCTCCCTCTGGTAGAATGTGCACAAAAGCAGGCAGGAAGTCGGCCCCACTCTGCGGTGCCCAGGGATGTGACCCAACACTGGGGGCAGTGGGCCGGGCTCCACGGCTGGGGTCCCACAGCCAGCCCAAGCCTTGGCGCCTTGTATCCTGGGGTCCGTAGGGAGCCCTTGGAGGTTTACAAGCAGAAAAAGAGCAAGAGCTGATGCTAGCGGTGGGAAAGAAACCACTTGAGGACAGAGCCGAGAGGGCTGTTAAGAGGGCAAACTGGCGCAGTGGAGAGGGGCCTGGGAAACCATGGACCCCACCAGCCAGCGGCCCGGCCCCCTCCTGCAGGCGAGCAGATGGACCCAGCTCGGTGGAAGTCACACAGCAGGTCGCTGCGTAGCCCGGGGGTTCAGCCCCAGCCCTGGGGCGCCCCCAGGACGTCCAGCATCCGGTGACGGTCCGACCAGGGCGGCAGGAATTCGTCCTTGCGGTACGGTCACCCCCGGGTCTGCGGAGGAGCGAGGCGGGAAGGAGGCGTTTGGGGCTCGGCGGCCGCCGTAGGCGCCGCTCCCTGGTCCCCATGGCAACCGCGAGAAGCAGCGGAAGGCTTTTGGGCGGTGCTGGCGCCAAAGCGATTGGACCGAGCGCGGCGCGGAATCCGTGAACGGCCCGCTGCCCCGAGGCTGCAGGTGATGGGGATGAGGCGACGGAGGGAGCCCGGGGTGTGGGGACAGCGGAGCGGGGGTGGCCTGGGACCAATCGGGGCCGGCGAAGAAGGCGCCGCCCTGGGGTCCCCGATTCCCGCCATCCGGACCGGAGGCCATCGCTGGGCCTCAGTTTCCCCAGACGGGCAGTGGGAGGAGGAGAGTGGGCATCCCGGGCTGCCGGCCCTTCTCCTGCCTCTGAGGCTCAGACCTATTTTGTTTTGCAGCTCCGGGACTGACTGTGCCTCCCCACCCCATGGACGTGAGTCCAGGCCCCCTCAGCGCCCAGGACCCACCCTGCAATAGGAGGGGCGCCCTTGGCCCCACCTGGCCCCTTCCAGCCAGGACAAGAGCTGGAAGACAGTGCTGGGGGTGGATTCCCCGCGGGAGGGCACTCTTCTGGCGTTAATTGGCAACATCAGGGGGCATTCCTCAAGTAACCTAGGAAGAAGGCACTTCAGGCAGAGCGCTGGGCTTGGGCTTGGACTTGGACAGAGGCCTGGGATGGGGCGGTCGGGTAGCCTAGGATCTCCATGTGCCCCAAGTGTGGGGAGGGAGCAAGGGGCAGGCAGGGCTGGATGGGCGGCTTGACCGCCAAGGTAAGAAGTTGTCGCCGAGCCATTGATGGGCGGCAAGGAGGGGTGCACAGGACAGCTGGTGTGGGAAGAGGCAAAGGTGCGGATCGGAAGCCGGGGGGCCAGGAACGTGGGCTGTGGGCTGGCAACACGGCTGGGGAGAGTCAGAGGGCAGAGACGAGTTTCGTGGGTGTTCTAAGAGTAGCAAGTCTCAGAAGACTGGAGAAGCAGCAACAGGTACTGGAGGATGAGACGGGCATGCTGGGAGAGGGCAGGTTTGGGGACAAGGTAGTGCACCAGGGTGTGTCCTGCTGAGCCTCCCCACCACTCCTGTGCCAGCCACCTGGGAATCCCGCGTTCCACAGCCCCCTCCACCTGCTGTCTCCCCACTGCCCCAACACACACACACCCATCCTCCTGTGCTCCTCCAGGCCGCTTCTAGCCCGTGGAGTCCAACCCCAGCTCCTGCCAGCAACCCTTCCTTGCCGCTCCCCATCCCCGCCATTGTCTTCATCGCTGTGGGCATCTATTTGTTGCTGCTGGGCCTGGTGCTGCTCACCAGGCACTGCCTGCTGGTGAGGGGCCTGGGAGGGATGAAGGGTGGGACCCTCACCCTACACCCCCCCCCTCGCCCCGGGGAAGAGGAACCCTATGTAACGATCCCCTCTCCCGCAGGCTTTTCCCGTGAGACACCTTTGCCGTTTAGCTCCCATACCTGTCCCTGTTGTGAAACTAGGTTGTCCCTCTTGTCCCCAGCCCAACCTTCTGCCCCTCTCCCACACGCTGAGCCTTAAGGGGGGAGGGGTCCCTACCTGCTGCCTAGCTCAGATCCTGAGTCCCGCCCTCTCCTAGGCCCAGGGCTGCTGCACGGACTGCAGCGCCCCCTGCAGGAAGCACAGCGCCTCTGAGCCCCAAGACTGTTGCTGGACCTGCGCGGAAGCCTGCGACTTTCCTCTGCCTAGCCCGGGCCGCTTCCTGGATGCGTGCTGCCCCCAGCCCAGCGAAGCTGTGAGTGTTCTGGCCTGCCCCGCCCAGCCCCGCCCAGCCCTGCACTGGGAGCACCTGACCCAGGCCTGGCGCCGTTCCAGGTCTGTGAGTCATGTGACGACAGGCAAACCCAGCACGAACAGCACATCAGATCATTGCGGGTGATGAAAGCTACTTGAAGAAAAGAACGCGGGGTGGCAGCGGGCGGCAGCACTTCTGAAAGTGGGAGTTAAGACCCAGCTCACAGAGCAGCGTCTGGGCAAGCGCTGTGCTCCAGAGACGGGGCTACTGCAGTACGAGTTTCCCAACAACCCTGAGAGCTAGTATTTAAAAAAATTAGGATTATTTATTTATTCGAAAGGAAGAGTGACAGAGAGGGAGAGACACGGAGAGAAAGCGAGAGCGATCTTTTTTAAAGATTTATTTATTTGAAAGGCAGATGGCCTGTGTCGCGGCTCACTAGGCTAATCCTCCACCTGCGGCGCCGGCACACCGGGTTCTAGTCCCGGTCGGGGCGCCGGATTCTGTCCCGGTTGCCCCTCTTCCAGGCCAGCTCTCTGCTGTGGCCAGGGAGTGCAGTGAAGGATGGCCCAAGTGCTTGGGCCCTGCACCCCATGGGAGACCAGGAAAAGCACCTGGCTCCTGGCTTCGGATCAGCGCAGTACGCTGGCCGCAGTGGCCATTGGAGGGTGAGCCAACAGTAAAGGAAGCCCTTTCTCTCTCTCTCTCTCTCTCACTGTCCACTCTGCCTGTCAAAAAAAAAAAAAAAAAAAAAGGCAGAATTATATATAGAGAGAAAGAGAGGCAGAGAGAGAGGTCTTCCATCCACTGGTTCATTCCCCCATTGGCTGCTATGGCCAGAGCTGCACTGATCTGAAGCCAGGAACTAGGAGCTTCTTCCAGGTCTCCCAGATGGGTGCAGGGGCCCAAGGACTTGGGCCATCTTCTACTGCTTTCCCAGGCCACAGCAGAGAGCTGGATTGGAAGTGGAGCAGCCAGGTATAGAACCGGTGCCCATATGGGATGCCGGCACTGCAGGCGGCGGCTTTACTTGCTATGCCACAGCACTGGCCCAGAGAGAAAGACAGAGATCTTCCATCCACTCGCTTATTCCCCAAATGCCTATACATTAAGTTTTGTTTGTTTGTTTGTTTTGTTTTGTTTGTTTGTTGACAGAGTGGACAGTGAGAGAGAAAGAGAAAGGTCTTCCTTTGCCGTTGGTTCACCCTCCAATGGCTGCCGCAGCCGGTGCACCACGCTGATCTGAAGCCAGGAGCCAGGTGCTTCTCCTGGTCTCCCATGGGGTGCAGGGCCCAAGCACCTGGGCCATCCTCCACTGCCTTCCCGGGCCACAGCAGAGAGCTGGCCTGGAAGAGGGGCAACCGGGACAGAATCCGGCGCCCCGACCGGGACTAGAACCTGGTGTGCCGGAGCTGCAGGCAGAGGATTAGCCTGTTGAGCTGCGGCGCCAGCAACCCAAATGCCTATAACAAGCGGGGCTGGGCCAGGTCAAAGCAGGAGTCAGGAATTCCATCCCAGGAGTCCCACATACTTGAGCCATCATCCTCCAGTGCCTTCTCAGGTGTGTTAGCAAGAAGTTGGATTGGAAGCAGAGCAGCTGGGACTTGAACCAGCACTGTGATATAGGATCTGGCATTGCAGGCAGCAGCTTAACCCACTGCACACAACATTGGCCTCCTAAATTTTTATTTTTAATTGATAAATGTGTGAGATGGGTATTGTAAAAAAAAAAAAAAGAACATACATTTTTGTCTGATTACAAAAAATATGTTGTACAAAGTATGCCCATAGAAAGACAGAATACAAATCCTTTTATAAACCGGCTCTGTAACCCAAAGTAGCTATGCTTTGTGTATGTCTCTCACTAATCTACAGTATTATCACTGTTGTACTGCAAAAAGTTCATGGAAAAACAAAAGATAGGCTCCTTTTGTCCTAGTTTAGAAATCCAACGCACAGCTTTTTACATAATATGTCTTTTCCCTGAACATCTTGAAGTACTCTATATCTTACTAGTATTTGGCAAAAATATTTCATTACAACTGCTACTTGCCTTTTTAAAAATTTTTTAAAAGGTATTTATTTATTTGAAAGGCCGAGAGAGAGACAAAGAGATCTTTCATTTGCTGGTTCTCTTCCCAAATGCCCACAACAGCTATGGCTGCGCCCGGCCAAAGCCAGGAGCCTGAACTCAGTCTGGGTCTCCCACATGGGTGGCAGGGACCCAAGTACTTGAACTACCACCTGCTGCCTCCCAAGGGGCACGTTAGCAGGAAGCTGGAATTGGAAACGGAGCTGAGACTCAAACCCAGGCACTTGGATGTGGGATGTGGGCGTCCCAGGTGGCTCAAACGCCCACCCCACCGCTTCCCCTTCTTAACTCAACATCACTCCTTGGCCACCTGCTCAGGTCTGTGCACGCAGATAGGGGACTGGCTCAGGAAGCTTGCTGGCTTTCCGAGGGTAGCCCAGAAGCGTGGCGTAGCAAGTTGCTCCATAGCTGGCACAAAACCCTCAGAGGAGAAGGCTGGCTCGCGAAAGGCCACTTCTGCACTTGCGGGGTTGAAGATGTTGAATGTAATCAATCACTTTCCCAGGCAGTGATTATTTTGGGCTCAAAGATTTAGACCACGAAGCTCCTGTCCTTGGAGAGGTGACCTTCCCTCCCTCGGGGAGGGGGGGTGGCAGGGAGGGGAGAAGACCAAGCCCTAGCAAATTTGGTGTTGGGCTGACTGTAGTTGCTGCAAATCCCTGGCAGATGTTTTGAGTTTCAAAATAAATCCTGAGGCAAGGAGCTCTCCTCTTTCAAATGATCTGCTGCGGGTGTCCCGGGGGAGTGGCAGGAGCAGGAACCCCAGGGTTGGGGCCCAAAGGACAAAGGGGAGAAAGAGGGGGCCTCGAGTTCTGGAAGCTCCTCTCTTTGGGGAGACGCTCGCTGCTCGCCTACTAAAGGAATTCTGCCCCCATGTCCTGGGGGTGCTATCCCTTCCCCTCTGTCTTTCCTTGGGGAAGATGGGTTGGGGTGCACTGCCAGGAGACTAGGTCCTCCCACCTGCCCCACCAGGGCTGCCGGGCTTCTGAGCCTGATCCTGTGTGGCTTCTGCTGGAGCCGGGATGGTGTCTTGAACGGTGGAGACAGTGGCAGGAAGTGCGTGTCGGCCCCTCTGCTCGTGGGGCTCCTTGCACTCGCCCATTTTACAGCTGTGGACACTGAGGCTTGCAGAGGCTCCGTGACTTGCTGGGCCGGCCGGAACTCAAACTCCAATTTCTCTTCCCTTCTGGGAAACCTGGCTACTGTCATGCTTTCACAGGCCTTTGCCGGCCAGGATCTCATTCATTCATTCATTCCTCCATCCATTCATTCATTCAGCAGAGATTTTTGGGTCATTGTAAAGGCACCGTGCTGGGCTCCAGGGACTGAACAGAAGTGAGAGAGACCAGGTGCCAGCTCTCACAGGACGTACAGTCTGGGGGTGGGCAGAGAGAAATAAATAGGCAATTCCAGGAGGGGGTGTGAGACGCGGCAGTGTTGGCTGACGTGCAGGCTATGCGAGGTCAGAAGCGGGTACCGGACTTAGGAAAGAGAAAATGAATTCGCAGAGGTGGGTGACCAGCGTGCACGCTTACGGAACAAGTGGCAGAAAGCCCTGACCCCCCAGGAGCCAGGCATTTTTATATTTTAGGAGGGTAGGGATGGAGGTAGTGGCAGAGGGTAGCAGGCGCAGGTGAATTCCTAGAACTGGGCCGGACCTTGGGAACCTGGAGAAGAATGCAGGGTGGGGTATGAAGACCGGAGGGTGTGAGACCCAAATTGAGATTCAAGGGCGAGGAAGAAATTCCACCGTTTATCGATCTTAGGTGCAGTGAGCAAGAATGGCTGGGATTTATGACTGTTCCATCACGCCACTGTTTGTTTCAGAGAGGCGGGAAGGGAGGCTCAGTACATGAACTGGCCACGCGGCTCTTCAAATCCAGGCCTGCCCCACTCAAGGGCCTGGGCCGTGACCAGTAAGGCTGATGGCGAGTCCTCACCAGGTCACGGGGAAGGACTCAGCCAGGAGCCCAGGAGACACAGGGGTTAACCGTGGCGGCCCCCGTTTAATGTACTTAACCAGCAGATTCCTCCCAGAAGCCACATGGCTGCTGGTAAGAGTGGAGGAGTCCATTAGCAGTCATTAACAACTGGATCTAAACTCTGCCAGCGCACAGTTAAAGCCAAGAGTGCTTTTAATCCCCTCTTTTCTGAATCAAGAGCCCAGAAGCTTCTCCCAGCCACCAGGCCTGCGCACAGAATGACGGACAGGAACTCCCCAACCCACAGCAGCCCGTCTCAGCCCCCGACCCAGCCTCCCCAGCGTAAGGAAACCATGTCTCTTCCCTCCTTGCCACCGAGCCACCTGCAGGCCTCCATAAGAGGCAGCTCTGTGGGCAGAAGCCCGGCCTCGTTCCGAACCCTCTTCCTACAGGTAAACCAGCCTTAGCCAGAGCCCCTAACGACACCCGATCTCAGCAGTAAGCTGACGCCGCACCCCGAAAACCTCAGCTGTTGGAAATGTCACTCCCCTATTCCTGGCTTGGCCCGGGCTCTGATTGAGCTGTACAACTGTGACTGTCCCTAGCTCTGCCTCCAGCCTCAAGGAGCCAGTCTTCTGTCACAGGGCCATCCTGGGTGCCTGGATCCAGCCACTTGGCCCGGCCCCAGCCCATGCCTGAGGCTGGTGTAGATCAGCCCTGTCCCGGGGGCGGAGAAGCAGCGGATTCCTGGAGAGGGCCCTTTCTCCCTGTCCCAAAGGACATGCTGTTCCTGCTTCCCCCGGGGACCTCAGAAGCCCGCTTTTCTCCAACCCTGTCCCTCAATTAGATCAAGTGATCAGCTCCGATGCAGCCACTCATTCTCCACTGTCTCAGACCCTGCTTGCGGAGTGAGAGGCCCCCAAGAGCTCAGAGGCCCTTGCAACTCCTGGAAGAAGCTGCTCCAGGCCCTAGGAGGCCGGGGGGGGGGGGGGGACACAAGATGGGCAGGTGGACCCTGGTCTGAGTATTTTCTTTTTAAGATTTATTTATTTATTTGAAATAGTTACACAGAGGAGAGACAGAGAGAGAGAAAGGTCTTCCATCCGTTGGTTCACTCCCCAATTGGCTGCAACAGCTAGAGTTGTACAGATCTGAAGCCAGGAGCCAAGAGCCTCCCCTGGCTCTTCCTACGTGGGTGCAGGGGCCCAAGGACTTGGGCCATCTTCCACTGCTTTCCCAGGCCACAGCAGAGAGCTGGATAGGAAGTGGAGCAGCTGGGTCCCGAACTGGTGCCCATATGGAATGCCGGCACTGCAGGCAACAGCCTTACCCGCTACGCCACAGTGCCTGCCCCATTGAGTATTGGGCAGGTCACTAGCCTGTCTAAGCCTCTTATTTGCTCTTTTGTAGAGAGAGTTCTGATCGTTAAAAGGGACATAACTTTTAAAACCAGTAATGTTTTATTAAAAAAAAAATAAGGAAATTGCCATCTTCAAAAAAACTGGAAAGGTTATTTTATTATTATTATTTTAAAATCATTCGTGGATGCAGGCTGTGCTCTGCGTGAGACGGCACAGTTTCTGTCTCTGGCCCTAAGTGTCCACGTGTTATTCTCATGGAGGGCAGAAAAGTGCGTTTTCCTGGCTGCCAGTTGCACAGAGACCCATCACCAAGCTGGATGCCGTGGCATCCAAATCCGAGCGAGGAACCAGGGCCAGTTCTCTGGTCCTCATCCATAAAATGGGTCTGAGGGGGGCACGCCTGGGTCTCCGCTTCCAGCTCCTGAACCCCGTGTGTCAGGATTTCTCAGCAGCGCAGGGATCGCTGTGTTGGCAATGGGAGGTGACACCCTCTGTTCCACAGGGACCGCCCAGGCCTCCCCCTCCTCCCTCCTCTCCTGGGGGGGCAGACTGAGGCGCCTGATGCACCCCCCCAAGCTCTCTCTCTTCTCCCTCAGGGTTGGGCCCCTCGCTGCCCCAGCTGCTGCCCCCTCTGCGACTGCGCCTGCGCCTGCCAGCTCCCGGACTGCCAGAGCCTCAACTGCCTCTGCTTTGAGATCAAGCTCCGATGAGGACCCCAGGGCCCTGCCCTCTGCGGGGAGCGGCCAGCCCCCAGGGCTCCGCGCGGCCCTCCTCCCCGAGGGGCCTCTGGACACCTTTCTCCAGGTCCCCCAAAACGCAAATGGCTGAGCCCAGCTCAGTGGCCTGGGACCAGGGCCCTGGGCCGGCCAGACTGCAGCTCCATTGCAGGGCCAGGAGAGGGGCTCCACTGCCTCCTCTTCCCTTCCCCAAGTACACTGGAACGTTTGAAGGTGAGGGTGGGGGGCACCGCTCACCAGATTCTGGGGGGAGCTTGGGCCTTGGGTCAGGATGTAGGGGTGCCCCAACCACACCCTGTCCACCCACTCTTGGTTATTTTAGGAGTGCAGTGCCTGCATCTGCTCTCCCTCTTAAAAAAAAAAAAACAACCAGGCGGCACCATCAAGGCCCTGAGTTGGGGGAGGAGGGGGAGCAGAGGAGGAGCCAGCAGGAGGCCGGGAGCTCGCAGGACCTGAGTCCCCTACCCCTTTGCTTCCCCCACAGATTGCAGCCCATAGACGGGTTTCTCTAGACGAAGAGGAGCCTCAGCCTGGACTAGCAAGGAGGAACCTTCCTCTAAGTGCCAGTGAGTAGGCGGGGAGCCCCTCCCCCAGGACAGACCCAAGGCTTCCTCCTCCTTCCCCCACGCTGGGCCCCAAGCTGGCGTGAATGTCAGGGGCTTCAGGTTTCCCTAAATATAGGTCCCTGCCGGGGGATCCGTGGCGGGGAAAGGGCAGGGGTCACGGGAGAAGGTCGGGGACATTAGTTCGGGGGAGGGCAGGAGCCGCCTTATAACCCAGCCCCGGTACGACTCGCTCACTCGCTGCTGACCAGGCTCTGCCGGCTCCTACAGCCTCGCCGCAGGTGGGCCGCTAGCCGGGACGGAGCGGGGCTGGGGGGCTGGGCCGAGGGGGTCCGGATGAGGAGGGGAGACCTGGCCCTGACCGGGAGGAAGAAGCTGGGGAAATATCTGGGAAGCGGATCAGCTCGGGGACGGAGTTTACTTTGGAGAAAGGATTCGGGCCCCAGGGACTGTGGTGCTCGCATTCCCGAGACTTGCTTGGGCCGGTCGGTTTCCGCGCAGCCTGGTTTAGAGTGGCCACCCGCGACTAGGCGGCGGTCGGCGGCCGCCCCAGGCGGGAAGCGCGTGCGCAGGCGCGGGCCAGGTTGGCCCTCCCCGAGGCCGGGGAGGTCTCGCTCGGGTGCGAACCCCCGCACGGAAGCCAGGAGGCCTCACCCGGCCAGGGCCAGGCACGAGTGGACAGAGGCCTCGCCTCCGAGCCCTGCCAGCCCTCCGCGCCCTCTTGCGCGCCCCGCGCATCCACCCGCCGCCCTGGCCTCCGCCTCTCTCAAGCCCGGGCCTGCGGCCTGGAGGGATGGGCCCCGCGCCCAGAGGCAGGCCCACCACGCCGACCTCTCCCTTTGCTGGCTGTGACACACGCCGCCACCGCGCGGGCCGGAAGCGGGGCTGTCCGCGGCCGCCGGCCTGGTCCGGGTCTTGCACCCGCTTTTCCCTTGCTCCCCACCCCCGATCGCCTGGGTGCCAGAATTCCGGCTGAGTCACGGCGCCCCGGAACGTGCCAGGCTGGGGGAGGGGGACACAGCGGGGGGGAAGGGAGGGCCCTGGCGACCCGCGGGATGTGGCCCGAGTCACGTCCGACGGGGGCGGGGGAAGCGTCGGCTCCGGCCGCCGGGGCCCCACCCACCCACCTAAGCGCCGCCTCCCGGCCTCGCGGCTCGGAGGTGGCCTCCCACAAGGTTCCTCTCCTGCAATTGGACGCCTCCTGCCCCCTCCGCAGAGGAAAAACCCGGCGGAGGGTGGCGCGGTGCCTTTAAAAGGCAGGGGCCCCACCCGGCGCCCGCCCCCTGCCCCGCCCCCTCGGGAGCTGAATAGGCCGCGTTCCTCTCGGAACGCGCCGCAGTAGCGGGTCCTGGTGACGACCGCCGCATTCGCTCCCCCGGCCCCTCGCTAGCCCGCCGCCCGCCGCCGCTGCAGCCCGCCCAGACCCACCTTCCCGGGCCAGGTGAGCGCCCCACGCCAGGGCCGGGAACCGTGGAGGGTCCCGGGGCAGGGACGGGTCGGCAGGGAGCCCCCATCCGCGCCCCTCCCCGGCATCTCCCCAGTGCCAGCCCCCGACACACGCGCGCGCGCTCCCAGCCCCGACTCCCCCAGTCCTCTCCAGCTCGAGCTCCCTCGATTTGCTGCGCAACGCGGCAGCTCCGCGCGCTGAGTCATGGCGGGGGAGGAAGCAGGACGGGAAGGAGGCTCAACGCCCTCCCTGATTCTTGCAGGGACCCCGGCTGCAAAGGATTAGGGCTCCTTTGCCTCTCCGGGGGTCCCCAAAGGCAGCGAGGGGTGGAGGGCAGCTCTTACTCTCGCCTCAGGGTTCCCGCAGGTGAGGTGTTGGTTCCAGCCGAGAGGTAGGGCGCCCCAGCTAGGAGGGGAAACCCCTTAGCCCGGCTTGATGACCCATTAACACTTTGCTATCTTTCCTTATCGGGTGACCTTGATTCTGAGCCTGGAACAGCTGCCGCAGCCGAGCGAACAGACGGGAGCATTTTTCAGGGAAAGGGGTGGGGCGCTTGTCGGCTCCTCCACGCACTCTTTCCCTGTATGAGCAGTGAGAAGGGCAAACCTTACCCCTTCCCTGTACCCCGGGCTGGGCTCGCTCTGCGGCTCTTTGCTGGGCCTCCGATCACCTTCCTACCTCCCTCCCCCACCCTTTTCCTAATCCCCGCCCCCCATCCTGGGGGGAACAGCCTGACCTTGGGACGTCCTTGAAGCACTGGAGCCTGGGTCAGTCCTGGGACCTCGGGAGGATCCGAAGCAAAGCCCAGATGGCAGTCGAAGATCTGGGTTTAATCTCAGATCTGGCCCCTGGGTCGAAGCACAGAACTTTTCCCTTCTCTGAGGGGGTGGGGTCCTCTGCCCTGCCCAGGCCCTTGAAACTCTAAAATACTCTGGTTCAATTTGTTTCTAGGCAAGGTGACCCCATGGCAAAGCGCAAGCCAGATGGGTCCAGCTTCAACATGACCCGCCTGTCCCTGGCTCTGGCTTTTTCCTTTCCCCCGGGTGCCAGTGGGCAACCCCACCCTCAGCCTCAGCTGGGCAACACCCAGCAACAGACAGAGTTAGGACAGGTACAGGCGGCAGGCTGGGGACAGGAAGTACCCCAGGACCTGCCGGGTGTGGGGCAGGGGAGGTAGGGAACGTTTGCCCTGACCTCCAGGCAAGGGGGCCCCGCTCACTGGCAGCCCGTGGGAAGGCTCAGCTCACCGGTCCTGCCTGCCTGTCTTACCCAGGAACTTGCTACCAGCACCATGCCTCACTCCCATCCAGCGCTGACCCCGGAGCAGAAGAAGGAGCTGTCCGACATCGCCCACCGCATTGTGGCTCCGGGCAAGGGCATCCTGGCTGCAGATGAGTCCACCGGTGCGCTGTGGTACGGGAGGAGGGCCCAAGGCCGAGAGCGTGGTGGGCTGATGCCCTCATTGTCCCCGTGTGATGCCCTTCCCCAGGGAGCATCGCCAAGAGGCTGCAGTCCATCGGCACCGAGAACACGGAAGAGAACCGGCGTTTCTACCGCCAGCTGCTGCTGACCGCGGATGACCGCGTGAACCCCTGCATCGGGGGCGTCATCCTCTTCCACGAGACCCTCTACCAGAAGGCGGACGATGGGCGTCCCTTCCCGCAAGTTATCAAGTCCAAGGGCGGTGTTGTGGGCATCAAGGTGAGGGCGCGCAGGATCTGGGAGAACGCAGTCCGTACAGGCAGGGTGTGCATCCCGGCTGGGGAGCCTGGCAGACCGGGGCGGAGTCTGCAGTGGACCATGCCTGCTGGACGTGTTTCACCCTCAGGGGTCCAAGCAGGGTACTGGTCTTTGGTTTGCTCACAGTTAGCCAGTGCCAGAGCTCAGGTCTCCTAATAATAGACAATCCAGTTAGCATGCATTTCCCGTTCCAGCACATCCCGCCTCCCCGGACTGCGTGGTGGTATTAGGTGACGATGTTTGCAAGCCCTGAGATGCCGCTGCAGAGGTTGACCTGAACTTGGGGGAGCAGAGGAACTGGGACTAGTTTATCTCCCTTGTCTCATGTCATTGCCCTCCCACCCCCATCCCAATAGGTAGACAAGGGCGTGGTACCTCTGGCAGGAACTAATGGCGAGACCACCACCCAAGGTGAGACCTGCTTGGCTCCCTCCCCTGCTAGCCCAGCCCCCTAGCTTGGTTGCCCCTCTTGGGTGTGGACAGGGTCCAGTACGTAGGAGCCGCATATCCCTCCCCTCAACAGCTTGCCCTGATGGCTCTGTCTCCCCTTCAGGGTTGGATGGGCTGTCTGAGCGCTGTGCCCAGTACAAGAAAGATGGAGCCGACTTCGCCAAGTGGCGTTGCGTGCTGAAGATTGGGGAACACACCCCCTCAGCCCTCGCCATCATGGAGAATGCCAACGTCCTGGCCCGTTACGCCAGCATCTGCCAGCAGGTGGGCTACCTCCCACCTCCCTTGGGCTCCCCTGGCAGCTCTCTTGGCCATGCTTCTGCCAGGATGTCCTCCCCCCCCCCCAAAGCAGCTCCTGCTGAGACTCGCCAGGCATCACACCTGTTCCGGCGCAGATGTTCCGGGGGCGCTGTGAGGCAGAGGGCAGAGGAGCGGGGGTGGCGTGGGTGGATCTGTAATCCACCGAGGGCTTGAGTCCCTGTCCTCCCCGAGATCGGATGTAGCCGGGGAGAGCTGTCTGGAGAGCTTGCGTTAGGAGGCCTCACCCTGTCCCTCCCCTGCCCCCTACAGAATGGCATTGTGCCCATTGTGGAGCCCGAAATCCTCCCCGATGGGGACCACGACCTGAAGCGCTGCCAGTATGTCACTGAGAAGGTAAGTGAGCCTGGGTGGCCAGCACTGGGCAGCCGGGGCTTGGGGCCCTGGGGCTGACCCCTGTCCTCTATCCCACGCCCGTTTCGGCCCTGTGCTGCTCTAGGTGCTGGCCGCCGTCTACAAGGCTCTGAGTGATCACCACATCTACCTGGAAGGCACCTTGCTGAAGCCCAACATGGTAACCCCTGGCCATGCCTGCACCCAGAAGTATTCTCACGAGGAGATTGCCATGGCAACCGTCACAGCGCTGCGCCGCACGGTGCCCCCCGCTGTCACTGGTGAGGCCTGCACCCCCCAACCTTGGTCTCTGGGAGATAGATGATGAACTGTTGCCATACCCTTGAAGCCGTTTGGTTCGATTTCCAGAAGCTTCCAGTAAATGGGTCTCTGACAGTAGCTTCCCCCTCCTGCCCCATTTCACCTGTTCTACAGGAGTTACCTTCCTGTCTGGAGGTCAGAGTGAGGAGGAGGCATCCATCAACCTCAACGCCATCAACAAGTGCCCTCTGCTGAAGCCGTGGGCCCTGACCTTCTCCTACGGCCGTGCCCTGCAGGCCTCGGCTCTGAAGGCCTGGGGTGGGAAGAAGGAGAACCTGAAGGCTGCCCAGGAGGAGTACGTGAAGCGGGCCCTGGCCAACAGCCTCGCCTGCCAAGGGAAGTACACCCCGAGTGGTCAGGCCGGGGCCGCGGCCAGCGAGTCCCTCTTCATCTCTAACCACGCCTACTAAGTGGAGGTGTTCTAAGGCCGCCCCCTCAACACTCCAGGCTCCAGCACCGGCCCCCCTACACACACACTCGCTCTTGAAGAGGGAGCCTTCTTGGGGGTTCCAGGCTGTGTTTCCCACCACTCTTGCCTCCCTCGTGACTTTGGTGTGTGGTATTGTCTGTGTACGCTATAACTCCATCACTTTCCAGCCCACTGCCAATAAACAGCTATTTAAGGGGGAGTCGGCTGTCTGTGCTTATGCTGTCTGTCTTGGGCAAGGAAGCGCTCACTGGCCGATGGAAGGGCCTAAAGAGTGACCTTGTGTTGGTGTTCCTCGGGCAGGAAAGGGCTGAAGGGAGCGGGGGGGACCTGCCTGCTGTTATACTTGCACACATACTTCAAGAAAAGCAGAACAGGCGAAATTTTCTTCTAGCAGCCAGACTCCGCCCCTTCTAACAGCACCTGATAGAGGCTCCCAAGCCTCACTTTTAGGCCCAGAACTCCAGGGTGCAGAAGGCCCCTGTGATCAAAATAACCCATGGTAAAAGTTGACCTACCCTGAGTGCTAGGAGCCAGGCCTGGGATAGGTAGCCTCTGAGCAGGTGCTGTCATTCCCAGTTTATGTTGAAGACTGTCTTCCACTGCTTCTTGGTGAAGACAGGAATATTTAATGCATTCATCGGCTCCATCTATACACCTGGCTTTACGTTTCCTCACCTTAAAGATGGGATTAGAAACCGCTTTTTAGTTCCCCCTGGGCTACATAGAATCTCACACACACACACCCCCCCCCCCAAGAACCTGGAGTCCTCTCTAGCATCCCGCTGTGTGCAGATACACACAGTTCAATGGCGGCGCTCAGGTTCCGAGTTAACAGACCTCTCTGTAACTGCTGTATTCCATGGAGCCAGAAGAATAAGCTGGATGCGTCCTCCTATACCAGGCCTGGAGCCCTTCCCCACTCACCCAGCGCAGCAGTAGCTACACAGGGTCTTAGCCATCGCAGATCTCGGCCATGAGTAGGAAGCGTGCTACATCTGCTGTTTGCCAGATGGTCCTCTACCGCTTCACCTCTAGGCTTTCCACTGCAAGCTACCCTCGTACACACACACACACACACACACAACCTAGATCTTTCTAATCGCTGTACCTACAGACTCCTTGCAATGATCCACCTAGAACGCACCTAGGACCTTCCAGAAGTTTAAAAACTCAGTTCCTCTTTTCTCAAAATGGAGCATCATTTACTAGAAAAACTAAAAAAAAAAAAAAAGCTTCTGCCTGCCCCCCCCCCCAAGAAACGGGAAGCAGGATTTTAAAAAAATGCCAGTTTGAGTAGTTTGAGAATTTCGTGACCATCTGATAGAAATGAATTCACAACTTTCCTGAGTTCAGATTTCAACTGGGATCCAAGTCCCAAGTTTCTAGCTATGTAACCATGAGCCAGTTCCCTCTGCTTACAAAAAAGGGGGGATAAAACTTGGAGGCAATGGAAAACCACGGTTTCGGGGGGGCCATTCTGGAATAAAGTCATTCCTGGCTCGATGTGGGAAAGGAGTCCTTTTCTGCCTCTCACTTCGGAACTAGTCCATGGCGAGGGTTTTCTCCGGAGCCTCGGGACGAGACCTGGACTGGGATTCCCCGCCATCCACTGCACAAGGACTTGTGTACATGCATCGCCTGGGCCAGGCTAAGCGCTGGGGGCTGCCATGGCGAACAAGGCTGAGATCTCTCAAAGACTGGTGCGGGAGGCAGACTAACACGCGCCAACAAAACTGCAACACAAAGTTTCAAGGCGGGGCCCCCAGCTCAGCTTCAATTTATTCCCCTTGCTCAAAGGAGGTGGGTCTAAGGGCGACGGGTCGGGGTCTCGGCCAACGCCTCCCATTGGCAAGCGAGGTTCGGAGCGCACAGTCACTTCCGGCTACCGTCGCCAACTTCCGGTTCCTTCGCCTCCTTCCGGTTCTTCGGCTCGAGGGGTGGTGCTGAGGGCGCGGCGAGGGGGGGCGTGTATGACGTCACATCCGGCGTGCGACGGAACTGGCCGCCCTATGCTTCCGCGGCGGGGCCGGAAGTAGAAGCGGCGGTGGCGGCGGCCCAAAAGCGAAGGGAAGGAGGCTGGGAGCCCGAGAGCCGAAGCCGGAGTCGCAGCGGCGGTAATAGTCTGAGAGCCCTCTAGGCCACCGTCCTTAGCGCGGGGCCGCGGGGTTCGACGGGAGTTGGCGAGAGTGAGGCCAGGGCGGTGGGACGCTGGGGGTCCGGCGGCCGCCGTGAGGGGAGGTGGGGTGGGGGGGTGCCGGCCTGCCCCAGAATCGAGTCCCCCCTCCCCTCCGCGCCCGGTACGGACACTCTGATCCGCGGGCTTGTCTTCGCCTTTCCCAGGAGACCCCTGTGCGGCGCGGAGGGGGCGGCGGCCCCGACTCTGACGCGCGCCAGGGGGGGGTGTGTGGGCCATGGCGGAGATCAGCGACCTGGACCGGCAGATCGAGCAACTGCGACGCTGCGAGCTCATCAAAGAGAGCGAAGTCAAGGCCCTGTGCGCCAAGGCCAGGTGAGCCCCGTGGGTCCCGGGGAATGGAGGCGCGGCCGCCAGAACTTGTCTCACCCTGGAAGCGTTCCCAAGAGAGGAGGAGCCGGCCGGCCCGGAGAAGTGACACCTGATCGCGTCCGTTGGTGTGTTTCCGGTGGACCGGGACAGACAGACGCTACTTAGGAAAGTCTAGGGGGCGGCAGAGCGGGCCGGGTGGGGTGGGGGTGGGCACGGTAAAGCTCCCTGTGAGAGCGTCAGCAAGGGCCAAGGTTCAAGACTGCAAAGCTGTGTAGACTTTGTGACTTGTGAAGTCCTTTCATCCCAGCTGCACGCCTTAAAGGGGGCGGGGGTGAACCTGTCCCCATGCCCCAGGTGAGGACTCTTAGCCAGAGTTGGCAGCAGTAACGAGTGGAGTGGCGTGTGGAGCCAGGTCCTGCCCCGTGTCGGGCCCTGACTCGGGAAGGTGGAAGCGGATCGGGGAGGGGGAGCCCGAGAAATTGTAGCAGATGAGCCGGAGTCGGGGTCAGCCGGCGCCACAGGAGCTGCGAGCCCCTCCCGCCCCCCCCCCCGCACTTCTCTAGGAAGTGGGGGCGCTGTCCCGGGTTTGGAGCTATGAGGGCTCTGGGTTTGAATCTGAGCCTGGCCGCTCCCCAGCAGTGTTGGTGGTGGCGAGTGAGGTGTCCCGAGATTGATTTTCGTCGCCTGTGAAGGGAGGTTTTGGGGTCTCATGGGGTGGTTGTGAAGATTCCGTGAGTTGGTGCGGGAGGGGGCATAGCACGAGGTTCTCGCCGGTCGCTAGGGGTTGTCATTGTTACTGCTTTGGAAGAGGGTGGTGGCCATGGCCGTGGCGGGCTGAGGCTTTTAGGAGGAGGTCGGCCTGGCAGGACAAAGCTGATGTGGCTGACGTGGCACGGCCAGAGAGGAAAGAGGGCCCTGTGTAGGGTGACGGTAGAAACGGAGGTGGGTGGGCGACAGGGAAAGACCTGTGGTTTCCACCAAGTGGACCGTGTGGGAGACACGGGCAGAGTCGCTCTGTTTATTGAATAGTGGGCCTCTACTGGCCGGGAAACAGCCGTCACCCCCCCCTCTCCCGGCAGGTCATTGGCTCCCCTGTGGAGAACAGGAAACCGGGACTCCTAGAGACCTGGCGACTTGATGGAGAGCACCCCGTGGGGAAGAGGCGTAGCTGGGCTCTGAACCTGCGGCCGTTGGGCCGTGTGCTCGGCCCTGTCCCCGGCACCGGCAGACTCCACAGCCAGCGCGGCTGTTGGTTGGGTGCGCGGCCAGGCCCCTTGTAGATGCCCGTCTGTGGCTCCTCTGTTTTGCTAGCTGGTGGAAGTCTCTTAGCAGCCCAGCCCCATGGAGTGTTTGTAGTTTTCCCTTCTCCCTTGGTCCTAATTGGCATTTTTAGGAACTTAATCCACGGGCTGCCTGGTTCTGAGTTCCCCCACAGGGCCGGGCCAGCGTGGCAGCCATGTGAGCTGTGTGGTGGTGCGCTGGGCTTTTCTAGTCACCGCAGAGGCTGTGCTTTGTCCCATCGCTCCTTGCTGCGGCGCTGTAGAGCAGGCAGGGCCCAGAGGAGGCGGAGAGGAGACGGCCTGCAGGAGCTGTCTCGCCCAGCATCACACGGGTCTTTACCGTGGGCATGGTAGCCGGGCAGACATGTGGGAGTGTGGGGCAGCAGGGAGCCATAGAGGGCCGAGGGGGTCCTGCCCCTAGTTGACACTGGCGTGGATCCCGGTGGAGGCAGTGGTATGGAGAGCTTTGGCCAGCCGGAAAGTCGCCGCAAGTCTAATCCCTGGAACACCTGCAGAGCCTGAGCCAAGATTCCTTCTGGTAAAAATAGTAGCGACTTAGAAGAGCAGAGCTTTGGAATCAGGCGGTCTGCAGTGGCCTCAGCCTCGTAGCCTGTAAGCAGTATGACTCTAGTCAAGTCTGCCTCGCTGGGGCGTGTTTTTAAAAATTATTTATTTGAAAGAGTTGGAGGGAGAGAGGAAAAGATTCCATCTGCTGGTTCACTCCCCAAATGGCCGCAACAGCTGGGGCTGGGCCAGCCAAAGCCCGGAGCATCTTCCAGGTCTCCCACGTGGGTGGCGGGGGTGCAGGTATTTGGGCCGCCATCTGCTTTTCCCAGGCCATGAGCAAGGAGCTGGTTCAGAAGTGGAGCAGCTGGAACTCAAACCGGGGCCCGTATGCAATGCTGGTGCCTCGGGCAGTGGCTGTGCCACAGTGCCCGCCTCCTTCTGTGAGGTTTTTTATTTTTATATTTGAAAGGCAAAGTTACAGAGAGGGAGGGAGAAAGAGTGACATCTTCCACCCGCTAGTTCACTCCCCAAATGGCCACAGCAGCTGCAGCTGGGCCAATCCAGAGTCAGGAGCTTCTTCCTGGTCTCCCCCATGGGTACAGGGACCCAAGGACTTGGGCCATCTTCCGTGGCTTTCCCAGGCACCTAAGCAGGGAGCTGGATGGGAAGTGGAGCAGCTGGGACTGGAACCGGCGCCCATATGGGACGCCTGTGCCGCAGGCGGCGACTACCCGCAGTGCCCGTGTGTGGGGCGTTGAGAGCACTGTGAGGCTCAGATGGGATTCTGCATCCTCAGGGACAGGTCCTGACCCGGTGGTGGGTTCCTGAAGGTGATGCTGACGGGCTGAAGCAGAGCAGTTGCGAGTGACGACGGGGCTGCGGGTGACAGCTGGGTCGGCCCCGGGCCCTTACTCCTAGACCGTCCTGGCCCGCGGTGGGGGCTTTGCAAACAGGAGCCGTTTCCGTGACCTGCCTGGGGTCGGGTTTGGACTCAGTCTGAGTTCCAGCTCAGTCCCTCCCCAGCTCTGTGACCTTGACCCTGCCGCTGTGCTCTGAGCTTTGCTTTGTTGCTCCCTCAGACGAGGATGAAAGAACCTTCCCGGTCTGTCGGCAAGGCCTTTGGAAGCTGCCGGTGCGGAAGGGTGCTCCCCACGGGGTGCAGTGCAGTTGGGGGAGCCCGGTGCTGCCGGTGCTCCCCCTTCTCAGAAGGACCTCCCTCAGGCCGAGTTCCTGCACCCTGAGCTGCGGGCACTCAGTCCCACGTGGAGCACAGCAAGGGGTGGGCAGGGGTCTGGGGCCCCCAGAGGCTGGGGACAGACTGCCCTGGTCAGCTCCCGGCTGTGTGACTGTGGCCGCGCCGGCAGCCTCCGGTTCTTCAGGCTGACTGCACGGGCAGTCCTCAGCGTGCCTGCCTTTGAGCGCCCTGGGTCAGCGGTAGAGCAGCCAGGATTTGAACCAGCATTGCAGGCGGGGCTTAGCCCGCTGTACCACAGCGCCGGCCCCTAAGTGTCCTTACCTCTCGGTCATGCGGGCGCGGGGTGCAGTGCAAGGAGAGAGAAGTCCTGGCTGACCCCAAGTGAATGCTGAAAGCAGCGCTGTGAGGGTGCTGCGGGCCCGGCCCTTGGCTGTGGGTCCGGGAGAAGGGCCCGTGGCTGGGGCGGCGGGCCAGGCCTTGGCCAGGGAACAGTCTAGGGGCTCTGCTGTGGCGGGCAGGGCATGCCGGGTACGTAGCTGCTGGCTTGAGAGGAGAGCTGGCCTTTGTCCTCTTGGCCCCAAGGAGCCGGGGAGGGGTGCTGAGCAGCAGGGGCTGGGGCGGCCTGTTGGGAGAACTGCACCCTCACTCCTGCTCTCTGGAGGTTCAAGGACCCCCTCATATCCCCCTCCCCCCAAAAAAAGGTCGGGCATTGGGCTGGGCTGGCCTGCCTGTGGTGACCCTGGTCTTCTGTCTCCAGAGAGATCTTGGTAGAGGAGAGCAACGTGCAGAGGGTGGACTCGCCGGTCACCGTGAGTACCGTGTGTCCCTCCCTGGCACCGCCTCGCCTCGGGGGAATGGGTGGATGGGGAGGGTCTTGGGATTTGTTGGAGGGGGTGCTCTTGGCCAGGGCAGAAGGACTCTTGGTGAGTGATTGTGGGTGCCTTGGTGGGAGAAGGTGCAAAGGGGCGGGCCCTCCAGGAGCCGCAGAGCCCGCGCTCTGGCTCTTGCCCACGGAAGAGTTGGCACTGTGTGGGATGCCAGTAACGCCTGCCCGGGCTGGCTCGGGGCGGGAGAGTAGACTCTTGGCCCGGGGTTGGGACAGGCCTCTAGAAATGGCGAGAGTTTCGGAGTAGAGCCCCTGGGGACAGAGGCTTTACCCCGGAGAGTGAGGGCCACCCCGCCTTCCTGCTTCCCAGGTGTGTGGTGACATTCATGGACAATTCTATGACCTCAAGGAGCTGTTCAGAGTGAGTGTGGGGGAGCATGCCTGCGGCGGGGTGGGGGATGGCCGGAAGACCCCCGCACTTGAGAGCAGAAGCCACTCACGTGGTGCGTGGGGTGGTCATGGAGAGGCCTCAGCAGGATGGGAACATGGGCCAGCAAAGTGGTGGGGGCTGCTTCAGGGCCCAGCAGCGCCTTGTCCCTCCCCCAGGTGGGTGGCGATGTCCCCGAGACCAACTACCTCTTCATGGGGGACTTTGTGGACCGTGGGTTCTACAGCGTCGAGACGTTCCTCCTGCTGCTCGCACTGAAGGTGGGCGCCCCTGGGTCTGGCCTGGCACCCTGTCCCCACCCTCATCTTGCACTCCCTTCGCCCTGCCATGGAGTTGTGCCATGGGCTGATTGCGCTTGGTGAGGTGGTCAGACACGGTTGCCTTGACTTAGGGGCACCTGGCAGCCCCTGAGGGGGAGGCTGGCAGGGAGGGAGGAGGCCCGGGGTTCAGAGGTGGCAGCTGTGGAGGATGGGTGGGTGTGGTTTCCCCTAGTTGGGGGTGGGGCTGGAGAGGGCAGAGGGCCTTGCCTGTCCTGCTAGGGACTGGGATCGAGTCTGGTGGGTGCGGGAGGCAGGTGGCCATGGGGTCCAGGCGAGAAAGGACAGGAGTGTGGGCCGGGGCAGCGGCTCTGAGGACGGAGTGGCACTAGCCAGTGCATGGAGATGGGCGGGACAGTCTAGACTGCAGCGCCGGCTGGCCGGCTGCCCCCAGGTTCGCTATCCTGACCGCATCACTCTGATCCGGGGCAACCACGAGAGCCGGCAGATCACCCAGGTCTACGGCTTCTACGATGAGTGCCTGCGCAAGTACGGCTCGGTGACCGTGTGGCGCTACTGCACCGAGATCTTCGACTACCTCAGCCTGTCGGCCATCATCGACGGCAAGGTGGGCCGCGGGCGGGCAGCCTCCGAGCCGTGGGGCGGGGCGGGCGGGGCCGGGCACCTGCCTCCCTTCCCTCTGTCTCCCCCCAGATCTTCTGCGTGCACGGGGGCCTCTCCCCCTCCATCCAGACGCTGGACCAGATCAGGACGATTGACCGGAAGCAAGAGGTGCCGCACGACGGCCCCATGTGCGACCTCCTCTGGTCGGATCCCGAAGGTGAGGGCAGGCGCGGGGTGGCCCGGCTTGCTGAGAGTGGCGCAAGCCATGGCCTTGAGGGGGAGGGGAGGTCGGGGTGGGGGGGTGGGACCCAGCTGGTCTACGCTGCCATTCGTCCTTGCCTGCGGGCTGCTCAGGACAGTCCCTGGCTTCCGTGTCGCCGCTCCCCCAGACCGCCCCGTCACAGCACAGGTGACTTCATGCCCCAGCGTGGCTGTTACAAGCACCTGTGTGGTCATTAGGAGTCGGAGGTGGTCCCAGCCATCGGGCCTGCCTTCTCTCGGGGAGCTCACCTGCTCTAAAACGTGCTGTCCCCTCCCAAGAGCCCCAGAACATGCGCAGTCCCCGTGCTCTTGTCCGTCGGGCCGCTAGTTGGTTGTGGGAGGGGAAGAGCCGTCCGCCTCCTGGAGCAGGTAGCCAAGAAGCCTTAAGGCCCCCTCTCCCCCGCCCAGACACGACAGGCTGGGGCGTGAGTCCCCGCGGGGCCGGCTACCTTTTTGGCAGTGATGTGGTGGCTCAGTTCAACGCGGCCAACGACATTGACATGATCTGCCGCGCCCACCAACTGGTGATGGAGGGTTACAAGTGGCATTTCAACGAGACGGTGCTCACCGTGTGGTCGGCGCCCAACTACTGCTACCGGTGAGCCGCCCGGCCGGGGGCGGGGGGGCAGAGGGGGCCTGCGGCTGAGCCGTCCCTGACCCTGCTGCCCCGTGCAGCTGTGGGAACGTGGCAGCCATCCTGGAGCTGGACGAGCATCTGCAGAAGGACTTCATCATCTTCGAGGCCGCTCCCCAGGAGACCCGGGGCATCCCCTCCAAGAAGCCCGTGGCCGACTACTTCCTGTGACCCCGGCCCGCGGACCACTGTGACTCTGCCCTCTTCCCCAGGTGGAGGCTGGGCAAGGGGGGGCGCCCAGCTCTGCTCCCCCCACCCCGAGGGCGCTCGGAGGGTGAGGACTTCGTGGAGAGGTTGGAGCCTAGCGCCACGCTCCCTCTCTTCTCCCCACTTGAACCATGAAGTTTCCAGTAATTTTTTTGTTTTCTTTTTTTCCTTTTTTTTTTTTTTTGGTTGGTTTTTAGATAAACGTTTTGAGGAAAAAAAAAAGAAAAAAATTCTAATAAAAGAGGAAAAATGGTCTTTGGGTTGGTGTCGCACTCGATAGGGGACAAGCAGGGATGCCTGGGACAGGGGGTGGGCGTCAGGAGCTGCGCCACCCGTGCCCCCGCGTCCTCCTGCACCAGGGCCACGAAGCTCAGGACTCCAGGTCCAAGTCCCAGCCTGGTCTCCCCACCAAACCTTGGTTCCCCCAGCCCGCCCAGGCCAGACGCCTCAGCCCAACGGGAACTGCGCACGGGTGTCTTCTGCGTTTTATTAACAAAAATAACTCTGCTCCTGAGAACAAACCGGCGAGGCGGGCACCAGTGGCCGGGGTAGCACTTGCCCAGGTGGGCCGCCCGGGAGGTGGGGGTGCAGGTCTGCGGCCCCATTTGGCCAGGCAGAGCCTCCCTCCATTCACACCGAGGTGAGAGCCGGGAAGGGGAAGCTGGCCCCAGCTGGACTCCCAGCAGCCTGGCCTGGGCTTTGAAGCCAGTGGTGGGTGGGAGTGAAAATCAAAGTGTGAAGTGGGGGGGCAGGGGCGAGGCCCAAGGCAGCCATTTGGTGTGGGGGGTGGGGCCAGCAGAACGAGGGGGCTGAAGGGCTGGGGGAAGGGCCTGGAGGTTTGTGGTAGATTGGGGGGGGGGGGTGGCGAGGGGCCCAGCAGTGGCTCAGTACATGGGCTTGGAGCCCACATCCAGGTAACTCCCAGGCCCAGGGTATGGTAGGGGGAAGGGGCCCCCTTGGAGGAAGTGTGGGGCAAAGGATGCAGCAGGTGGGGCCGCTGGGTACCCTGAGCCCCCTGGCCCGGGCTGCAGCTCCAGAAAGGCTGCGGAGTAGGGTGCTGGGCGCCCAGAGTCTGGAGCCTCAGGGAAGCTGGGGTTCCTGGAGCGGGGAGAGCGGTGTCACAACAGGAGAGGCCGGGCGGGGCAGCCGCGCCCTGCGCCCTGCGCCCTGGTCCCACTCACCTGCTGGGGAGGTGCCCCGAGGCCCCATGGAAGGCTGCAGGGTGCAGGAGGTAGGCCTCGGCGCTGGGGCCGCCGCATGGCGGAGCTGGGGCAGGCGCAGCTTCCCGGGGCGCCGGGGCCTGCTCCGCCTCCGACTCACGAGCGTCCCCACCCAGGGTGGAGTCGCAGGGACCCCCTGGCATATCTGGGGGGCAGATGGCACAGATCAGGGTAGGGATGGTCAGGGTTGCAGCCCCGACACTGGAACAACGCTCACCTGCACTTCCGTAGGCCTCGGTGCCGCCCGACTCCGGGCCCCGAAGTTTCCTCTTCACACGGGCATCCCGCTCCCTGGGGAATGGCGGTGATGATGATGGTAATGATGATGATGATGACGGTGATGATGGCAATAACGGGACTTACAGGTGCCGAGCCTTTTGCCCTGCCAGGACCCACCCCAGCAGGTAGGCGCTGTTGCTATACCCATTTGACAGATGACACTGACGACCAGACTATTAAGTGACGGGAAAACAGCAGAGCTGGGATTTTATTCCTGACTTCCTAGTGCTTTCCCGCTGGACTTGGAGTCAACAGAAACGCTTTCCCACACCGCCAAGCCGGCGTGTGGTCTGGGTCCAGCCTCTCCGGAATCCTCCGGCCCCCTTTCACCTGCTGAAGAGTAACTTCCTCCAGGGAGTCCTTGCTGGCCTCCTGCGGCGCCACACGCCCTCCCTCACAACAGCCACCAGTTACACTTCATCCGGGGCCTTTCAGGGGCCTTTCAGTTAGCGTCTGCCTCTTGGGCAGAATGGCAGCTCCCTCAGGGCGGGGGCCGGCATGGAGGCCTCTCAGAACAGAAGCCCTTCCTAACCTCTCTAGCCGGCAGGCGGGCTCCCCATCACCTCCCTGACTCGCTCTACTCTGGCTGCACCATAGGTGTGGTCCCACCTCAGGGCCTTTGCACACGCTGTTCCCACTCCAGCACGCTTTATCCCAGGTCCCCTTCGTCCTCCCGGCCTTCTCTGTGACCTCGCCCCAGCCCACGGGGCCTTCATTCGCCCCGTGCTTTAACTCACGCCCCTTTAGAACTCACCCCTAATAGGATATTCGCCTCTTGGGTTTACGTGTCTATTTGTACAGCAGTTCCCATGAAGGCAGGGGCGTTGGCTTGCTTTATTTCCTGGTCCCCACGGGCCCAGAACCCTGCCTGCAGCCCCTACTAAAGGATTTGTTGACTCACCGAGTAAATCAATGTTTACCTACCATGGTGTACCTGGCACAGGGCAGCACTAAAGAACACTCGCGGAATGAATGGAGGGTGAACAATGCCCACCTCTTACAGTTTCTGCCGTTCTCCCGGAAGCCTTTGGCAAAGGGATTGGCTGCGATCTTCAGCTGTGTGATCTGCGGGTGCGCAGCCAGGCTCAGAGCGGGGCGGGGCGGGGCTGGGCGTCCCCCCCCCCCCCGCCCGGGCAGAGACTCACCCGTGGGTTCTGGTAGGCTGTCACGGAGATGAACGTGGTCTCGGGGAAGCGGAAGGAGGCCACGCCGCCCCAGTGTTGGCTGCACAGCTGGGCGGCCCGCACCAGGTGGATGCGTGGCTGGTACTTGTGCATGGAGTGCAGGATGAGCTGGGAGAGAGGAGATGGGGAGTGACTCCCTGCTCCGGGCCCCAGCCCCAACCCCTGTCCCTGGGTCGCCGGCCCCGGGGCTCACGTGGCCATGCGGGTCCAGTGTGCTGTTGGTGAGCTTGACGCGATGGAAGGACACGGGCTGCCTCATCCAGTGAGCCCCCGTGGCAGGAGAGTCCGGGTGGATGTAGACCCGGTCAGGTAGGCGGGGCTCCGCCTTGCCGCTGGGCTCCCAGCGCCGGCCCTGCCAGCGGTAGCGAGCCCCGTCCACTGGCACCACGTCCAGAAGGAACAGGTAGCGGGCCTCGGGGTCCAGGCCGGTGACCGACACTCGGCAAGCAGGAAACATGCGCCTGCAAAGGGGGTGGGGTGGGGTCGGGGGAGAGGCCTAGAGCTACCCACTGGCCAGACGTGGGCACGGCACCAGCAGGGGGTCTTGGCCACGGGCTCCCCACGTTCTGCCAGGAAAGGTCCAACGTCCAGGGAGGGCAGAATCTTGGACTTGAAAGGCTGTCTTGTCCCGTTACTCGGATCGGGGAAGACGACAGCACAGGGGCTGCGAGCAGCCCTCTCATTCCTTTTGCAGACACAATGCTGATGATTCCTGCGGTCCTGCCATGCTTGGGGGCAGAGGCCGTGGCTTGCAAGGGCCTGAGCTCCTGCCCACTTCCACATGGGCCACACACACTGCCCGCCATCACCCCAATTCCTGGCCAGATTTCCCTGATGCCAGTCGATGCCGGCTGGCCCTTGACCCCTGTCATCGTCTGAACACTGACACACTAACCTATATCCCAGCCGGACCGGCCCAGACTGACCCCATGACCCTTGCCGAAGACGGGTACCTATACCCAGGCACGGACTCCGTAGGCTAACCTTTGACCTTTGTGACAAAATGACTCCCCAGTTCCAGCCACGGAGCAACCCCTGCCCGTCCCGGGGCACAGACCCCAGATTTGGGCAAAGCGCTAGCCCCAGAGGAAACACCCCCAACCCAGCCCATCCCCAGGAACTCTGCTTTTCCCAGGAGACAGCCCCTCTGCCCCACCCAGCTGCCCCCCGAGACCCTCTGCGCCCAGCAACCCTCACCTGCCCGCTTTGGTGATGATCATTTCTGTTCCCACGGAGCTGAACTCCTTCCACAGCTCCTGGTTCTCCAAGCTCAGGCTGACCCCGGGGAGCAAGTGAGGAGCCTCCGGGGCTGGTGGGGCCGGCTCAGTGCCCAGCGCCGGGGGCAGAAGGGGCAGAGGTGGGGGCGCCGCCAGGGTTCGAGGAGCAGCCTCAATCCCAGAGAGGAAGCAATCCAGTTTGGGGGTGTCCAGATCTGCAGGGGTGGCAAGCATGAGGAGCCAGTCCAGGGCCACAGCCCCGCCCCCTGCTGAGGGACCACGGGTCTCCGCGCTCTCACCCGGGTAGCGGTAGCCCTCTGCCAGGGCAGGGGGGAAGCTGGAGTCGGCCCCGGGCTGCGGGGGCCCCAGGCGGTAGCCAGGCCCCAGCGAGGGGTACAACTCTCTGGGATGGTACATGCTGTAGTCCTGGCGTCTTCAGGTCAAGCTGCCTAGAGTCCCCTGGTGCTGATGTCCCCTTTATAGCTCACAGCTCAGCCCCTTCCAGACCCAGCATCACAGCCCCTCCCCTCCCTGGGGCCCTGGAGTTGGGCTGGGGTGGAGACCCCTGGGGCCTCGAAGGGGGTCCAAGACAGGGGCCGGATACCTGGGTACCCACCCCTCCCCCTCCCAGCCCCCGGCGGCTTCATTAGCCCCGACCCCCTGCCCCCTCATTACATAATTAACTCCTCGGCCGGCCTGATTGATCCCCGGGGCTGGGACAGGGACGCAGTTTGGCGCTTCCGGCCAGCTGGTCCCCGTTCCCACGGGGGGAGCCCCGGCTAGGGATAAGCCGTGGGGGGCGGGGCCTGGGCTCGGGGCCGGCGCCCCAGGCCTTCTGGCAGGTGACCCTCCCCCGCCTGCTACACTTGAGGGTCCAGCCTGGGAGGGGGCGGCTCAACTAAAGTGCAGCTTGGAAGGCGCGACATGAGCCGACTACCGCGGGGCCCCGGAGACTCCTCAAGGAGTCCGCAAGCGACGCCCGACCCCTGGAGTGCGCCCTGGTTTTCCATTCTGGAAAAAAACAACCCCGGCCAAGTCCCAGACGGCAACAGGTTCTCAGCTCGACGACGCCTCACGTCTAGCTCCGAGGTTTCCCAGAAAGGCCCGCGCCCGGGAACCCTCGGAACTACGCTTCCCAGCACGCCGCGCGCCGGAACTAATACGAAGAACGTGGGCCGACTGCCCCAGGGCCGCTGGGAGTTGTAGTCGGGCAGCGAGGCGGGGCGAGGCCGGCGGCGCAGTTGCTTTCCCAAGGAGCTGCCCCTAGGCGGCGGCCAAACCTCAAAGCCAGGAAGATACTCGGAGGTCAAGGCCTAGGGATCCAGAGTGGGCTGGAGGATCTCTGGCGGCAGTGAAGCCCGCCCTGGTTCCCAGAGACCCAGCCGGGACGGCTGTGCCCAGCCCGGGGCCCGCTGGGTCTCATAAAGTTGCAGAGCACCCCCGCCCTGGAGTCCACGTGAGCCCGGGCCTGCCTGCACGCCATTGCTTTATTGTATACAAACGCTACAGAACGAGGGACACAGACGTACGTGGGGCAGGAGGGGCCAGGTGGGAGGAGGACAAGTTCACAGGGCAGGCGTTGCCCGGGGGCGGAGAGCACAGCGCACGGGCCATAGCCACGGGGCGGGCAGGACGGGGAGGGGTGAAAAATGAGATCCAAGCCAGCCAGATCACAGGTCTCCCCCCCCACCCCCAAGGTCACAGTGCATGCAATAAAGTATATATGTACAGGGGCTGGATCCTCCCTCCGCGAGAGCCCTGCGGGTCCAGAGCTCTCCCTTCCGGCGGAGCGAAGCCAGCGGCGCCCCCTGGCGGCCAGGCCGGGCGGGCGCCACCATGCGTCCGGAGCAGCGGTCAGTCCCAGCCGTTGTCTTTGATCATGTGGTTGAGCTCAATGATGTACTTCCCCTCTTTGTACTTCTGGCTGCTCTCGAAGGCCTGTTCCTGCAAGGAGGGGCGGAGCTGTCATCGCCGGAGCAAGGGCCTTCCCGAGAGGGCCTGGGGAAGCGGGAAATGGCGGGGGGCCGTGCTCCTCACCCACAGGGAGTGGAGGGAACCCTCTGAAACACGGGTACTTCTGCAGTACTAACGACAGCTCCAACTGCGAGGACTCAAAAGCGTCTGAAACATCCCACAGTCCAGGCCTTGCACACCGGTGACCCTACAGACCTGCCTGCACGTGGCTTTTGTTCAGACATCAGAAAGCTTAATAAAAATAACTTTAAAAAAAATGCTAAAATATTGGCGGGCCGTGGTCACTGCAGCTCGCCCCCAGTCTTGCTACCCGCCCCATCCCAAGCCCTAGGAGCCGTGTCTTTGGCAGCGATCCACTGTATCTGCTTTGGCCTTGCAAGGAAATGAGGTTGACTTCGGGGCTAGGCTACTTCTTTACCTTACAGAGACTCAGAGAGGCCAAGCCACCTGTCCAGAGACACACAGCAACACTGGGGCAGGACTGGGCTGGCTGTCTCTGCCTGGGGCACTCGCCCCGCAGCCTGAGCAATCCTGCCCCCTGCATCTTCCTTTGCTACTTCTTATCTGATCCCTGTGACAACCCTGAGTGCCAGGTGGTGGCTTTGCCTTTCAGGGCAGATAAGGAAGTGAGACTTGCGGTGGTGAAATCAGACCCCAGACAGCTGCAGTGGCAAGGCCGGCAGTGGAAAAGGGAGACCCAGGGACCCAAGCTCCACGGGCCCGTGAGGTCTGGGGGCAGTTTCTCCGACCCTCTGAACCACAACGAAAGCTGGCAGCCAGGGGTTTGCGGTGAAAATAAATAAATAAAACCCACAAGGGTTCTGGTCCTTACTCTGTTACTTACCAGCTGTGTCAGCTTGGGCAAGTGCCTTAACATCTCTGGGCCTCCCTGTTTTCTACAGTGACGCTAATAAGAGAGTCCATCTGTAGGGTGGTTGTAATGACTGAATGAGATAATACATGCTAAGCACACAAGCTTTCAGTAAATGGTAACCTTGGTTAGGTCCTCGTCTCTGAAATGGGGATGCTGTTGGCGCCTGTGAAGGAACGGAGGCGTCAAGAGAGCAGTTGCTGCAGGTTGGCGAGAGGGCAACGTGGTCCCGGGAGGGAGGAACAGCTGTGATTGGCTGGGCCAGGCCCAAGCGCAGGGGAGGGGCCGAGGCCAGGCCAGCCTGGGGTGGGTGGGGGCTCAGCGACTCACATATTTCCAGCCCAGAGTGGTCTTGCAATTCTCGCAGTGGATATCGGCGACGGCATGGAGACCTGTGAGTAACACCCGCTCCTCGGCTGGCCCGCAGCCCACGTTCACCCTGCGGGGACAAAGGGACGGTCCCAGGGAGGGTCTCGCCATCACAGACCACCCCCACCCCCACCCCCACCAAGCTTGCATCCACGGTGCCCTCAGCATCCAACAGGAGGGTGATCACAGCTTCCTGCCCGAAGCAGGGGATGCTGGGAGTCTCAGTATGATGGGGGGTCACAGGTCACCACAGAGGTCAGGGGTCGGGGTCGGAAGGGAGGGAGGCCCCATACTCACACAGAATTGAAGAGGTAGGCACGCCCCTGACTGCCCTGAAAGGACTACAGGTGGAAAAGGGAGGGGTCAAGCCTGTGGGGCTGGCGGGGTGGCCGCCAGGCAGCCCCTCCAGCCTCCACTTCCGGCTCAGCTCCGGCTGTGGCCTGGTTACCTTGGAGATGAGGTCGTCGTGGTTGGCCAGGTGAGCGCGGCAGTGGGCACAGCTATACCTCCGGTGACAATCATCCAAGTAGGCCTGAAACGTCTTGGGCTTGGAAATCCGCACCATGGCGGGGGCCAGGGGCAGTGGCCCCACGCGGGGAGCGGCCCACGGGGAGCAGAGGGAGCCCAGTGCCTGTGGGGAGAGAGCAGGTGGGCTGTCAAGTCTCGGGCACGGCCCAGAGCCCTGGAGACTTCTGCCACACTTGGCTGCTCCCTCCCTTTCCCCAGAGCCAGCAGCCCTCTCGGGGACGCGAGCCGGCTCCGTTTTGACTCACTGAGAAGGCCTCAGCTTGTTGCATCAACAGGGAAACTGAGGCTAGGAGGAGCCCAAGGTGAGTCACTCACCTGCCCGGGGCCTCGCCTCTGCTGACCTGGCAGCTGAAGCCAGAGGAGGGGACCTTAGAGTGGCTGCGCCGTCAGCCCCCAGTTCTGCGGGAGCGTGGGGAAGGGGGTGGCCGTCCCAGAACGGGAGGGTCCCTGGGGCCTGGCCTGGGCCACGGGAGGGGCTGCGCTGGAGTTTAAGAAGTTCACCTGGGGAGAGGGTCTCTCATCTGGGAGAGGCTAGAGGCCTCGGCGGACGGTGGAGACTCAGCTGGGAGGGGAGGGCTCTTACCTGGGGGCGCTGAGCGCGCATCTGTTACCTGCACCGTCGCAGAGCCTTACCTGAGACCCCGGGGCTCACCTGGGACCCGGGCAAGTGGGGAGTGGGCGCCGCGGGGGGGAGAGGGGGTGGTGGTGGCGGCGGCGGAAGGGGACAGTCCTCGCTGGCGGGGCGGGGGCGCGGGGCGCCGCGCAGCCCTGACGCTGCGGGCTCACCTCGTCTGGGCGCGCGGGGGCCCGGTCCGCCGGGGGTGGCCTGGCCTGGGAGTGGGGGGCGCTCCTGGTGGGCGCCGTCACCCCCCGCCCCGGCCCGGGTTCGCAATCGCCAGGACTTGTTTACACCGAGACCAGCTGCTGCCGCCGCTGCGGCGGGAGGGGGAGGGGCCGGCCTCCCGTCCCGGCGGCCGCCGTGGCCAATCGGCGTGCGGCATGCAAATGAGGGGGCGCGTCACACGGCGGGCCGCCCTTCCCCCTGCGGCCGCCGGCTCCGGCCCGCCCGGAAATGCGACTGCGGCCCTCGGCCCGGCGAGGCGGCCCGCGGCGGGGCCCTGCGGGGCGCGGGGGCCCGGGCCGGCGTGCACGGTGTCTGCACACGCACGGCCCCGGGAAATAGCTGCCGTCATTGCGTTACAGCACAGCCCGATCGCCTTCCTCTTAATCCCCGCAGCCGTCCTGCCTGGCGGTGTCTCCTTTTGTCTCCGGATCCGGAGCGGGTGCTCACCGCAGCTGGCACAGCGGGGGGAAGCTGGGATTCTCACTTCATACTCTGCCTCCATGGTCTTTCCGCCTCCGCACCAGGGGCCGACTCGGTTCGCCTCTTGAGTTCAAGGTGTCCCTCCCCCGGGGGCCACTTGGGAACCGGCAGGTGCGCAGCCGGCAGCCAGCCTCCAGGCTGGGCCAGGTCTGAACCCAAGGGAGAGTGTGCCCGAGTTGGAGCTGTCTTGTTCGCTGAGCAAGCCCCGGGCCCCTGCGGGCCCCTGCTGACCAAGAGCAAGCTGCATTCCATGGAGTATGTGACTCCTTAAATGCAGGCAGACCCCAGGGGATCTGGGACTGGCTGGGTGCAATGGCAGAGGTGGCAGCAGATGGGCACTGCGGACTCAGCTGTCCCACCTGTGCCCACCCTCTGCAGCCCAGGGATCTGCCCTGCCTGCTGTAATGGCCTCTCTCTTTGGCTCTCAAGTTGGGGGCGGGGAGCCCTCCCCTCCGCAATGGCCATTCCTGGGGAGAGTGGGGGCTGGGCTGCATGGGGTGTGGCTGTCCCTTGGGTGTGGAATGCAGTGGAACCAGCAGTTCAGGGGTTGGGGAAGGACCTCAGGCCAGGCCTGGCCCCAGGCGGGCACCCTCTGCCCCTAAGCTGCAGGAACCCACCCTCCACCCCTCACTCCAAGGACAAGGAGGAGACTGAAAAGAAGATATTTATTTTCCAAGAAGAGAAACAGCGGGGGGGGGGGGTCCTCTGGACTCAGGAGGCCGGAGCGCGGGGTCCGTGGTTGTCCAAGTAGCGTCTCAGAGCTGTGGGGTAATCGGTTATAACGCCAGTGGCCCCCAGGCTGAAGGCTGTTTCAAAATCCGACTCATCATTAAGGCACCAAAACAGCACCTGAGCAGGGAGGAAGGGGCTTGTGTCTCCACACAAGGTTAGCTGACATCCATGGTGGGGTGGTGGGGGGTGGTGGTGGGGAGACCTCCCAGCGGGGAGACAGCTGCAGCTGTCTCATTTTCAGGGGAATTTTGCAAACTAGTATTTCAACACAGCAGTTACTAAAAGTTAAATTGCAGGGCCAGCATTGTGGTGCAGTAGGTAAGCCGCTGCGTGTGATGTTGGCATCAGCTATGGGCAGTGGGTTCGAGTCCCGGGTCCTCCACTTCTGATGCAGCTCCCTGCTAATGTGCCTGGGAAAGCATCAGAAGATGGCCCAAGTCCTTGGGCCCCTGCACCCACATGAGAGACCCAGAGAGAGTTCCAAGCACCTGACTTCAGCCTGGCCCAGCCACAGCCATTGCAGCCGTCTGAGGAGTGAACCAGCAGATCAAAGATCAATCTGTCTCTCTCTAATTCTGCCTTTCCAATCAGATTTTGAAAAGGAAAAAAAAAAAAAAAACTTAAATTGCATAAGTTTACAATTAAACAAATTGTATTAAAACAAAAGTAACAAGTATTCCAAACATGTTACTTTGTAATTCTTCTACCACAATCACCTATCTTCTTGCGGTTGTGTGGGTGGAATCAGTGAGATGGAGCTGGGGCTGTGGCACAGTGGGTTTTGCTGCTGCTAGCAATGCCAGTATCCCCTATCAGAGCGCCAGTTCCAGTCCTGGCTGCTCCACTTCGGATCCACCTCCCTGCCAATACGCCTGGGAAAGCAATCAAGGATGGCCCGAGTGCTTGGGTCCCAGCCACACATGCGGGAGACTCAGATGGAGTTCTGAGCTCCTGGCTTCAGCCTGGCCCAAAATAAATCTTAAAAAACAAAACAAAACAAAACACCCCTGTAAGATGGGAGTACTGTCTCATGGTGAGCTACCCCAACCCCCTCTCTCCCCAGTCCTGCAGTAAGTGATTTCATGTTGGCAGTTTGAGAGCCCTTAAACCAGGAAAATCACCCCTCATATCTGTACTTTAATTATGCTTCCCCCAGAACTGTTTTCTAAGACAACTTTTGATCTGTGTATTTGAGAGAAAGATCTTCCATCCACTGGTTCACTCCCAAGTGCTCCCAACAGCAGGGACTGGACTGGGTCAAAGCCGGGAGCTGGGAATTCAATCTGGGTCCCTCTTGTGGGTGGCAGGGACCCAATGCCTTAAGCCCCTGTCACTGCTGCCCCCCAGGGTCTGCATCAGTGGACACCTTGAGTCAGGAGCCAGAGCTCCAGTCACAGCTGCTGGACCCAACGCCCACCCTGGGATGGCAGAGATGGTGTTCCCAGACCTCTTGGTTTCTCAGTTTGCCAAATGAGGGCAGTGGTCGGACCTGTCCCAACCGTGGTGAAGACTGGAGGTGTGTGAGGGCTGAGCTGGCTTTCTTAGCCATAGGCTCTGCTCACCCCAGAGCTCACTGCTCCCCAATCTCAGCTCCCGTCAGGGGCCGCATCAGCTTCCTGAGGCTCCTGTTTCCAGGGGTTCCCCCAATCCCCCCTCCCCGTGGTTGCCCGAAGGAGCCTCACTCAACCCAAATCAACTGATCAGTCTCTCCCCGCTGAGACCTTCCGAAGTTTCTGTTCCCTGGGCCGTCGTCCCTGCTCCTCCTCCTCCTGCCTTCCTGCCTGCTGCTGCCCTCTCTAACCACGGCCACTTCCTCCAGGCAGCAGCACCGGGAACCCGGAACCCGGCAGCTCCGGTCCACCTGCCCTGGTGCTGGGCCTGCTGCCAGCTCCGCCCCCTGTGTAGGCTGCTCCACCTCCCTCCGCTCTGGTCTCTCACCCGCAGACCACAGCAACGCCTCCCTCTGTCCCCTGCAGCCCTGGGGAAGGTTGGCTTCGCTTCTTTCCTTTGCTCTTAACTGTAAGCTCCCATCCCCAGGACCCAGGGCCTGGAACACTCTCACTGTGGCCTGGCTCACTGAATGACCTGGTCAGAGCTGCACCTGCTTTCTCCCCTCTTGGTCATCCCCCAGTCCTTGTCATCAGGGTTTAGTACATCATCCTCGTCCAGCCCTGAGCACTAGGTGTGCAGGCAGCGGTTAAAGACACCATTTTCCCCATTTTGTGGATGAAGAAACTGAGGCCCACAAGGTGTGATGACCCGCCCCAGGCCCCAGCTGGTTACTGGCAGAGTGTGGCAGGCACCCAGCTGCCTGGCCCATGCCGTGAATACTCGCCGGCTGCGGCAGCGGTGGTCCAGGCCTCACCTGCACTCCTCGCTCCTCCAGATGTCGGATCAGGCTTCTCCTCATGATGGCCCTGGGGGTGGGTGGGGAAGGGTTGGCAAAGGAGCCACAGGAGGGCAGTGGCAGGTCCCTCTGGAGACACCCCCCCACACCTTGCCAGCCTCACCATTTGCAAACCACGGCAGCCAGCTGGTTCAGGCCAGAGCAGGAAAACGGGAAGTAGGTCCTGTGGAGGCGTGGCAGGGGTAGGGGTAGGGTCAGCTCTTTGGGGTAGGGGTGGGGTGGGAGTGACCCCCTAAGCAGTGTAGCCCTGCCCCAGCTGGAAGCCACTCTCCACTTGCCCACGTGGACAATTCCCTCATTGTTCAACAAGAGGCTTCTCGGATGCCCAGGGCTCCATGCTCACCGGGGGTGTGCCCGCCCCTCACCAGCTAACAGACAGGACAGACGAATCTTAGATAAGGGACACGCAGGAGAGCATAAAACAAAGCAGGGCGGAGTGGGGCCAAGACCAGCTGGAGTCCGGAGCTGCACGGCTCATGTGGGGCCCTGCTTGGGCCTCGCAGTTTAAGACCAGACAACTCTCGATGAGTTACCTACCTACCCCTAACTGCCCCACTCCCTGGTGACTCCAGAGGCCCTTGGCAGTGTCCCAGGGCACACCTGGGCTCCACTTCCTGCTGTGTGACCTTGGGCAAATCATGGATCCTCTCTGAGCCTCAGTTTCTCCTTGGGTACCAGGAGGTCATGATGCTTAAACCTCCCAAGGGCAATGTAAGATCAAGGTCAGGTTCACCCAAAAGACCTGAACACTGCAAATCCTGTGCATGAAACTTTGTAGAACAATGATCTTTGTATCAATGTGGGGGCTTGGCGGGGAGTTATCCTCCAAGAGAGGAGAGCAGAGGGTACTGGGGACCCCCCATAGAGCTGTCAGAAAGCAAAGGGAGGGGGCTGGCACTATAGTGCAGCTGGTAAAGCCGCCACCTGCAGTGCCGGCATCCCATATGGGCACAAGTTCAAGTCCCAGCTGTTCTACTTCCAATCCAGCTCTCTGCTATGGCCTGGGAAAGCAGTAGAAGATGGCCCAAGCACTTGGGCTGGCTGCACCTGCGTGGGAGACCCGGAAGAAGCTCCTGGCTCCTGGCTTCAGACTGGCCCACTCTGGCCGTTGCTGCCACTTAGGGAGTGAAACAGCGGATGGAAGACCTCTATTTTTCTCTCTCTCTCTCCCTCCCTCTCTTTCTCCCTCCCTCCTTCCCTCCCTTCTTCTGCCTCTCTGTAACTCTGCCTTTCAAACAAATAAGTAAATCTTAAAGAAAGCAAAGGGAGAAGGACAGGTATTTGACAAGGCGGTTAAACACTGCTCGGGGTGCCTGCAACCGTGTCTGGGTGGATGCCAGCCTGGCTTTGCTCCCGCTTCCTGCTTCCTGCTAATGCACGCCCTGAGAGGTAGCAACTGAAGACAGAGCTCAAGTACTTGGGCCCCTGCCACCCACGTGGGAGATCCAGACTGGGTTCTGGGCTCTTGGCTTTGGCCTGGCCCAACCCCAGCTAGTCTGGGCACTTGGAGAGTGAAGCAGCAGATAGAAGACCTTGCTGTCTCTCTCTCTGCCTTTCAAATACCAAGCAAACAGGTACAGGGAGATGGGACAGCTAGGAAAGTACCCACATTTCTGATACTTCCACCAGCTGTTACTTCAGTAATCTTTGCTGCTCGGCTGGAGAACTTTTGGCAGAGAACGAGAGAGCCCTGCTGTGGGCATCCCTCTGACCACCACCCCTTCCTGCTAGCCAGACCACAACCTCCCCTGGGGCTTACCCTACCCACTGTATCCCTGGTGTTCCTGCACCTGGAACCCTGCACTAAGCATTTTGGATGAATCTAGGAGACTGTACAGACCCTCCCTCCTAAAATGCCACATCCACACTATTTGCATATAATGTCCCAGCCCCCTTAGCAATGGAGGATGCTGGGTAAGAAGCACCACCTTCTAAGGACCCAGGGGTTGTGTCTGCGGGCTGCCAGGGGGCTGAGGAGAGACGAGGAACTCCTCCTGCACCCAGGACCCTGAGCAGTGGGGCTGGCAGCAGGAGGTGTCCTTTGGGGGTCCCGTTCCCCCTTCCCCCCCAGCCCCTTTCCCCGCACCTGTTGATGATGGTGGGCAGGAAACACAGGAAGAACCGCTCGGGTATGGGGACGAAGGGCAGCAGCCCCAGGTAGTAGAGCAGCAGCACCCAGAGGCCGCGGTTCATCGTGAAGGACCGCGGCATCTCAGGGTTCTGGGGAGACAGGAGCAGGGGGAGATGGGAGAAAGGGACCAGCACTGGCTCCTGGGGAAGCAGGGGGAGGGGTGGGCCACAGCGGGGACAGCGCTGGGCAGAGTCACCTCCTGGCCCGGGGTTCGAGGCCTGGCGACGCCCTCCTGGTGGGCACCACCACGACCCTGCTCCCCACCTCCCCCGAGGGAGCTGTCCTCGGGGCCTGGAAGCTTCCCACACCCCTCAATGTCGGGCTGCCGGGGCTGGTAGGGAAAGGGACTCACGGCGGCCTTGCACTTCTTCATGATGGAGCTCTTCTCCGAGGCCCAGATGGTGATCTCACTGCGCTCGAAGCGCCTCGCCAGGCCTGCTATCTGGGGAGAGGAGGAGGAGGAGGAGGCTGAGGGGAGAGCCAGGTCTCCCTCCAGCCGTGGGCCCCCCGACTGCCCGCTGCCGGCAGCACCACCTTCTGAATGAGCTCCTCGTTCTCGGCTTTGACCTCCACACTCATGGGCGTCTTCGGGAACCTCTGGAACACGTCCTCCAGGCGCACCATGTGCCGGTCTGACCCCTGGGCAAAGTGGCCTGGTGGTGGGGCGTGAGGTGCGGTGTCGCAGGATAAGCAATCGATCCATCGAGCGATCGATCTCAGGATGATGAGCGGAGTGGGAGTGGAAACCCAAGAAGGGTGTAGGGGAAGGTGTTTTTGGTCTCACCTGGCGAGAAATAAACCTCCAGTTTCTCTTTGTAGAGGGGCAGGTCCTGGGGAGAGCAAAGGTTGCGTCACCTGGAGGTAGGAGGGAGCGTGGCGGCTCTGGGGCTTGGGGGGGGAGGGGGCATCAAGGCGAGGCCCACCTCAAAGTCCAAGCTGCCCACATCCCTGTTCAGGCCCGACTGGCGGGACAGGTTCTCGTCGTGGGACACCACCACCACGCCGTCCCGTGTCAGCTGGCAGTCCAGCTCCAGCAGGTCAGCTCGCTGGGCCATGGAGCTGTGAGAGACAGCAATGGGCGGACCAGGTGCAGCCGGGGTGGGGCTCATGGAGGGACGTGCAGGCCCACCTGCACACCGCCAGGGGGCCCCAAGGTCCAGCGTGGGAAGGGAAAGCACCAGCAGGTGTCACGCAGTGCACAACCCACACAACCTTCCGAGGCACCTTGGCCGGGGCAGCTGCACTCACTTCTCCATGGCTTCCATGGTGCTCTCCAGCCGTTCTCCAGACCCTGCGTGGGACAGCTGAGGTGAGTCTGTGGCGCCAGATCAGACCTTATCACCCGGGATCCATCCCTCTGGGTGGCCTCCTTGCTTGTCCCAGGCAGCTGGGCTGCAGCCAGCCCGTCTCCCTACCCTTTCCATGCCACACCCTGCCCCAGCTCACCTATCTTGGTCCTTGCCCTACTTCTAGCACCCGGGGGACCTACCCTCCCAGTGGTCCACCTTGGCACCTGTCTTCCCATCTGGCCACCCTCCCTCCTCCCCTAACAGCTGCCAAGCTGGCCCCTCCCACCCTGCTCACCTCCTCGGTGGGCTGCCAGGCGGGGACAGAAGGTGGGAGCCCGGGGCGCATGCAGCAGGCGAGGCCGCCGCAGGAAGAAGATGGACAGTAGGATGTAGCCGCCCAGGGCTGGCAGCGCGTAGTACAGCAGGGGGCCCATGGCTGCCCTCCGCTCCCCCGCCCTCTCCCTCTTCCAACTGCGCTGCAGCAAGTGCAGCCTCCCAGTGGCCGCGCTACCTCTGCTGCCTGCCGAGGCGAACCAGCGAACCAGCGTAGGCTGGCTGAGCCCCGCGCCACACCCCTGGGACTTGCTGAGCCTGCTGCTGGCCCGGGGCCAGGCTGCAGGGCTCAGCTGGGGCTGGGGGACAGACAGGAGGCAGCCAGGCAGCAGCCCTGACTCTGAACACATCCAGACGCTCCCTGGACCCCGACACCCCTCTGTCCTGGGCTGCCTGGGAGGAGTAACGCCCCCTCCCCGCAGGCTCCATGGGTGCTTATGGCCAAGGTGTATAACACACTCACTCCCTGGCCATTTCCAGAGAAGCTGGGGGTGTATAGCGTACCCCTGAGTCACCCCCAGCCAGTTCCACAGGAAGTCATTGCAGGGAAGAGGTTGGTGACTAAAGGGAAAACTGACACTCTCCCCTTTCCAGCAGTCTGGAACACTGCCCCCCCCCCCCCCCCCCAGTTTTCAACCCTGGCCAGCCTGGGGCCAAAGGTCACCAGGGCTGGGCCAGGAGGCTGCTGGGCTGGAGGGGGGTCGGTCCCAAGCAGCCCTGGCTGGGCCAAGGCAGGGGCGAACAGAAACACGGTCACTGTCATCATATACACATCTCTATATTTATATATTAGATACAGGCACGGGGGCGGGCGGGGGCGCCCCCACTCCCGCTCACCCACACACAGAAGCAGCGAGGACGTTAATGTGGCAGCTTTGGGGGGAGGGGCTGAGGCCGGGGTGGGGGGCCCTCTCCTCAGGGATACTAGCCCTTGAGACTCAGGAATGTTCCCCCAGGGAGATGGGGGGGGTAAGGGGGAGGGGGCAGGGTTTGCCCTGAGTCCCTGCTCAGTGTCCCCGCCCCGCCCCGCCCCTCCGGAGGTCCAGAAGGACCAGCCTGGGATAGCCAGGGTAGATGGAGGCAGAGCTGGGGGGAGATCTACTGTGGGGTCGCCCGAGGCCCTCAGGCCCTGGCAGGAGCAGGGGGGAGGGGGCTCTTGGCCTGTCTGAAGCAGGAGCGAGATGGGGCCAGGCCCACACTCCGCCCCAGCCGGGCACAGTGTCCGTTTTCTAACAGTCCGAGCGTAGAGGGGCAGGCAGCAGGCAGGCCCTAAGGGAAAAGGCAGACGGGGAAGGAGCTGTGAGACCCCACGGGGCCTCACGGCCCCCCAGCCCACGTCGGGTCTCCCTGGCCCCTCCACCAGCAGAGGTGAGGACAGGGTCCTCTCCCAGGGTGAAGCTACAGGTGAATGAACCCGCGGAGGGCGTGGAGGGCTGGATCGGCCCTGGCTTGGAGAGCACAGCAGCCTCCAGGAAGTGGAAGTGCATGGGCGAGGCGGCTTGCACAATGGCAGCTCTGCGGCGTGGGTCGGCGTGGGTCTGGGTGGGCCCGCCGAGGCCCCCGGGTGTGGGAACGGCTGCCCTGAGTGGTGAGGAGGCACCTGGCTTGGGCCACCTGCTGCGGGGCCCCACCTGTCCATGTGGGCGAGCAGAAGTGTGGGTCAGCTGCCCACAGCGGGGACGGGGCCCCAGGGGCCGCTGTGGGTGCAGTGTAGACAGGTGGGGACTTAAGGGCCTGGGTGGGTCATGAGTCTGGGCACCTTTTGTCACCACCGTACAGGTGGATCAGGGACGCCAGGGCTGGCTCGCAGTCGGTGTGGGGTGAGAGGGCCACTCACCAGGCCCCGGGGACAGGGCTGCCGCGCAGGCTAGGGCCCCTCCGGAGCCCCCGGCTGGAAGCGGGCCGTCTCCTGGAAGATGAGCTCCTTCAGCCGCTCCTTGGGTAGATCATCCAACTCCATGTCGAAGGTGAAGGGCTCCTCGGCCACCGGCTACACAGGCAGAGACAGGAGGGCTCTCGGGCCAGGCCCCGGAAACGCCCACGCCCCCAGGCCCCGGAGACGCCCACACCCCCAGACGGCCCCCCACCACCACCCCACCACCGCTGCCGCCGCCGCCACGGCACCTCGTCCGTCGGGTCATAGTACTGTTCCAGGTAGGGGTGAGCCAGGGCCTCCTCCACAGTGATGCGCTTGTTGGGGTTGAAGGTCAACATCCGATCCAGCAGGTCCAGGGCTGGCAGAGGGCGGGAGTCAGGGCTCACAGAGAAGGCGGAGGGGGGAGGGGCTCCCGGAAGGGGAGGCTCCCTTTGCTTTTCGGCACCCAGGGCCCCGTCCACACAGGCAGGTGCCCGGATCGTGAGCCCCCGTCCCCACTCAAGGTTTATCCTCCCTGGGCGTGGCGTCTCACTCACCTTTGGAGTCTGACTTGGGAAACAGCTTGGCCCAGGCCACCTTGGTCTTGGCAGGCAGGGACTGCAGGTAGTTCCGGGCCTTCATGTTGATGATGCAGTTCAGGTCCTCCTGGGACGGCGAGCCCAGGATGCCTGGGCAGAAGGAAGGCAGGCGACTTGGTGAGACCTCGCCTTCCTCCTCCGTCCTGGGATACAGAGGCAAAGAAGCCCAGACAAGCACCCCCAGCCCAGCCACCTGCCTCACAGTGAGAAGGACAAGGGGTCTGGACCCAGGCAGCCTGGGTTCAAATCCTGGCCCTAGCACTTCTTTAGGTGTGACGGCTCTCGGCCTTGCTTTTCCCATCCACCAAATGGGGATAGTTGTCTCTGCTCACGGAGATGCTGGGAGATGCTGGAGAAGTTCCACAAGTGGTGGTACCCCTGACTCTGACTCTGACCCTGACCCTGAGCCTGAGCCTCCCCCGGGTGGGTCAGGCCCCCTCACCTAGAATGTGGTTGAGCTGGTCCAGGTAGTGCTTGCCAGGGAAGATGGGCCGGTTGGAGAGCATCTCGGCCAGGATGCAGCCCACAGACCAGATGTCGATGGACTTAGTATAGCCCTGGGGATGACAGGAAAACAGTGCTGCACTCCCGAGCCAGCCTCGGCAGGGCCCTGCGGCCTGGGCCAAGCCACCGCTTCCAACCGAGATCCGGGGCAGAGGCCTGGAGAGCCGGTGCTCAGCTTCCTTCCAGAGGCCACGTTGCAGAGGGTGGACTTCCAGAGCCTCGCTCAGGGAGGGTGGCTCCAGGGCCGCCCTGGGGGCCTGAGGCTTTCCCTTCCGGGCTGCCAGGCTTGCCTACCTTGGAGTTGAGCATGATCTCTGGGGCCCGGTACCAGCGCGTGGCCACGTACTCCGTCAGGAAGCCGGTGTGGTCATGTTCAGGGTCTGCAATGCGGGCCAGGCCGAAATCACAGATCTGCAATGAAACCCAGGCTGCTGAACGCAGGGCTCGGGGCCCCTGCAGGCCCGAGCACTCCCACTCCTCCCACAGCTTCGCCGCGGCCAGCCGCGGACCTTAAGGTCGCAGGTGGTGTTGATGAGCAGGTTGGAGGGCTTCAGGTCCCGGTGGAGCACGTTGGCCGAGTGGATGTACTTGAGACCCCGCAGGATCTGGTAGAGGAAGTAGCAGATGTGGTCGTTGCTTAGTTGCTGGCTTTTGAGCAACTTGTACAGGTCTGTCTCCATGAGGTCCTGCACGATGTAGCTGGGAACGGCCCGAGACCCCGCCCCTCCCCCAGGCAGGGGGCAGGGGGCAGGGGGAGGCACGCAGTTAAGGAAATCAGGTTCTGGTGATGCGGCTGCACGTCCCCGCACGTCCCCTCACCTGGGGTCCCCGGGACCCGGCAGATCTGCTAACCCCTGTCAAGAGCCGGGCTGAACTCAGCAGCAGGGCACAGGGCCTCTCACACCCCCGGCAGGTGACCCCGAGCATTCTCTCCTGCGGCCCTGGGAAATGGGGCTACTAACAAGCTGTCCAGGGCCGGAGAACATGCCGGTTCAGAGTGACAGCTCCAGGGTCCACCCAGTAATGCCTCAAATCTCCACTGGGGACTTAAAAAAAAAATCACTGAAATTGATTCTGGTGCAAAAAACCCCGTCAAAGTCCACTAATTCAAGGGGTCTTCAAAAAGCTCCTGGGGGGCTGGCGCTGTGGCATAGCGGGTAATGCTGCCGCCTGCAACACCAGCATCCCATACGGGCACTGGTTCGGGTCCCGGCTGCTCCACCTCTGATCCAGCTCCCTGTTAACGTGCCTGAGACAGCAGTAGAAGATGGCCCAAAAGGTTGGGCCCCTGTACCCATGTGGGAGACCCAGAGGAAGCTCCTGGCTCTTGGCCCAGCCTGGCCCAGCCCTGGTCATTGTGGCCATTTGGGGAGTGAACCAGCAGATAGAAGACCTCTCTCTCTCTCTAATTCTGCCTTCCAAATAAATAAATCTTAAAAAAAATTATCCAAGTATTTTGATTTTTTTGCATGAAAATAAAATGCCTGCCTGTTTGTGGGAGGACAATGAGAGAGGAGACACCCCCCACAGCACACCTGCTCAGAGAACATCTGGCCCGGCCTAGATCTCCTGTGTTCTCTCAAAGGGAAATGCAGTGACTTGCCCCAGGTCACACGGCAAGCTGGGTGAGTATGGAAATCTCCCGTCCCTGGTCTGTGGCAGGGCTCTGGCCATGGCACCCAAATCCCCACCCTTGGATGGAGGACTGGACTGGGACCAGCAGGTGGTATGGGTGGGTGGCGAGGAGGCGACGTGTGTCGCAAGGCCAGGTTGAGCCAGGCCGGAAGTGGACAAGGAGCAAGAAAAGCACTCTTGGGGGAGGGCATTAAGGCTAAGCTGTCCCTCCCTGGGCAAGGGGCAGGTGCGCGGGTGACCAGGGCGAGGCTCTGAGCAGGAAGTCCCAGAGAAAGATAAGGACCAGCTCCCGCGTGGGGGAGGGGTGAGGCAGCCACAGAGACACCTGCTTGGGGGCTGTTCCGGGCCTCAGTCCCCTCATCCTTGGGACCCACAGGCAGGGGTAGCACCTGACACGCAGTAGGCCCTCAAGAAAAAGCAGTTTTCTTCCTCCCTGCTGTCTTTCCAGTCTGGGGATCCAGAGAGAAAGAATCACCAGTCTGTTCAGCAAGAAGTGACCGTGGGCAGAGCAGGTCACATAACTGCAGACAGCAGAAAACAAAGAGCCCAAAGAGACCTTGGCGCCCAGGCTCCCCATGGAGGCTTGGGGCAAAGAAGGGACCTGTCCAAGGTCCCCCTGCCTGACAGCCGCAGGTCAGGGGAGGGGGGAGGGGCCTCTGGCCTGTCACCGCCTTCATTTGGGAGGGTGGCAGGGCAGGGGGGAGCCCAGCTCTGGAGGCCCAGGGGTAGGATACACATCCCTCATGGCTTCCAGGGTGGGAGCCCGAAGAATGTCCCGGATGCCGATGACGTTCTCATGGGAGAAGCGTAGCAGGATCTGGATCTCCCTCAGCGTGCGCTGGCAGTAGGTCTGGTGTTCGAAGGGACTGATCTTCTTGATGGCCACGCGGGTCTTGCGCACGTGGTCATAGGCTGAGCTGAGAGGCCCAGAGAGACGTTGCTGCTGGTGTGGCCATGATGGTGGTGGTGATGGGGGGGGAGCGGGAACCAGGCCCAGCGGGCCCCACCCAGGCCAGGGGCAGGGAGGGAGGGGACAGAGCAGGAGAGGGCTCTGGCCAAGTTATAAACAATGCTCGTTCCTTCCTGCTGTGAAGGCCTGGGCTCTCCAGGGAGAAAGCTGGGGACCAGCCAGGCCGCCTTTCGGTGACTTCACAAACAGAGGAAGACTGGCCACTCGCTGACTTCCCCTCTGCTTGACCCCCTTCCATTCTGCCCGAGCCCGGGCCTCCCTCCCCACCATGGGCTGCCTCAACCCACCACAGGGCCAGGGAGCGGGACCGAGGGGCGGGTCTGGGCCGAGGACAGCAGAGCAACTTCCGGTCGGTGCAAAGGCCCAAAGCACACAGTAGGGCTGGGCCAGCTCCCAGACCCCTCCCCAAGATGCAGGCAAGCAGGCACTCCCCACCTCTCCTCAGGCCCGGAGGCCCGAAGCCTCGCCCCACCCAGAGCCCTGCCTGTGCCGCTCCACTCCTGGGCACAGCCTCGCTTGGGGACTCCAAGGCACCCTAAGGTCCCCTCTCTCAAAAGAGGGTCCTCGTTCACCAAGACTACTGATTCTCGTCGCCCCACGCGGGTCTCTAGGGCCACCGCTCCCTCAACCCCAGACACCCAAATACCGCTGCTCCCTTCGGGGCGGAGGGCTCCCGTTCAAAGCCTCCAAGCCCCCTCCCCTAGGAACATGGGCAGCGCCCCCTCCCCCAGAAAGCACCCCAGGGCTCCTATCCCGGGCATACTCCACCAAGCCTCCAGAGTGCCCAGGTTCTACAGGCCACTCCAAGTCTCCACGGCCCAACGAGCCCCCTGCAGCCCTCCTCCGCCCCCTCCTCCGGGGTTGCCCCCTCCCTTGAGGCCGCCCCCTCCCCCGGAACGCCCCCTCACCTGACCATGCCGTACGCGCCCTCGCCGATGTACTGCAGCTGCGTGTAGCGTGGGCCCACGTCGAACGGCTGCCCCTTCACGACCTCCACTTCCCCGGGGACCCCCGGGCCGACCCCATCGGCTCCCCGGGGCTCCCCGCCCCCGCCCCCCTGAGCCGCCGCCGCCGCCGCCATCTCCACTCCTCCCCTCCCGCCCGCCCTCCCCACGGCGGCCCCGCCCGAGGCCCCGCCCCTTCCCGCCCGCGGGGCCGCGCGCGCCAGGCCCCGCCCCCGCGCGCCGCCCCCGCGCGCCCCCGCGCCCCCGCGCCCCGCGCGCGCCGCGGAGCCGGGGCGCGGGCCCGCGGACGTCACGTGGCCCTCCCCGCGCGCGTCCGGCTTTCCCGCCGCCGGGCAGCGGTGCTTGGTCGCTGCGGGCTTCCGTGTGCTGGGAGCGGGCGCGCCGGGCGGCTGTAGGCGCGGTCCATACCCCCTCGATTTCTAGGCAGCTGGCGGGTGACTTCCCCAGGGCCACCCGGCCAAGGCGTGCTGGGGCCGGACGCCCCCCACCCCGGAGTGCCTGGCCTTCTGGGACCAGAGCTGCTCCTGTGGGAGCCCCCTGGGGGTCCTCTCGGCCCTTGGTGGTTTGGCCTCCTTGAGCCAGCTCTGCTCGGCTGCCGAGGGAGTGTACTTGAAATCAGAGCCGCGTGGAGACCCACCTGCCGTTTAAGGGTGAGGCCGAAGCCCGAGGTGCTGCTGCCGGCGTGGGGTCCAGGCCCTGGCCCTCCCAGCAGCTGCAGCAGGGCCAGCTGTTGCCCCCACGTGCGTGCCAGGTGGGCAGGTTTCGTTAAAATACACTTGAAGAAGGAAAGAATCTGGGGCGGCGCTGTGACATAGCAGGTGCATCCGATATGCATCTCGGCTGCTCCACTTCCAATCCCGCTCCCTGCTAATGGCCTGAGAAAGCAGCCAAAGACAGCCAAAGTGCTTGGGCCCCTGCGTCCATGTGGGCCCATCCAGATGAGTCTCCTGGCTCCCGCCTGGCCCAGCTCTGGTTATTGGGGCCATTTGGGGACTGAATCAGGAGATGGAAGATTGACTTTCTCTCTCTCTGCCTCTCCTTCTCTGTAACTCTTTTAAAGTAATTAATCAATTAATCTTAAAAAGAAAAATCCAGCTTGTTGGATTTGGCAAAATTGAACTCACAAGAGGGTTGTCATCTTCCTGATTCTCTCAGTAGGCTGAGAGGGGCCAAGGTCAATCTTGTTCCTCACTGGATCCCCACCTCCCACCCCCATGCCTGGCACTGAAACATTAAAAAAATTTTCTTTTTGATGAATGAATCAAATTTTAAAAATATATTTCCTTTTTATTTGAAAGGCAGAGTTACACACAGAGAGAGATCTTCCATCCACTGCTTCACGCCTCAAATGGCCCCAATGGCCAGAGCTGGGCCAGGTGGAAGCCAGGAGCTTCTTCCAGGTCTCCCATGTGAGTGCAGGGACCCAAGCACTTGGACCATCTTCTACTGCTTTCCCAGGCCACAGCAGGGAGCTGGGTCGGAAGAGGAGCAGTGGAGATTTGAACCAGAGTCAGATTTTGCAGCTGGAGAATCTGAGAGCTGGGTTAACTTGGGTGAGGTCAGCGACACAATGACGCAGCTGGGGCGTGACGTGGTGTCTCTGACTCAGGCAGGAGCCGTGTCTGCTCACCCTCTCTCGGAATCCAGGCTGTGCTCATGGAAGAAGGCCCCCCCCAGAGATGGGCGAGCCTGCGCCCCGGGAGGCTTCCCATCAACGGCTCCCGGGCTTCCGGAAGCTGCTGTGTTGTTTTTCTCTCCTGGAGAAGCCGAGAGGAGGTCTTTCACTGCCTTACAGATCAAGAGACAAAATGGAACCGTAATTATGCTTCTGAAATTGCTCATAATTAGATCCACAGCCAGGCACTGAGCAGCCGCACTTGCTGATGGCGAGACCCCTCCGTAAGCCAGTGAAAGTTCCGGAGGTGCTAATTAGAGCCAGGATGTTTTTAGTTATTCATTTCATAAACTAGGAACTGGCAGGGTGTGCAAAGCTCTGAGCTGGGAACCACAGCTGATGAAAGATTACCATGTAGCGTGCATTCGTGGGTGAGAGCGAGAACTCACTGGGGCCAGCGGGCCTGGGTGAGTCCTGTCCCTGCCATTCACTTGCTGTGCTGCCTTGGGCAAGTGACCCTGGACAAATGGATGTAAGTTGGGGAGTGTGAGTTTGCAGGTGGGCGAGATCACCCAAGAGCACATTGGAGGAGCGGACCCTGGGATCATTGCTCAAGTCACAGGCAGGGCGCGGCATGAGCCAGCGTGGAGAAGCGGGAGCCTGGCTGTCCAGTGTGGCAGGAAAGGGTCAAGGGGAGTTCAGGCTGGGGCCAGAGGAAGATTCTGGCAAGGGAGCTGGATGTGAGTGAGTGGTGAAAGCCCGTGAGGGATTTTTGCCAGATCATTTTGCAACTGCGGGAGAATCTAGTGACTCAGAGAAAACACCGTGGAGATCAGCATGGAGCCAGCTTTCCCGAGTGGGAGTGAGTGAGCTTCCCGGCATAGGAAAGGCTGGCGGGTGTTGGGGGAGGCTGCTGCCGCCTGCTGCAGTCTCATTAAGGGAGCCAGAGCGACATTGCCCTCTAGTGGCCGAGGTTGGTATCTCCTTAGCGGATGGGACTAAGTTAATTTTATGTACTGCGTCTCCTATAAGCTTCACAGTGACCACAGGAAGTAGATACCATTGACGTTTTTTATACAAAATATTTGTTTATTGGAAAGGTAGAGTTACACAGAAAGAGAGAGATCTTCTATCCGCTGGTTCACTCCCCAAATGGCTGCAAAGAGGCAGGGCTGGACCAGGCTGAAGCCAGGAGCCCAGAACTTCATCTGGGTCTCCCACATGGGTGCAGGGGCCCAAGCACTTGGACCATCTTCTGGTACATTCTCCAAACGCATTAGCAGGGAGCTGGATCAAAAGTGGAGCAGCTGGGACTTGACCTGGTGTCACAAGCAGCGGCCCCACCCACTGCACCACAGCGCTGGCCCCCATTGATTTATTTTATCTATCTACCTATCTATTTATTTTTATTTGAAAGACAGGGTTACAGGGAGAGGTAGAGACAGAGAGAGAGGTCTTCCACCCACTGGATCACTCCCCAGGTGGCCGAAATGACCAGAGCTGCACCAATCCAAAGCCAGGAGCCAGGAGCCTCATCCAGGTCTCCCACGTGGGTGCAGGGGCCCAAGGACCTAGACCATCCTCTACTGCTTTCCCAGGCCATAGCAGAGAGCTGGATTGGAAGTGGAGCAGCCGGGACTCGAACCGGCACCCATATGGGATTCAAGCACTGCAGCCAGTGGCTTTACCTGCTGTGCCACAGCGCCCCCCCCCCCCTTGATGTTTCACAGGAGAAAAACAGGTTGCTGAAGTACAGGGTTCATCTTCTCCACCAGACAGCTCATTACCTTACCACCACTGCACTGTGAGGAGTTTTACTGTTTGGCTTTGTCCCTTGTCCTCTGGGTCTGCCAAGAGTCTCCGTCTTAAACCATTTCTGACCTCAGACTCTGACCCTGTATAGATGGCCAAGAACCATCCTCCTTTCAGCGAACTCAATTCGCCAGCGCACAAACTCAGACAGCAGCCAGGGCACTGGAGTTTAACATGCATCAAGGGGGCAGGCGTTGTGTAGCTGTTGCGGCACAGCGTGGGACACCTGCGTGCCATATCGAGATATTCAGGTTTGAGTCCCGGCTCCTGAGGTGCCTCTCTCCCTGGCGCTGGCTCCAGAGCGCCAGTGTGCACCGGAGGCCAGCAGGTGCACTGAGTCCAGTGTGTCCATGGAAGCTGATCTCTCTCCAGACTGTTTCTCTTCCAGGCTCTGTCTGCTCTAGCAGTACCCCATTCTCTCAGGGGGCTCCCTGGGACGTTTTTTATTTTTCCATTTTCCCAATGTCTCTCCATATGCAGCCAACACCTAGTCGTTTTATTGCCATGGTATTTCCCAAAGCCTTTCTCTCTACGACTGGTCAACCTTTAATTTAATATTTTTGTTATTCTTAACTTTTTTAAAAAATATTTCTTTTTTAATTTTGAGAAGTAGAGTTACAGAGAGAGGGAGAGAGAGAGGGAGATTGAGAGAATCTTCTATCTGCTGGTTCACTCCCTAGATGGCCCCAATGGCGTAAACTGGGTTGATCTGAAGCCAGGAGCCAGGAGCTTCTTCCGGGTCTCCCATGCGGGTGCAGGGGCCCAAGCACTTGGGCCATCTTCTACTGCTTTCCCAGGCCACAGCAGAGAGCTGGATCGGAAGTGGAGCAGCTGGGGCTCGAACAGGTGCCCATATGGGATGCTGGCACTGCAGGCAGAGGCTTAGCCTACTACACTACAGCGCTGGTCCCTCTTGTTTGTTCTTTAGATTTCATGTCTAAGAAACTTTCGGTAGGGGCACGGGAGGGCGGGGGAAGAGAGGCCCTCATCTCTCTGCCGCGATTGGCAGAAACTTAGCCGCCTCGTTTTGGAATCTGGATCGGAGTAGATGGAAACTTCCACCCTGCACTTGCGGGCAAGCCCGGGCAGGGAGCTGAGGGGGGGGCGGGCCTGCTTTCTCAACCACGCCCCATCAGGGCGGAGCTTCCTTTGAGCTGAGCTGGGCAAGGCACGGCCACGCCCCATCGAGGCGGAGCTTCCTTCCAGCTGAGCGGGGAAAGTATGACCACGCCCACTTGGGGCGGAGCTTCTTTCCAGCTGCGCTAAGGCGAGGGCGCGCAGAAGCAGCTGGTCTTGATGGCGCTGTGGGTACCTTAATCTTCAACCCAGGGTCTTGCCCCCACAGAGTTCATGATTCTAAGCGGAGGGAGGTGTGTCAGGGGCACAGGGAGAGCAGACTTCCTCAGACTTCCTTAAAAAGGGAGACAGTGACCGGTTGCCCCTCTTCCAGGCCAGCTCTCTGCTGTGGCCAGGGAGTGCAGTGGAGGATGGCCCAGGTGCTTGGGCCCTGCACCCCATGGCTCCTGCCATCGGATCAGCGCGGTGCGCCGGCCGCAGCGCGATGGCCACGGCGGCCATTGGAGGGTGAACCAAAGGCAAAAGGAAGACCTTTCTCTCTGTCTCTCTCTTTCTCACTGTCCACTCTGCCTGTCAAAAAAAAAAAAAAAAAAGGAGACAGTGAACGGACTT